TTCTTTTTCTTTGTGGCTCTTTCTTTCCTTCTTTCATTCATTCCATCTCTATCTTTTTCTTTCATTCTTTCTTTCATTCCTTCTTCCCTTTCCTTCATAAATCCTTTCCCCTCTCTTCTTTCTTTCCTTTCTCTTTCTTCCACTCCCTTCCCTCCTTCTTTCTTTCTTTCCTTCATAAATCCTTTCCCTCTCTTCTTTCTTTCCTTTCTCTTCCTTCCACTCTCTTCCTTCCTTCCCTCCTTCTTTCTTCCTTCCCTACTTTCCTTTCCTTTCTAAATCCTTTTCCTTTCTTTCCTTCCTCTTCCTTCCTTTTTTCTACATACCTTCCTCTTCCTTCCTTCCTTCCTTCCTTCTCTTCCTCCCTCTTGCAATGGTCGCCTAGCAACAGCCAATCCCCTTCCTCCCTTCCGCAGCCATAGAGAAGAAGGAGGAATGGAGGGCCTTCCTAAAATCAAAGGGGGGAGAAGGAGAAGTTCCTTTTTCCTGCATGAGAAAAAAGTAACTTTTCCCTATTTACATATTTGGGGAGAAGAAGAAGTTCCTTTTTGTTGCATGAGAGAAAAAAGTAACTTCCCCCTCTTGGCATATTTCCATATCCACTTCCTCACCTTTGTTTTCCCTCTTGTAGGACCATTGCTAGGCCTCACCGGAAGTGGCTCCCGCCTCAAAGCCTCGGCTAGGCCTCACCGGAAGTGGCCGATCTCATGTCTCACACCTAAGCCGCTCTAGGACTCCAAAGGAAAGTGAGAGATACAGAAGAAGAGTGGAAAGAAAGGGAAGTTAGTTTCCTTCCTCACTTCCGGTAGGTATGGCCTCCCCACAGGAAGTGAGCCTTCTCGGGCGCTTCTAGGCGGGGGCGGCTCTATGGGCCCGGCTTCCGGTCCTCCCAATCCTTGACCCCACCCTGGCTCCTTCTCCTCTCTTCATTAAGGAAGGCTTCTGCTGCTTCTCTTCCTTCTCCTTCTTCCTCTTTAGGTGAGATTGAAGGGGCGTGGCCTCTGGGCTTCCAGGCCACGCCCACTGTGGGAGGGAGGGGGGAGGGAGGGGGGAAGAGGGGAGGGAGCCATTGATCTTGCCTCCTTCCCTCCCTGCAAGGTAGGACTACTCTCATGACAAGGCCTCCCTTTCTACCCCTATTAATTAGTCCCCTAATTAGTGAGGTTAATGAGTTGGGGCCAATTGGGAAGGAAGGAAGACTGAGCCCCCCCTTCTCTCCCTTGCTTTCATTATTATTATAATTAATTATCATAAATTATAATAAAATTATATCATTGATAGCATCCATTATAATATAATAGTAATAGGAAGTAAGAAAAGGAAGTAAGAGAAAAAAGGAGAGGAGGGAAGAAAGGAAAGGGGAAAACTCCCCCCCCTTCTCTCCCTTGCTTTCATTATATTAATTATCATAAATTATTGTCATGGTTGGTCCTGAAACTCGCTGGAACACCTCAGCAAGCAAGAGTCCAAAAGTGGCAGGCTCAAACCCAGCACCTCAACCAATGGCTGATACCAAATGAGAGACTCCCTCCTGGGCACACAGAAGACTGGGCGACTTGGAAGGCACTGAACAGACTGCGCTCTGGCACCACGAGATGCAGAGCCAACCTTCAGAAATGGGGCTACAAAGTGGAATCCTCGACATGCGAGTGCGGAGAGGAGCAAACCACTGACCACCTGCTGCAATGCAACCTGAGCCCCGTCACATGCACAATGGAGGACCTTCTTGCGGCAACACCAGAGGCACTCCAAGTGGCCAGCTACTGGTCAAAGGACATTTAATCAACTACCAAACTCACAAGTTGTATTTTTCTGTTTGTTTGCTTTGTCCTGTTAGAAATGTAATATAATGGACTGGCTGCTCTGACACGACAAATAAATCATAAATTATAATAAAATTATATCATTAATAATATCCATTATAATATAATAGTAATAGGAAGGAAGAAAAGGAAGGAAGAGAAAAAAGAAGGAGAGGGGGGAAGGAAGGAAAGGGGAAAACTCCCCCCTTCTCTCCCTTGCTTTCATTATATTAATTATCATAAATTATAATAAAATTATATCATTGATAACATCCATTATAATATAATAGTAATAGGAAGTAAGAAAAGAAGAGAAAAAAGAAGGAGAGGAGGGAAGGAAGGAAAGGGGAAAAGGCATGAGAGGAAGAATAGGGCTTTTAATTAATAGGCAGGAAATGGAAGAAAAGAAAGAAAGAACGAGCCACAAAGAAAAAAAGAAGGGAAAGAAAGTATTAATATTTATTATTATATACTTTTTATTATTATAATTTAATAATATTTATGATTATATTTTATTATTATTATTATTATTTATTAATACTGAGCTGCCGAACTTGCTGACTGAAAGCTTGGCAGTTCGAATACGGGGTGTGGGTGAAAATTTAATTATTATTATTAATCTTTATATTATTGTTGTTGTTATTATTATTACAATATTTGGAGAAGAGTGTCCTGTATTTCAGAGGAAGGAGCTGGCAAAAACATTCCTGGCCCAAGAAAACCCCATTATATTCCCTAAATCCCTAAGCAATTTGAAGCTCACAAGATGGGGAATGAATGAGATGAACTTAAACTCTTAACCCAGGAAAGCAAAAGCAGCTGTCACTTTGCTAAAGGCCTAAGTCTCCATCAGATCTTGGATGCTAACCCTTGAATTGGATTATGTATTTGGAGTCTACACTGCTGTATTATCCAAAGTGGATCACCTGGATTATATGACTGTGTCAATTAAGCCTAAGAAAATTGACAGGTGAATTGACAGGTGAATTGACAGGTGAATTGACAGGTGAATTGACCTGATATCATCTTTTCCTTTCCTTCATGATAGTCTTAGGAAACCGAAGCCATGACGGATTCCAAGTACTTCACCACCAATAAAAAAGGTGAGATGGGTATAGAGGAATATAATATTATACCATTATTTAATGTAATAATATAATATATTATAATGTAATATAATATTATTATAATATTATGATGCCATTATTTCATATAATAATAGTATAATGGCATTTCTGACTGGACTGTATTTCCTTTCCCTCCTTCCAAGGGGAGATCTTTGAGCTGAAAGCAGAGCTCAACAATGAAAAGAAGGAGAAGCGGAAGGAAGCTGTCAAGAAGGTCATTGCGGCCATGACCGTGGGCAAGGACGTCAGGTATGGAATTATTGTAACATAATAATAATAATAATAATAATAATAATAATAATAATAATAATACCATCATCAAACCTTATCTGAATAAAAATTATTATTACATTACTAGCTTGGGTGCCCGGCATTGCCCAGGTTATTTGAACAAGTCAGTTTTTTAATGGTACGAAATGCATGAGGTTGTGGGTGAACTACAACTCCCATCATGCCAGGTTAAACCTGAGAAACTCCATCAGTGCTTCAAGTTTGTTATGTTGGGCAAATTTGCTCTGGCTACATCATCACTGTGGTTCAGTGTGCTCTCTGACTCCTATAAATCATGTTGAATTCTCCCCAAACATCTCTTGTATGTTCAATATTATGATCAATTCCTGTGTTTGCTTTGTGCCATAGAAAAGAATAGGGAACGGTTAAGGGAGAGGCAGTGGGCGGGGTCATGCAAATTCCACACCAACGGAGAGAGTAAGAAACACTGCGATGTCTGTGGTGGAGGAAATAAATCAAATCTAGGATGGAATTGTCCCCGAATGAAAACCTTCCCTTGGGTGGTGGGCAAAATGGTGTTGGTGGGAGACATTGGCAGGGCTCCTGGACATGTTTACAGCGCTCACTATAACCTACAATGTCATTGGAGGGAGGGAGGGCCTTTGGTGTCACCTGAGTGGTGGGAGATATAGCTGTTTGTGGAGGCAGGCGCTTTTCTTGCTTCTCTCCAACTCTTTCATTCATTCTGTCTTTCCCCAGCTCCCTCTTTCCAGACGTGGTCAACTGCATGCAGACAGACAACCTGGAGCTGAAGAAGCTGGTCTACCTGTACCTGATGAACTACGCCAAGAGCCAGCCAGACATGGCCATCATGGCTGTCAACAGCTTCGTCAAGGTCCGGCCCCTAAAACGTCATCATGCCTGTATTATTAACCTATGAATTAGGAGGTGCATTGTTGCAACTCAGAGTAAGCTTCACCTTGCTTCCAAACACCACCACACAAGAGCTGTAGTTTTATAGTTTATTGAGGAAAAAATCCAAGTCAAAATAAAGAACAAGCATTGCAAAGTTCCAAAGATTAAGGTTAAACGCAGAATATAGTTCCAAAAATCTTCAGGTAAAAGCAGGAGACACAATCCTATTGGCAAAGTTCAAACCAGAGTCCCAGGTACAAGCAATAAAACAATTGCCCCAAGAATCACAATGCAAGAAATCCCAAGCGTACTGCTTTCCAGGCTAAGGTTATTCCATGAAGTTTTCAGGCTAGTAAGCTACGTTGAACTGACACTTTCTCAGGGTTTGCAAGGAGCCTAAATACCTTTCTAACATGAAAACATTAGGCTCTCATTGTCATAAAAGCATTGCGATGACCTTTCACCGAGCTGGCTTCTCATCTGCCGGCCAGACAAGAACTGTCAAACATAAATATAATAAAGTATGGCATTGGCATTGACCTTGGCTTCTCCCCCTGCCCACCCAGGACTGCGAGGATCCCAACCCGCTGATCCGCGCACTGGCAGTGCGCACCATGGGCTGCATCCGGGTGGACAAGATTACGGAGTACCTGTGCGAGCCGCTGCGCAAGTGCCTGAAGGATGAGGACCCTTACGTGCGCAAGACGGCCGCCGTCTGCGTAGCCAAGCTGCATGACATCAACGCCCAGATGGTGGAGGACCAGGGCTTCCTTGACTCCCTGCGTGACCTCATTGCCGACTCCAACCCCATGGTGAGGAGGAAGGGCGGCCCACCTCACCCATCTCCAGGGCTTGCTCTCATGCTTCCTTTCCTGCCTCTCTTTTCTCTCCCTCTTTTCTTCCCTTCTTCCCTGCCTTTCTGTCATACGCCTTCCCTCCTCTTCTGTCTCCCTCCCTCCCTTCCTTCCTTCTTTCTTTTTTCTTTCCTTCCGTCCTTCCCCTCTCTCCCTCTCCTTCTTTCTTCTTTCCTTCTCTCCTTTTATACTGTCTCACCCCTCCTTCCTTCCTCTCTCCTAATTACGTCTCCATCTCCTTTCCTTCCGTCCTTCCTTCCTTCCTTTCTCCTTCTTTCCTTCCTCTCTCACCACCTTATTCTTTCATTCATTCCTTCCTCCCTCCTTTCCTCTCTCTCCATCTCCTTTCCCTTCTTCCTCTCTCCCTCTCCTGCCTTCCTTTCCCTCTTTCCTTCCTTTTCCTCTCGTCTTCCTTCTTTCCTTCTCACCATCATGGCCTTTAATTCATTTCTTCTTTCTTTCCTTCCTTCCTCCCTTCCTCTCTCTCCATTTCCTTTTCTTTCTTCCTTCCTCTCTCCCTCTCCTTCCTTCATCTCCCTTCCTTCCTTCCTTCCTTCCTTCCTTCCTTCCTTCCTTCCTTCCTTCCTTCCTTCCTTCCTCTCTCTCCTTCCTTCTTTCTTCCTTCCCCTTCCTTCCTTCCTCTCTCCTTCCTTCCTTCTTTCCTTCCTCCTCCCTCCTCCTCTCCCTCTTCCTCTCCTTTCTTCCTTCCTTCCTCTCTCCTCTCCTTCCTTCTCTCTCCTTCCTTCCTTCCTCTCTCCATCTGCTTTTCTTCTTCCTCTCTCCCTTCCTTCCTTCCTTCCTTCCTTCCTTCCTTCTTCTTCCTCCTTCCTTTCCTTCCTCCTCTCTCTCCTTCCCCTTTCTTTCTTTCCTTCCATCCTCTGCCACTGCTTCTTTTCTTTTTTCCTTCCTCCTTCCCTCGCTATCCTTCCTTCCTCTCTCCCTCTCCTTCCTTCCTTGTTTCCTATCCCTCCCTCCCCTTCTTTCCTTCCTCTCTCCCCCCTCCTTTCTTGTTTCCTCCCTCCCTTCCTCTCTCCCTCTCCTTCTTTCCTCTCTTCTGTCCTCTCCCTCTGTTTCTTTCCTTCCTCTCTTTCTCTCCTTCCTTCCATTCTCCCTCTCCCTCTCCTTCCTTCCTTCTTTTTTCTCTCTTCCTTCCCCTTTTTTGTCTCACCTTTCTTCCCTTCCTTTCTCTTCCCATCTCTCTTTTGCATTCCTTCCTCCCTTGCATCTACTCTTGCCCTCTTCTTCCTTCCTCCTTTCCTTCCTTTTTCTCTTTTCCCTCCCTTTCTTTGTCCCATCTTTCTTCCCTTCCTTTCCCTTCTCTCTCTCTCTTCCTTCCCCTCATAACGTGTCCCCTTTCCTTTCTCTTCCTTCCTGCTTTCCTCCCCTTTCCATTCTTCCTCCTCTCCACCAATCCCTCCTTTCCCCCTCTTTCCTTCTTTCTCTTTCTTTCCTTACCACCTTTATACCTTTCCCCCTTTCTTTCCTTCCTTCCTTCTTCACTCCCATCTTCAGCCTCGCCAGACCCCAACCATACCATGCTATTCAATCCATTCATCTGTCAGTGATGCCTTTCCTGGCTTGCAGGTGGTGGCTAATGCGGTGGCGGCCTTGTCGGAGATCAGCGAGTCGCATCCCAACAGCAACTTGCTGGATCTGAACCCGCAGAACATCAACAAGCTGCTGACGGCGCTGAACGAGTGCACCGAGTGGGGCCAGATCTTCATCCTTGACTGCCTCTCCAACTACAACCCCAAGGATGACCGCGAGGCCCAGAGGTGAGTGAGACCCCATTGAAGACTGTCATTCCATAGGAGAAATGGGTGGAACTCTCTGCCGCAGGGTTTGGTAAGAAGGCACCATTGCGGGCAGGCTAAAAACTTACATCATCAGAACACTGAAATAGAATCAAATGCATATAAATACAGTAGGCTGTCAGTCCACCCATTGGAAGATGCCAGGTAAATGTACGTTCTGGTTGCTTTTTTGTTTTTTCCTCTGGGCAGCATCTGCGAGCGAGTGACCCCTCGCCTCTCCCATGCCAACTCGGCCGTGGTGCTTTCAGCCGTCAAGGTCCTGATGAAGTTCCTAGAGCTGCTGCCCAAGGATTCAGACTATTACAGCATGCTCCTGAAGAAGTTGGCCCCGCCCCTGGTCACTCTCCTGTCCGGTGAACCCGAGGTCCAGTACGTGGCCCTCCGCAACATCAACCTCATCGTCCAGAAAAGGTCAGGCAACACTCTCCCATTTCTCATGTCATGAATATTTTTTCGGACCTTAAAAATGTTCTTTAATTCATGTGACAATGTATATCTTCCTACTCACCATCCTTCTTTAATTCAGTTCATCATCACATATATTCTAACATTCAATCATAATCCATTCATTCACTCATTCGTACTCATCATCCTTCATTGAGTGCATCACATATACTCTTAACTTCACTCCTAATCCATTCATTCACTCATTCGAACTCACCACCCTTCTTCATTCAGTTCATTATCACATATATTCTAACATTCACTCTTAATCAATTCATTCACTCATTCGTACTCGCCATCCTTCATTGAGTGCATTGTCACATAGACTCTAACATTCACTCATTATCCATTCATTCATGCAGTCATACTCATTTATTTTGTTTATTTATTGACAGTACTTATATTCTGCCCTTCTCATCCCGAAGGGGATTCAGGGAGAATCATAGAACACATACACAGCAAACATTCAATGCCGATTATACAATGACAAGACAGGCAACAGATATATATAGGCTTTTTCTCATCATTCGGCATCTTTGGAGGCTGTGATCAGTTCCGGCCACAGGGGGGTGCTCTTTCTTCATCTTCACAGAGCTTTCTTTGTAAACTTTCCTCTGAAACGCCATGTCTAAAATACCTTCCCACTTAACGCGGTTCCTATTCATTTGCTCACATTGCTGTTTTTGTTCTGTTAGGTGGGTGGGGGAGCTGTGCTGAAGGTCAGGAACTCACCTTGACCCAGCTTTGAACTTGTCAACCTTTCAGTTGGCAAGATTTACTGCAGCTGGTGATTTCCCTGCTGTTCTAAAGCCAGCCTTTCCTTCTCACCATCCTTCCTCATTGAGTTCATCATCACATATACTCTCACATTCACTTGTAATCCATTCATTCACTCATTCATACTCACCATCCTTCTTCATTCAGTTCATCATCACATTTACTCTCACATTCACTCATAATCTGTTCATTCAGTCATTCGTACTCACCATCCTTCTTCATTGAGTGCATCATCACATATACTCTCACATTCACTCATAATCTGTTCATTCACTCATTCGTACTCACCGTCCTTCTTCATTGAGTGCATCATCACATATACTCTAACATTCACTCATAATCCGTTCATTCACTCATTCGTACTCACTACCCTTCTTCATTCAGTTCATCGTCACATATATTCTAACATTCACTGCACATCCATTCAGTCACCATCCATATTCACCATACTTCTTCATTAAGTTCATTGTCACATACACTCTAACATTCACTCATAATCCATTCATTCACTCATTCGTACTCACCACCCTTCTTCATTCAGTTAATCGTCACATATACTCTCACATTCACTTCACATCCATTCAGTCACCATCCATACTCACCATACGTCTTCATTGTTAATTGTCACATACACTCTAACATTCACTCATAATCAGTTCATTCACTCATTCGTACTCATCACCCTTCTTCATTGAGTGCATCATCACATATACTCTCACATTCACTCCTAATCTGTACATTCATACTCACCATCCTTCTTCATTCAGTTGATAGTCTTCTTGGAAGCAAGAAGGAGGCGGGTGTTCAAAATGCTGCATTCCTCGCAGATCTGGCACACAGTCGAAAAGGATCTCCTTATGTAGTGATTTGGTTATCCATTATCTGTTTGTTTAGATAGCCTCTGTTATTCAACTCAAACCTTCTGGAGCCTCATCAATCCCAGAATAGATAATGTGTTTAACTTTTTTCTTAAAGTGTCATTGATTTTGACTATGTTTACACCCCAAAGTTTCCTGGTCAGTTCTCTGGATTTCTCATTTGCACAGTTAATGAATTCTTCACCTCCTTCATTCTCCATAATACAAGTTTCCAGGTTCCATTTTTAGGATGGTGTCTTCAACCTTGCCGGACCTTAATAGGCCATTAGCCAGACCCCAATCATACAGTCCATCTCACACTCGCCTTCTCCACATCCAGCCGCATCCCCCAGCCTCGTATCATTCATGGTTTCAGCCTCTTTCCTTTTCCTCCCTCAGGCCCGAAATCCTGAAGCAGGAGATCAAGGTCTTCTTTGTGAAGTACAACGACCCCATCTACGTCAAGCTGGAGAAGCTAGATATCATGATCCGCCTGGCCTCTCAGGCCAACATCGCCCAGGTCAGGAGGCAATATATGTAGTTGGTGTATTATCTTTTTGAAATATTTTTTTAAAAAAACAACCCAATGATTCTGGCCATGAAAGCCTTCAACAATACAGAGGACCAGAAACTTTTTTATAAGGGAGGGAATTCCCTTTCTTTGGGCAAACACAAAGAGTGCGTTGCTCTGCGCCATACTGATTTTTCTCGTCTTTGTCCACCGCTTGGGGTCCAGGTCCTGGCCGAGCTCAAGGAATACGCCACAGAGGTGGATGTGGACTTTGTCCGCAAGGCTGTCCGCGCCATCGGACGATGCGCCATCAAAGTCGAGGTGAGGAGTTCTCTCTCTCTCTCTTTCTTTGCTGCTTGCTTCTACTTTCTACATCAAAGTAACCAAGGTGAAAGAAGGCTGCTTGTGCTGGAAGTGAAGAAACCTCAACGCTCATATATGAAGCCATTGGGAAGTGGGGGAATCCTACTGTCTTGTTTGTCACCTCTCTTTCTTCTCCTTCTTCTCCTCTCCTTCCATCTTCCCCTTCTTCTTGTATTCTCCTCTTTCTTCTCTTATTCTCCACCTCTCCTTTCTCTTCCTTCTCCTTCCTCCTCCTTCTCCTCTTCCTTCTTCCCCTTCATCTTCCTCCTCCTTTTTTCCTACTCTTCCAGCAATCGGCCGAGCGCTGTGTCAGCACCCTCCTGGACCTCATCCAGACCAAGGTCAACTACGTTGTCCAGGAGGCCATCGTGGTCATCCGGGACATTTTCCGCAAGTACCCCAACAAGTGAGTGGCTTCGATACTGGACTCAAATACCTGAAAGAGGGGCAGGAGGCTGTTCCTTTTATGGCTCAGTATGGAAGGGAGGAGACTGGACCTGAGGACTGGGCTCCATGGGGTGGTGAGAGGCCTCATGTAAGGGCAAGCTGTTCTGTTTTGGGCGTCAGGTACGAGAGCATCATTGCCACCTTGTGCGAGAACCTAGACTCTCTGGACGAGCCAGACGCTCGGGCAGCGATGATCTGGATCGTGGGTGAATACGCCGAGCGGATCGACAACGCGGACGAGCTCCTGGAGAGCTTCCTGGAAGGCTTCCACGATGAGAGCACCCAGGTAGCCTCACCTCCTTTCTGCCATTCTTTGAGGTTATTCCAACAGAGCCCGACTGATAGAATGCCCCCTGCCCAGCACCACAACAGTGGCGAATGTCTTGTTTTGCTTTGGTTCAGGTGCAGCTCACCTTATTGACTGCCATTGTGAAGCTGTTTCTGAAGAAGCCGTCGGAGACGCAGGAACTGGTCCAGCAGGTGCTGAGCCTAGCCACACAGGTGAGCCGTGGGCTGTGGTTGTGATGTCACAAAATTGTATGAAAAAGGTCAAAATTGTTCCAACAACTTTGGGAGAAATGGGTTCAAATGCTGCTGGGTTCCTGAGTCTACAGAAGGGTGCAAGTAGGCTATGAAATTTGTTGTTGTTTTGTTGTTTCTTGTTTTCTTGTTGTTTTGTTGTGTTGTTGTGGTGTTGTTGATGATGTTGTTAGGTTTCACAGTCTGTTTGCATCCCACTTTTAACCTGTGTGTATTATCTGATACCCAAATTAATAGTGTTGCCTCTGTTGTAACCCGTAATCGTAGTCCAAGCTCAGGTAGAAGAGTCCTTTCTTTCCAATGGAACGACTCCATTACCCATCAGCTCCTGCTCATGGGAACTGTAGTCAAAGCTCAGATAGAAGAGTCTTTTCTTTTCAATGGGACAACTGTTCCCATTAGCTCCTGGTCATGGGAGTCGTAGTCCAAGCTCAGATGGAAGAGTCCTTTCTTTCCAATGGGACCACTCTCTGTTCCCCATCAACTCCTGCTCACGGGGGTTGTAGTACAAAGTCAGGTAGAAGTTTCCATTATTTTCAATAAACAACTCTTTGTTCCCCATCAGCTCCTGCTCATGGGAGTCGTAGTCCAAAGTCAGTTAGCAACATCCATTCTTTTCACTGGAATGACTCCATAACTTATCAGCTCCTGCTGGTAAAGCAGCTTATGGGAGTCGTAGTCCAAGCTCAGGTAGAAGAGTCCTTTCCAATGGAAAGACTGTTATCCATCAGTTTCTGCTCATGTGAGTTGTAGTTGTTTTGAGTCTCCTTCAGGAGAGATAAAGCGGGGTATAAATAAACATAGTAGTCCAAGGTCATCCATTCTTTTCAATGGGATGACTCTCCGTTACCCATCAGCTCCTGCACATGGGAGTTGTTCCCCAAGCTCAGATAGAAGAGTCCGTTCTTGTCAATGGGATGACTCTGTTCCCCATCAGCTCCTCATGGGAGTCGTAGTCCAGGGCTGGATAGAAGCGTCCTTTCTTTTCAACGTGTTGGCTTCCCCTCTAGGATTCGGACAACCCGGACCTGCGGGACCGTGGCTACATCTACTGGCGTCTGCTGTCCACGGACCCGGTGACGGCCAAGGAGGTGGTCCTCTCGGAGAAGCCCCTCATCTCGGAGGAGACGGACCTGATTGAGCCCACGCTGCTAGACGAGCTCATCTGCCACATCGGCTCCCTGGCCTCTGTCTACCACAAGCCCCCCAACGCCTTCGTGGAGGGCAGCCACGGCATCCACCGCAAGCACCTGCCCATCCACCACGGGAGGTGAGATGCATGTGCGCCTGCAAAAAGGCCTTTGTCCTTCCCACTCAGAATATTCATAAGGATCCGTCTCACACTGCATATTCTTCCTTTTTTTGTAAATTATTACCATCTGGCAGATGGGATAGTATGATAAAAACCAGTAGAAATAGGTCGAGAGAGAGCTTTGATCCTAGAGCTGTACTGAACTCATTATACAACATACAATGACAATCACATTATTTATTATTTGTTTATTTATTTAAAACATTTATATTCCGCCCTTCTCACCCCGCAGGGGACTCAAGGCAGAACACAACATATATACGGCAAACATTCAGTGCTGGGACAGAAAACCATAAACATATACAAACATTCAACCTCACTTATATCCACTTGAAAATCAGTTGCATCTCAGGACACCATTTTATTATTGGCTGATTACACTGCCCCAAAGGCTTGGTCCCACAGCCAGGTCTTCACCATCCTTCTGAAGGACAGGAGGGAGGGGACTGACCTAATATTGCCAGGAAGTCAGGGAGCAATCACCGAAAAGGCCCTGTCTCTCGTTCCTGCCAAATGCGCCTGTGACAGTGGCAGGACTGAGAGCAGTGGTAGTTTCAAAGTACTGGTAGTGGCTGTCTCTACCAGCACTTTGAAACTATTTTTAATTTAAATTTAATTTTTTGAATCTCAAACTCACTATTTCAGAATCAAGCCAAGCCAAAAGGTTATTGATTATAAATAATATCATATATTAGCTGGTCTCAAAGTCAAGCAAGCCCTTGCCAATCCAAAAAGTTATTGATTATTATTAATACGAGGGTTATCCAGAAAGGTAAGGTTACAATACACGTAGCTTGGTTATTATAAATAATAATATAATATATTAGCTGGTCTCAAAGTCAAGCAAGCTCTTGCCAATCCAAAAAGTTATTGATTAATACGAGGGTTATACAGAAATGTAAGGTTACAAGACACGTAACTTGGTTATTAATAATATAATATATTAGCTGGTCTCAAAGTCAAGCAAGCCCTTGCCAATCCAAAAAGTTATAGATTATTATTAATACAAGGGTTATCCAGAAAGGTAAGGTTACACATAGCTCTCGCAAGGAATTTTATGGGAAATGTTGGTATCACTGCCTTGTAGCAGGAAGCCAGCAGAAGTGAATGAGCAGTGCCAGTCGTCAGTAGTTCATCGACTGGCGTTGTGGTGACAGTTAGAGAGGAGCGTCCTCATTCCGTTTCCCTCCAAGTAATAAGTTCATGCTGTATGAGGGTTATCCAGAAAGTAAGGATACAAGGCACATAGCTCTTGCAGGGAATTTTTGCAGGAGAAGTCAGTATCGCTGCCTTGTAGCAGGAAGCCAGCAGAAGCGGACGAGCAGTGCCAGTCGTCAGTAGTTCATTGACTGGAGTTGTGGTAACTATTAGAGAGGAGCGTCCTTATTCTGTTTCCCTCCAAGTATGAACTTCGCTCTGTATGAGCGTTATCCAGAAAATAAGGTTACAAGGCATGTAGCTCTTGTGGGGATTTTTCATGGGAGAAGTTAGTATCACTGCCTTGTAGCAGGAAGCCAGCAGAAGCAAATGAGCAGTGCCAGTCGTCAGTAGCTCATCGACTGACGTTGTGGTCAAGGTTAGGGATGAGTGTCCTCATTCCGTTTCCCTCCAAGTATGAAGTTCATGCTGTATGAGGATTATCCAAAAAGTAAGGTTACAAGGCACATAGCTCTCGCAGGGAATTTTTGCGGGAGAAGTTGGTATCACTGCCTTGTAGCAGGAAGCCAGCAGAAGTGGACAAGCAGTGTCAGTCGTCAGTAGCTCATCGACTGGCGTTGTGGTGAGGGTTAGAGAGGAGCGTCCTCATTCCATTTTCCTCCAAGTGTGAAGTTCACGCTGTACGAGGGATATCCGGAAAGTAAGGTTACAAGATTTTTTTTCAGATACAAAGAATGAATATATTTTAATAAAACTTACATGGATTGTAGCATAGGCATTACATTCTTTTTCCACATAATCGTCATTCAGTTCAATACATTTTGTTAGCCATGGGACAAGTTTTTTGATGCCTGTGTCATAGAAGTCTCCCGCCACTTTTTTCATCCACGTCATCAGTCACAACGGATGGACGTCCACTGTATTAGTAATAGCCTTGTACACTGGGAAAAACAAACAGCACCCTTTGCTTTCTTTTTGCGCAGCACCGACGCCGGAGACAGCCCGGTGGGGACCACAGCCCCCCCGAACCTGGAGCAGCCACAGGTGATCCCCTCCCAGGGCGACCTCCTGGGCGACCTCTTGAACCTCGACCTCGGTCCACCCGTCAACGTGCCCCAGGTTTCCTCTATGCAGATGGGGGCCGTGGACCTCCTGGGCGGAGGGCTGGACAGCCTGGTGAGTTGGCTATGGATCTGCATCCCAATAACAACAACGTGTCTGGATGGTGTCCCCAGCCCTTAATTGCTTGGAGGCATAATAATAATGATGATGGTGATTATTATTATGATGATGTAAGGATAATAGTAGTAGTTGTTGTAATGCTGTGCCTGGGTGGTGTTTATTAGTCACAGTCTTTTGCACCCTTTTCACTTGTTTAACAGACAGTGGTTCTTTCTCCCACCCTGGACATTCCACAGGTATATTATATACTACACTTGCTGGTTTTGACCTATAAAGCTCTATACCGTTCTGGGCCAGCTTACTTGTCCAAATGCATCCACCCCTACGTCCACCTTGTAATCTAAGATCACCCGGGGAGGCCCTGCTCTCGCACAAATTTGTCTGGCGGGGATGAGAGACAGGGCCTTCTCGGCTGTGGCCCTCCGCCTATGGAATACACTCCCAAATGAAGTAAGATACGCTCCTTCCCTCCTGGCTTTTAGAAAAAAATTAAAATCATGGTTCTGGGACCAGGCCTTCGGACAGTAGATGTATGTAGCATTTTGGTTCTGGGACCAGGAGGGCTTACCCCATGCCTGGGGATAGAAATCGTATACATTCTGGAGGCCCTTCCATTCCCATTCTCCACAGTGTAGAGGAAGAGCCTCGCTTGGTCATGTTCATTGGTGCGCGCTCGCCTGCCAAGCATGTCAATACTCTTTTCTTGCACACGAGAGAGGAAGATTGGAAAGTCTGTAACGTCACTGAAACATTCACCAGTTCCACAATTGCACATAAGAGGGGAAGCGGAGAAAGTGGCCATCGCAGTGGGAAAGAGTTGAATTCCTCCCACTCTTCCGCCCTCTTTTTCTATGGCAATTTCACCTGTTATTTCTCTAATGATTTCCTCCCTCCCTCTTTTTAAAAGGCAATTACATCTATTATTTATCTAATAATTTCCTTCCTTCCACCCACCCTCCCCTCTTTTTCTATGGCAATTAGACCTATTGAAGGCAGTTCCGTCTTGCCTCTTGCACTGTGCTTCTAATATAATATAATATAATATAATATAATATAATATAATATAATATAATATAATATAATATAATATAATATAATATAATATATATACATATAATATTGATAATATTATAATGCAATACAATATACAAATAATAATATGATATTATAATTATATATATTTTATATTAATATGTATTATTATTATTATTATTGTTATTGTTATTATTATTTAGGGCTTTTATATCACGTCCTATCTCAACCTCCGCAGAGGGACTCAGGATGGCTAACAAAGCCGCACCCCATGGCGCCCACATCAAAACATAAATATACAATTTCATAGAATCATAGTTGGAAGAGACCTCATGGGCTATCCAGTCCAACCCCATTCTTCCAAGAAGTAGGAATATTGCATTCAAAGCACCCTGACAGATGGCCATCCAGCCTCTGTTTAAAAGCCTCCAAAGAAGGAGCCTCTACCACACTCTGGGGCAGAGAGTTCCACTGCTGAACAGCTCTCACAGTCAGGAAGTTCTTCCTAATGTTCAGATGGAATCTTCTTTCTTGTAGTTTGAAGCAATTTAACGGCAATGTAATAATAACAACAATATAAAACAGTATAAACTGTATAAACAATATAAAAACAATATAAAGATAAACAACAAATAGTCAGCGGTCACCGATTTAAATCATTATCCAAGGGCAGTTCTATATAAGTCAACATGTCAGTAGGTCAGCCTACTCTCCAAAGGCCTGATCCCATAGCCAGGATTTTACTAGTTTCCGGAAAGTCAAGAGGGATGCAGCAGATCTAATTTCGCTCGGGAGTTCCATAGCCGGGGGCCACCACAGAAAAGGCCCTGTCCCTCGTCCCAGCCAGACACGATTGTGATAATGGGGGGACAACGAGCAGGGTCTCCTCAGATGATCTTAGGGCCCTAGGTGGATCGTATATATTACAGTATAATGTTATAGTACAATGTAATATATAATATTAATACGGTGCTATGATAATAATATAATATATTGTATTTACTTTTTACTTGTAAGCCGCTCTGAGTCGCCTTCGGGGTGAGAAGGGCGGCATATAAATGCTGTAAATAAATAAAAAATAAATATTATTTCTGTAATAATATTCCCCCTCCCTTTTTAATATGGCAATTTGTTCTATAATTTCTCTAACAATTTACGCCCTCCCTCCCTCCCTCCCTCCCTCTTTTTCTGTGGCAATTTGTTCAACTATTCTCCTAACCATTTCTTTCCTTCCTTGCACTAGAGCAGTGGTACTCAACCTTCCTAATGCTGTGACCCCTTAACACAGTTACTCATGTTGTGAGGACCCCCAACCATAACATTATTTTCGGCACTACTTCATAACCGTAATTTTCCTACTGTTATGAATTGTAATGTAAATATCCATTATGCAGGATGTATTTTCATTCACTGGGCAAAATTTGGTAAAAATACACTTGCAATTAGCAGAAAACTCAGACTTCATCTTAGGGAAGAAGCAAGTGAATTAAGAAGGTCACAGAGACTCTGAGATGCAGCAGCATGAGAGATCTCACAGGAAAGGCAGCCAAAGTCACAGGCATGACTTCGTGTCTTGTGGGCCTCAAATCGGAGAGATGTTTCATGGAGAATTCAGATCAGGCAACACTGCATAGCAGTGAGGATTTCAAGCCTCGTTTCCAGTTCATGTTTTGAGTCTAAGGCACTGTTTCTTTATCTTCCTAATTCTTCCTAATTCCTAATCCACATGGCACTTCACGCTTTGCTCGCTAATGCACTGATGCTCAACTGTTGTATCCTGTTTGTTTTTGGATGCTCTGCTATATATTTTAGGGCAGTTTTCCCTAATAATAATGTTATAGGAAATTATGATATATGGTATGAATGGAATTGAATCCCAACAATGCTACCTATGTTGACATTGTTTTTTTTGGGCCTGCATCGAGTGCGCCTTGGTTTTGCTTTGGGCCCATGGCGGGGTTTGGGCTTCCCGGGGCTCTCTTTCTGCGCCTTCCTTGCTGGGAATGGGTGGAAGGGGCTTTGGGGGGCTGCACCGCCTTCCACACGCGGCCCCCTTCACCTGGCCGAAACTGAACTCTTTATTTCTTCCTTCCTTTCTTCCTCTCTCTTTCTCTTTCTCCTCCATCTGTTCGTCTGTCCCTCTGCTCCGTCTCTTTTGCAGCTTGGCAGCGACCTTGGCGGGGGAATTGGTGGCAGCCCTGCAGTAAGTGGCTTTCCTTCTTCTATTTTATGCAAGCATTTCAATTTGGATCGTTCTAGTTCCTGAGATATATTATACCCAGATTTAGGGCCAACACTTTTGGGTTTTGCAATACCTTATATTTGGATTTCAGGCCAATGCTTTTGGTTTTGGTTTTTGTTTTTGTTTTTGTTTTTTTGCAATTCTTTATACCTGGATTTAGACAATGCATTTGCGTTTTTTGCAATGGATTGTACCTAAATTTAGGGCCAACGCTTTTGGGTTTTTGCAATGCATTATACCTGGATTTAGGGCCAATGCATTCATGTTTCTGCAATGCATTATACCTGGATTTAGGGTCAATGCATTCATGGTTTTTGCAATGCATTGTACCCAGATCTAGGGCCAATGCATTCATGTTTTTGCAGTGCATTATACCTGGATTTAGGGCCAATGCATTCGTGTATTGACAATGTTTTATACCCGAATTTAGGGCCAACACATTCATTTTTTGCAATGCATTATACCTGGATTTAGGGCCAGTTCTTTTGGGTTTTTGCAATGCAATTACCCGGATTTAGGTCCAACTCATTCATGCTTTTTGCAATACACTATACACAGATTTATGGCCAATGCATTCATGTTTTTTGTAATGCATTGCAACTAGATTTAAGGACAACTTCCTTACCTGAATTCCAATGGGAAGGCTATAGGACCTGACTGCGGAGGATGAAGCTTCCCATTAGCAGGCAAGGCAAATGGCTCAATTGGGTGCTCTTAGTCGTTCAAGGAGGTGCCAAAGAAGAGCCTTTGGTTTGCAGGTGTATTGGGCATTGAATCAACCTTTGAGCATTTTTCTTCCTCTTCCTTCGTTCCAGGTGGGACAGACCTTCATCCCCTCCTCGGTGCCAGCAACCTTTGCCCCCTCGCCAACCCCGGCTGTGGTCAGTAGCGGGCTCAATGACCTCTTTGAGCTCTCCTCTGGTATCGGCATGGCTCCCGGGGGCTTCGTGGCCCCCAAATCGGTAGGTCACAAGGGGGCGGTGGGCCATCGTGGCCCCTTTCCAGTGATGGACAGTCTCTTTTCATGGGCCCCGCTGACCACTGCTTCCTCCTCACAGGTCTGGCTGCCAGCCGTGAAGGCCAAGGGTCTGGAGATCTCAGGGACCTTTGGCCACCGCCAGGGCCACATCTACATGGACATGAGCTTCACCAACAAGGCCCTGCAGCACATGAGCGACTTTGCCATCCAGTTCAACAAGAACAGGTGAGGAGGACAGCCCTCCAGTGCAGGATGGAAGCGGAGCAATAAGGACTTCCTCAAACAGTGGTCCTCCAACTTGGGGCCCTCCAGGTGGGATGGGTGTCAAATCCCAGAGTCCATTCACTATCGGCTGGGCCTTCTGGGAATTGAAGTCCATAACACTTGGAGGACCAAAGTCTGGGAACTGCTGTCATTGTTGCCTTCTTCTACCTTCTCCTTCATGATCAAGTTCTCCTCCTTCTACTTCTCTTTCTCCTTTTATTACTTTTCCTCCTCCTCTTTCTCCTTTTACTTCTCTTTCTTCTCCTCCTTGATGGTCAAGCTCTCTTTCTCCTCTCCTCTCTCTCTCCTTCTCCCTGGTGGTTGAGCTCTCCTTCTCTTTACTCTCCTTCTCCCTCTCCTTGGTGGTCAGACACTTCTTCTCCTCCTCCTTCTCTTTCTCCTTTTACTACTTCTCCTCCTCCTTGGTGGTCAAACTCTCTTTCTTCTCTCTTTCTCCTTCTCCCTGGTGGTCAGACTCTCCTCCTTCTTGTTCCTCTCCTTTTTCCTCTCCTTGATGGTCAAGCACTCCTTCTTCTCCTTCTCTTTCTCTTTTTACTAATTCTCCTCCTCCTTGGTGATCAAGCTCTCTTTCTTCTCTGTTTTTCCTTCTACCTGGTGGTCAGGCTCTCCTTGTTCCTCTCCTTGATGGTCAAACACTCCTTCTTCTCCTTCTCTTTCTCCTTTTCCTGCTTTTTCTCCTTCTCTTCCTTGGTGGTCAAACTTTCCTTCTTCTCTTTCCTCTCCTTCTCCTTGGTCATGAAACATTCCTGATTCTTCTTCTGCACTTTCTCTTTCTCATTTTCCTACTTCTCCTCCTCCTCCTTGGTGGTCAAGTTCTCCTCCTTCTCTCTTCTCCTCTCTTTCTCCTTCGCCCTGGTTGGTCATGCTCTCCTTCTCCTTCTCCTTCTTCTCCCTCTCCTTGAAGGCCCCTTCTGGGGTAGTTCCACTTGCCTCTGGTTCTACACTGGGATTTAGACAGGACAACATCAGCAATAAAGAGGAAGAGTCCACGTTTTGACCCAAAATGTCCAGAAATTGGGGATAATTTCATTCCAGGTCTTTCCTAATATCCACACATTTCTCCCCAAAGACTAAGTGGCGGTGGCGGCACCATCAAAGAAGTCATAGGGGTCCTCCAAGGAGATCAATCCTTTGACCTCTCTGCCTCATGTTGCTTCTCTGCCCCACAGCTTTGGCGTCATCCCCAGCACTCCATTGGCCATCCACACCCCCTTGATGCCCAACCAGAGCATCGATGTCTCCCTCCCTCTCAACACTTTGGGTCCTGTCATGAAGATGGAGCCCCTCAACAATCTCCAGGTAAGCTGGCAAAAGTTGAAGGACCATGTGAAAGGGATCGTTAGTCTGTGAGGTCTTTGGATGGATTTATAGGAATTGTGGTTCACCTATATCATAATAACAACAACAACAACAATATTAATAATAATAATAAACTTCATTTATACCCTGCCACCATCTCCCCAACAGGGACTCGGGGCGGCTTACATGAGGCCAAGCCCAGACATCCAGAGCACACTATGAACCCAAAAAACGGTAATGTGGCCCAAACTTGGCATGCGTACCCAATATGCCCAAATTGGAATATTGATTAGTTTTGAGGGAAATCGGCTTGGACATTTTGGAGTTGTAGGTTCTGGGATGTATAATTCACCTGCAGTCAGTGAGCCCTCTGAACTCCACCAAAGATGGAATTGGACCAAACTTGGAACACAGAACCCCTGTAACCAGCACAAAATTATTGGACGTCTTTGGGGAAAATTCACCTTGATTTGGGGGAGTTGTAGTTCACCTACATCCAGAACCCAAACGCCAATGATCTGGACCAAACTTCGCACATAGACCTGATATGCTGACATTTGATTACTGGAGGGGTTTGGGGGGAACTGACCTTCCTTTCTGGTAGTTGTAGTTCACCCACAACTAGAGAAACAGTGATCTCCATGGATGATGGACCTGGGCCAAACTTAGCTCACAGAATCCCCATGACTAACTCAACCTACTGGAGGGGTTTGAGGGGACGGACTCACCATAGTGAGAGTTGTAGTTCACCCTTCAGCCAGAGAGCACACTGAACTCCACCCATGATGCATCTAGAGCAAACGTGCCCAACATAACACATTTGAAGGACTGATTGAGTTTTTTAGGGTTAGCCTGGCATGATGTGAGTTGTAGTTCATCCACAACCTTATGCCTTTTGTACAATTTCGGAAGATTCAGATGGGTGGCTTTGAGCATTCCTTCCTCTGAAATATGATGTTTTCCCCATCTCTTTCCTGAAAACTCTCTCTCTCCTTCTCCGTCCTCTGCTCCAGGTGGCTGTGAAGAACAACATTGACGTCTTCTACTTCAGCTGCCTCATTCCGCTCAACGTGCTTTTCGTGGAGGACGGGAAAATGGGTGAGTCTGCTAAGATGGCCGCATGGCGCAAGCCTAGTTTGGCCAGGTCATTTATTTATTTATTATTTACAACATTTATATGCCACTCTTCTCACCCCAAAGGGGACTCAGAGCGGCTTACAAAATATATATACATACAATATATTATAATGTGTCCAGAGGACTAAAATGATCAAGGGTCTGGAGAACAAGCCCTATGAGGAGCGGCTTAAGGAGCTGGGCATGTTTAGCCTGAAGAAGAGAAGGCTGAGAGGAGACATGATAGCCATGTATAAATATGTGAGGGGAAGTCATAGGGAGGAGGGAGCAAGCTTGTTTTCTGCTTCCCTGGAGACTAGGACACGGAACAATGGATTCAAACTACAAGAAATGAGATTCCATCTGAACATTAGGAAGAACTTCCTGACTGTGGGAGCTGTTCAGCAGTGAAACTCTCTGCCTCGGAGTGTGGTGGAGGCTTCTTCTTTGGAGCTTTTAAACAGAGGCTGGATGGCCATCTGTCAGGGGTGCTTTGAATGCAATATTCCTGCTTCTTGGCAGGGGGTTTGACTGGATGGCCCATGAGGTCTCTTTCAACTCTATGGTTCTATGATTCTATCATACCTGCTTGGAAGGGGAATTGCCAACGTTGTGGGGGGACCATCGCTTCAATGCTGGTGGTCTTTGCTTCTTCCAGCACGCTGACATTTGTTCACCTGTCTTCCCAAGAGATTTTCAGGATTTTCCGGAGGCAACGCTGATGGAATCATTCCAGGAGTTGCATGTGACATCTGTAGACAGTCCACGTTTCACAGGCGTATAGTAGGGTTGGGAGGACAATAGCTTTATAAACAAGCACCTTGGTATCCCTACGGATGTCCCGGTCCTCAAACACTCTCTGCTTCATTTGGAAAAATGCTGCACTCGCAGAGCTCAGGCGGTGTTATATTTCAGTGTCAATGTTGACTTTTGTGGAGAGGTGGCTGCTAAGGGAGCGGAAAGGGTCAACATTTTCTAATGTTACACTATTAAGCCGTATTTCTGGCATTGGAGAGGGATTGGCTGGTGACTGCTGGAAGAGCACTTTGGTTTTCTTGATGTTCAATGACAGGTCGAGCTTCTTGTATGCTTCTGCGAAGGTGTTTAGAGTGGCTTGTAGATCTTCTTCTGAATGCGCACAGATGACGTTGTCATCCGCATACTGGAGTTCTATAACAGATGTTGTTGTAACCTTGGTTTTGGCTTTCAGTCTGCTGAGATTAAATAACTTGCCATCTGTCTGAGATGATTTCCACTCCAGTGGGAAGCTTCCCGTCAACAAGATGAAGTATCATAGCGATGAAGATGGAAAATAAGAAAGAATGTGTTCCACACTGAGCATGTGTATTCAACAGCAGAGTTTCAAAGCACAAGGGCAGATGCCTTCACTATGTCTGGTTGTGATTCCCAGGTTGTGCCAGTCAGCTTTCCTATGATATCTAGCACCCACTTTTTGCTTGATATTCAGGCAGTGCTTCTTATAAGTCAGAGCACAGTCCAGAGTGACTCCCAGGTATTTGGTTGTGCTGCAATGTGCCAGTGGGATTCCTTCCCAGGTCATCCTCAGAGCTCAAGATGCTTGTCTGCTCTGAAGGTGAAAAGCACAGGTCTGTGTTTTAGATTGATTAGGGATCAGCTGGTTTTCCCTGTAATAGGCAGTGAGGGCACCTAAATCTTCGGAGAGCTTCTGTTCAACCATTTCAAAGCTCCCTGCTTGGGCGGTGATGGCATGATCGTCAGCATAGATGGATTAGAAATCAGCTGGTTTTCCCTGTAATAGGCAGTGAGAGCACCCTGAGTGGTGGGAGTTATAGCTGTTTGTGGAGGCAGGAGCTTGTCTGTGTAAGTGGACAAAAATGAAAGCATTGCCTTCTTTCCCATTTCCGTAGAGCGCCAGGTCTTCCTCGCGACGTGGAAAGACATCCCCAATGAAAACGAGCTCCAGTTCCAAATCAAAGAGTGCCACCTCAATGCCGGTGAGTCGAGGACATGGGGCCTTTTCTATGGTTATGTTCCACTAGAGTTAGATAGGACTCCAAAGGCCATCTAGTCTGACCCCATTCTGCTGTGCAAAAAGACACACTTAAAGCACACCTGAAAGAGGCTCCTCCACCCTCTATTTAAGAATCCCCAAACATGGAGAGTCCAGTTTATGTTCTGCTAGAGTTAGAGGGGACCCCAAAGGACATCTAGTCCAACCCCATTCTGCTGTATAGGAATGCACAACTAGAACACACCCAAAAGAGGCCCCTCCAACCTCTATTTAAGGGTCGCCAAAGATGGAAAGTCCAGTTTATGTTCTGCTAGAGTTAGAGGGGACCCCAAAGAACATCTAGCCAACCACATTCTTGTTTAAAGTGGTCCCCCCAACCTCTATTTAAGAATCGCCAAAGATTGAGAGTCCAGTTTATGTTCTGTTACAGTTAGAGGGCATTCCAAAGACCATCTAGTCCCATTAAAGATCTCCAAGGAAGGGGAGTCCCAGACCCATAGAGCATTAAGGGGACCCCCAAAGGTCATCTAGTCCAATTAAAGACCTCCAAGGAAGGAGAGTCCCAGACCCACACAGGCAGACCATTATCCAGCATTAAAGGGACCCCCAAAAGTCATCTAGTCCCATTAAAGACCTCTAAAGAAGAAGAGTCCCAGACCCATGAAGGCAGACCATCATCCAGCATTAAGGGGACCCCAAAGTTCATCTAGTCCCATTAAAGACTTCCAAGGAAGAAGAGTCCCAGACCCACCAACACAGACTATCATCCAGCATTAAAGGGACCCCCAAAGGTCATCTAGTCCCATTGAAGACCTCCAAGGAAGAAGAGTCCCAGACCCACCAACACAGACTATCATCCAGCATTAAAGGGACCCCCAAAAGTCATCTAGTCCCATTGAAGACCTCCAAGGAAGGAGAGTCCCAGACCCACCAAGGCAGACCATCATCCAGCATTAAAGGGACCCCCAAAGGTAATCTAGTCCTATTAAAGACCTCCAAGGAAGGAGAGTCCCAGACCCACAAAGGCAGACCATCATCCAGTATTAAAGGGACCCCCAAAAGTCATCTAGTCCTATTACRGACCTCMAAGGAAGGAGAGTCCCAGTCCCACAAAGGCAGACCATCATCCAGCATTAAAGGGACCCCCAAAGGTCATGTAGYCYCATTAAAGACCTCCAAGGAAGGAGAGTCCTARACTCACATCCAGCATTAAAGGGACCCTCAAAGGTCATCTAGTCCCATTAAAGACCTCCAAGGAAGGAGAGTCCCTGACCTACCAAGGCAGACCATAATTGACAATTAAAGGGATCCCCAAAGGCCATCTAGTTCGACCCCATTCAGCCATATAGGAATGCACAACTAAAACACACCCAAAAGAGACCCCTCCAATCTCTGTTAGAGTCCAGTTTATATTCAGCTAGTTAGAGGGGAGCCCCAAAGGCCACCTAGTCTGATTCCTTTGCCATTCGATTGGAATCCTATTGCCCTCCTCTGGTTGGACTGCAGCACCCATTGCTACCAAAGGAGAGGAGTGCTGGGAGTTGCAGTCCATTGACAAATAGAGAAAGAAGCACAGGATCCATTTGCCACAAAATATGTGTTTGATCTCACGGCTTCTGTATATATGTTGCTCCGTTTGCCTTTTGTTGCCGCCTCTTCTTCCACCAAACTCCCCCACAGAGAAGATGGATGGCCCTTTCCGGCTGGGCGGCCTACACTGCAGGGAGCCCCGCATCCGAAGCACATGTTCCAGCTTCCCCAGGAAACCCATTAAGCTGAGGGGGCGGGCAGAAGGAGCTATTTTGGGTCCCAAAAGTGGCAGCGGAGGCGAAGGATGGAGGGAAAGGTTTCTGCTGCCTTCCCTTCCCCGGCTTTGCAATTCAGGAAAAGAAAGGAAAGAGGAAAGGGGGTCAAAGCAAAGAATCCTCCCCCAAATCTGGCTCAGCACCATGGCTCAGGGTTTCCCAGTTTCCCTTTCCTGCGTTATCAATGTCATTTCCATAATTGATTCTATCATCAAAACATGGGGAAAGTGTCCTAAACTGCACAAACTTCATTTTGTTTTGTCATATTAATTATTGTGGATAGATAGATGGTAGACCATTCAGTCGATGAGTAAATGATATAGACATGCCAGTTAATGGATACGTGATAGATGTGGATGAATGGATGAATTGATAGTTTGCTGTTTCAAATATTTATGTTTTAATGGGTTGTTTTGTATGTTTTTATTCTATGTTTTTATTCTCTTGTATCCACCTTGGATCTGTGCTGCTCAGAGAAAGGTGGGATAGAAATGTCTCATATAAATTAAATAAAAATAGTTGATAGACAATTGTGGATAGATAGATAGATAGATAGATAGACAGACAGACAGACAGACAGACAGATAGATCGCAAGTGGGAGGATAGATACATACATAGATAAATATGGTAGAGGCTCCTTCTCTGGAGGCTTTTAAGCAGAGGCTGGATGGCCATCTATCAGGGGTGCTTTGAATGCAATTTTCCTGCTTCTTGGCAGAATGGGGTTGGACTGGATGTCCCACCAGGTTTCTTCCAACCCTAGGATTCTATGATTCTATGAAATGGGTAGGTGGGTAGGTAGGTAGATAGATGATAAGTGGGTGAATAGATACATAGATAAATGGATAGATAGATAGATAGATAGATGTATAGGTGATAGGCAATGGTGGGTGCATGGATGTATGGATAGTTGATAGACATGGATGGCTATATATATATAGAGAGAGAGAGAGAGAGATGATAAGTGGGTGGATAGATAGATAGATAGATAGATAGATAGATAGATAGCTAGATGGATGGATGATAAGTGGGTGGATAGATACGTAGACAAATGGATAGATGGATGGATAGATAGATAGAAGATAAATATGTGGATAGATACATAGATGAATGGATATACAGATAAATAGATGAATATATGGATGTATGGGTGATAGACAATAGTGGGAGGATGGATGGATGGATAGATAGGTGGGTGAATGGATAGTTGATAGACATGGGTATAGATAGATAGATAGATAGATAGATAGATAGATAGATAGATGATAAGTGGGTGGATTGATACATACATAAATACATTGATGAATAGATAAATGGATGGATGGATGGTTAGTTGCTAGACAGTTGTGGGTGGTTAGATGGATGGATAGATGGAAGGATGGATGGTAAGTGGGTGAATAGATATAGTAAAGGTAAAGGCTTCCCTTTGACATTAAGTCTAGTCATATCTGACTCTGGGGGTTGGTGCTCATCTCTGTTTCTAAGCCAAAGAGTCAGCGTTGTCCATAGATACCTCCAAGGTCATGTGGCCAGCATGACTGCATGGAGCGCTGTTACCTTCCTGCCGAAGCTGTACCTATTGATCTATCCACATTTCCATGTTTTCATACTACTAGATAGGCAGAACCTGGGCCTAACAGCGGTAGCTCACGCCGCTTCCAGTATTTGAACCGGCAACCTTTCGATTAGCAAGTTCAGCAGCTCAGCGGTTTAACCCTCTGCACCACCACAGGCTCTATATTATATATGGATAGATATATACATAGATAAATGGATGGAAGATAATTATGTGGATGGGAAAGGATGCTGGGAACAGGTCTGAAAGCTTGGGCAAGTAATCGCCTCCTGTGACCAGGCATTCCTTTTCTCTCCTTCCCGAAAGATACGGTGTCCAGCAAGCTGCAGAACAACAACGTCTATACCATTGCCAAGCGCAACGTGGAGGGCCAGGACATGCTCTACCAGTCGCTGAAGCTGACCAACGGCATCTGGATCCTGGCCGAGTTGCGCATCCAGCCGGGAAATCCCAATTACACGGTGAGAATGAAAAGGGCTGGAAAAGTAACTCTATCGGTGGGATGGAGATCCTGCTCCAGTGGGTTGCAGTAGAGTAATTCTTATTTTATATAGATGTACCTTATAATAAATGTAATAACAATAATACTAAATAGAGTAAAATATTAAATGCAATAACAATAAAGTAAAATAAGTGTAATAAAAAGAATAATAGAGTGAAATAATAAATAGAGTAAAATAATAAATGTAATAATAATAGTAATAATAGAGTGAAATAATAAATGGAATAATGGAATAAAATAATAAATGTAATAACAATAATAAATAGAGTAAAATAATAAATGTAATAATAACAGTAATAATAGAGTGAAATAATAAATGGAATAATGGAATAAAATAATAAATGTAATAACAATAATAGRGTTAAATAATAAATGTAATAATAAAATAGAATAAAATAATAAATAATAGTAAATATAGAATAAAATAATAAATTTAATAAAGGTAAARGTCAAGGTTTTCTCCTGACATTAAGTCCAGTCGTGTCCGACTCTGGGGGTTGATGCTCATCTCCATTTCTAAGCCGAAGAGCCAGCGTTGTCCGTAGACACCTCCAAGGTCATATGGCTGCCATGACTGCATAGAGCACTGTTACCTTCCCGCTGGAGCGGTACCTCTTGATCTACTCACATTTGCATGTTTTCGAACTGCTAGGTTGACAGAAGCTGGGGCTGACAGTGGAAGCTCATGCCACTCCCTGGATTCGAACCTGCAACCTTTAACAAGTTTAGTAGCTCAGCGCTTTAGCCCACTGCACCACCGGGGGCTCCAATAAATGTAATAACAAATCAATAAAAATAATAAATACAGTGAAAGAATAAATGTAATAGTAATAATAAATAAAGTGAAATAATTAATGTAATAAAACCAAATAAAGTAAAGTAAAACACACTATTAATATATATATACACACAAGACCAAGACAGTCAGTCAATAATCTCCATAAACGCCTCTCTAAACCAACCAAGGGCCATATTGGTTAGGCTGGGGAATGTCAACTATTGAAGTCTTAAAAAGTTACTTTTTCTATAAAAAACACCTTATGCAATATTAAAACTTGGCTGCATTCTTGCAGGTAATAATATATGTCATGTAAAAAGAGTGGATAAGCACAAGTTAACTTGGATCGAAGAGTCCCTGATGTTGTCATATCTGTGGTTCGGCCATCTTGAGTCAAAGAGAGGCCCCATGGTGGTCTTTTAGGTCTACATGTCCACCATCTTGAGTCAGAGGGAGGCTTAATGGTGGCCCTTCCTCAAGAAAGAGACCCTCATGGCTATGTGTCAGCCATTTTGAGGCAGAGAGAGGCCTCATAGTGGTCCTTTCTTAAAGAAGGGAGTCCCTCGTGTCTTTATGTCGGCCATTTTGAGTCAGAGAGGGGCCTAATGGTGGCCCTTTCTCAAAGAAAGAGACCCTCATGTCTTTATGTCAGCCATTTTGTGTCAAAGATTGTGGCCTAATGGTGGTCTCTTCTCAAAGAAGGAGGCCTTCATATCTTTACGTCAGCCATTTTGAGACAGACAGAGGCCTCATGGTGGTCCTTTCTCAAAGGAGTCCTTCAGATCTTTATGTTAGCCATCTTGAGTCAAAGAGAAGTCTAATGATAGTCTTTTCTCAGATAAAAACTGCTTTATGTCTGCGTGTCGGCCATTTTGAGTCAGAGAGAGGCCTAATGGTGGTCCTTTATCAAAGAAAGAGACTCTCACGTCTAGGTATCATCCATTTTGAGGCAGAGAGAGTCCTAATGGTAATCCTTTCTCAAAGAAAGAGACCCTCATGTCTTTATATAAAACCATCTTGTGTCAAAGATTGTGGCCTAATGGTGGTCTCTTCTCAAAGATTCCTTCATATCTTTAGGTCAGCCATTTTGAGACACAGAGATGCTTCATGGTGGTCCTTTCTCAAAGGAGTCCCTCAGATCTTTATGTCAGCCATATTGAGTCAAAGAGAAGCCTAATGATGATCTTTTCACAGATAAAGACTGCCTTGTCTGCGTGTTGGCCATTTTGAGTCAGAGAGAGGCCTAATGGTGGTCCTTTCTCAAAGAAAGAAACCCTCATGTCTTGAGGGACTTTTGAGGGACTCTTAAGAGACTTTTTCTCAAAGGAGTCCCTGCCTTATGTCTGCGTGTCGGCCATTTTGAGTCAGAGAGAGTCCTAATGGTGGCCCTTTCTCAAAGAAAGAGTCCCTCATGCCTTTATATGAGCCATTTTGAGGCCTAATGGTGGCCCATTCGCAAACAAAAAGTCCCTCATGTCTATGTATCAAATATCAGCCATTTTGAGTTAGAGAGAGGGGACTAGTGGTGGTCCTTCTCAAAGAAAGAGATCCTCGTGTCTATGTATCAACCATTTTGAGGCAGAGAGAGGCCTCATAGAAATCCTTAAAGAAGGGAGTCCCTCATGTCTCTATGTTGGCCATCTTGAGACAGAGAGGGGCCTAATGGTGGCCCTTTCTCAAAGAAGGAATCTCTCATTTCTTTGTTGGCCATCTTGAGTTAGAGAGAGAGCTAATGGTGGCCCTTTCTCAAGGAAGGTCTCCCTCATGTCTTTATGTCAGCCATTTTGAGGCAGGCAGAAGCCTAATGGTGGCTCTTTCTCAAACGAAGGGTCCTTTATGTCTTTATGTCAGCCATTTTTAGACACAGAGAGGCTTCACCATTAGTCTCTTCTCTCATATCTTTAAGTCAGCCATTTTGAGACAAACAGAGGCCTAATGGAGCCATTTCCATTAGGTCCCTCATTAGGACTTTAGGACTTTAAAAGAAGTCCCTCATGTCTATGTATCAGCCATTTTGAGACAGACAGAGGCCTAATGGTGACCCTTTCTCAAACAAAGAATTCCTCGTGTCTTTGTGTCAGCTTTTGAGACAGAGAGAGGTCTCATGGTGGTACGTTCTCAAACAAAGAGTCTCTTGTGTCTTTGTGTCAGCCATTTGGAGTTAGAGAGACGCTTAATGGTCGCCCTTTCTCAAAGGAGTCCCTCACGTTTGTGTTGGCCATCTTGAGTCAAAGAGAGGCCTAATGGTGGCCTTTTCTGAAGGAAAGAAGGACTTCCTTGTACCTTTATATGAGCCATTTTGAGGTAGACAGAGACTTAATGGTGGCCCTTTCTCAATTGAAAGGTCCCTCATATCTTTACGTCAGCCATTTTGAGACAGAGTCTCTCATATCTTTATCAGCCTTTTTGAGACAGATAGAGATGTAATGGTGGCCCTTTCTCAAACAAGAAGTCCCTTATGTCTATGTATCAGCCATTTTGAGACAGACAGAGGCCTAATGGTGGTCCGTTCTCAAAGAGGCCCTCATGTCTTTGTGTCAGCCATCTTGAGTCAGAGAGAGGCCTAATGGTGGCCCTTTCTCAAAGAAGGAGATCCTCAAGTCTGTGTATCAGCCATTTTTAGGCAGAGAGAGGCCTCATAGTGGCCCTTTCTCAAAGAAGGAATCCCTCATGTCTGTGTTTCGGCCATCTTGAGTCAGAGAGAGGCCTAATGGTGGCCCTTTATCAAAGAAAAAGTCCCTCATGTCTTTATGTCAGCTATTTTGAGTCAGAGAGAGGCCTAATGGTGGTCCCTTCCAAAGAAGGGGCCTCTCATGTCTTTATGTCAGCCATATTGAGACAGAGAGAGGCTTAATGGAGGCCCTTTCTCAAACGAAGGAGCCCTTCCTGTCTTTATGTTGGCCATCTTGAGAGAGAGAGAGCCTTGTGCTGCTCCTTTGCGATCGAAATGACATGTTTCCTCCTTTTCCTCCTCTGCAGCTCTCCCTCAAATGCCGTGCTCCGGAGGTCTCCCAATACGTCTACCAGGTCTACGACGCCATTTTGAAGAACTAGGCCTTCGAAGGAGGAGGAGCCGCCATTTTGCGCCGGGTTTGGGGACCCGGCCACCGAAACGTTTCTTGTCTTTCTCTCTCTCTCTCTTTCGGGGGGGAGGCCGAGGTAGCGAAGTAGTTGTGTGCCCGCATTAACACAGTTGTGTCTTTTTGGGGGAGGAAGCACCCTCCTCCCCGTTTGATACTCTGCCATTTTGCCACCGCTTCCGTGCCACCATCGCCGCTCCTCTCCATTTCGTGCCAACGCTTTCACACACTCCTTTTTGTCGCCGGAGGACGCAAACACACTCAACTCACCCTTTTATATATATATATATATATAAAGAATATACTACTTGTTCCTTTTTTTAAAAAAATGAGGGGATGGGAATAGGGCATTGAAATCCATGAGAGTTGTAATACATCTAAAGGGGCACGTCTCCCCTGCCTGAAGTTCCAGAGTAAGGATTATTTAGTTGCCTTGGGATTGATTGATTGATTGATTGATTGATCGATGAATCAATTGATACTTGGTAGGTCTAGAGTAAGGGTTTATTTAGTTGCCTTGGAACTGATTGGTTGATCGATTGATTTTTAGCAGCTCCAGAGTAGGGATTGTTTAGTTACCTTGCAATTGATTGATTGATTGATTGATTGATTCCTATCAGCACCAGAGTAAGGGATTTTTTGGTGGTCTTGAAACTGATTGATTGATTGATTGAACAGTCGATTGATTCGTTGATTCATCCTTGGCAGCTCCAGAGTAGGGATTGTTTAGTTACCTCGGAATTGATTGATTGATTGATCCCTGGCAGCTCCAGAGTAAGGGATTGTTGAGTTGCCTTGGAATTAATTGATTTATTGATTGATCAATAGGTTGATTGATTGATCTCTGGCAGCTCCAGAGTAAGGGATTGTTTAGTTACCTCGGAATTGATTGATTGATTGATTTATCCTTGGCAGCTCCAGAGTAGCGATTGTTTAGTTACCTCGGGATTGATTGAGTGATTGATTGAGTGATCCCTGGCAGCTGCAGAGTAAAGGATTGTTTAGTTGCCTTGGAATTGATTTATTGATTGATCAATAGGTTGATTGATTGATCCCTGGCAACTCCAGAGTAAGGGATTGTTGATTTATCTTGGAATTGATTGATCCTTGGCAGCTCCAGAGTAGGGATTGTTTAGTTACCTTGGAATTGATTGATTGATTGATTGATCAATAGGTTGATTGATTGATTGATCCCCTGCAGCTCCAGAGTAAGGGATTGTTGAGTTGCCTTGGAATTAATTGATTTATTGATTGATCACTAGGTTGATTGATCTCTGGCAGCTCCCGAGTAAGGGATTGTTGAGTTACCTTGGGATTGATTGATCGATCAGTCATTTGAATGATTGATCCCTGGCAGCTCCAGAGTTGCCTTTCAATTTATTAATCGGCCAATGGATTTAGGGAACAGGACGCCTCCCACATGCCAGGCCAAGGCCCCTGTTTATCAGAAGCACGTGCACCACCAGACGTACTACAACTCCCATTGTGTCCAGCCAGAGAGAGAGAGAGAGAGAGAGAGAACGGGAGTCAGAGTCCAAGCTCTACCATTTTCAAGGGGGGAAAAGATAATTTGGTTGATGTTTACAGGGACGGTTTTGAGAYGGTACACAAAACAAAAGTTGTTTCCGACTTTTTTCTTCCTCTCTCTCTTTCTGCCTTTTTTTGTCTGCATGCCGGGTGAAATGGGGGGGGGGTCTTTTTCTGTCTTTAAAGGGAGGGGGTTTCTCTCTCTCTCTCTCTTTCAGCACTTTCTTCTGCCATTCCATCCTTCAGAGCCATCCGACTCCACGGGATCCGGGGGCCATGCTTTGCCTTTGTGTCGTTAAATAAATGTCATTTACACCGAGATCGGGGTGTGTTTCTTGTGTTCATTCAGGGATTTGGACCCGAAAAGGCAACACGTTTCGTGACTCAGGCCAGGCTTTGAATCCCATAGAAAGGGAAACTAATTATCTTATTTGTTTTTTTATTTCCTTTATTTTTATGCCACCTTTCATGGAGAGATGGATAGGTGAGGAATGGAAAGGAAGGATGGGTGGATTGATACATAGAATGAATGGATAGATAGGATGGATAAAAGGTAACGGTTTCCCCCTGATATTTAAGTACAGTCATGTCTGACTCTGGAGAGGCGGTGATGTGGGGGGGGGAGGGTGTGCTCATCTCCATTTCTAAGCCGAAGAGGCAGTGTTGTCCGTAGACACCTTCAAGGTCATGTGGCCAGCATGACTGCATGGACTGCGCAGAAGCCATACCTATTGATCTACTTACTTTTGCATGCTTGTGAACTGCTTGGTTGGCAGAAGCTGGGGCTAACAGCAGGAACTCACCCCGCTCCCCAGATTCAAACTGCTGACCTTTCGGTCAGTAAGTTCAGCTCAGCAGTTTAACCTGCTGTGCCACTAGGATGGATAGATAGAAAGAGAATGGATAGGAAGGAAGAAAGGAAGGAAGGAAGGATAGTATGAATGGATGGATGTAGAGAGAGAGAGGAAGGGAGGATGGATGGCTAGATAGATAGATAGATAGATAGATAGATAGATAGATAGATAGATAGGAAAGAACGATAGAAAAAAGAATGGATTGATAGATGGATGTAAGGGAGAAGGATAGGAAGAAAGATTAGGTAGGTGGGTGGATAGAGGAGGAAAAGATAGATAGATAGATAGATAGATAGATAGATAGATAGATAGATAGATGATAGATAGAAAGGTAGAACGATAGATAGATAGATAGATAGATAGATAGATAGATAGATAGATAGATAGAATGATAGATAGATAGATGATAGATGATAGATAGATAGATAGATAGATAGATAGATAGATGCAGATGGATGGAAAAGGGAGAGGATGGATGGATGGATGGATGTATGGATAGATAGATAGATAGATAGATAGATAGATAGATAGATAGATAGATATGATGGGGAAAGAGGAAGAAAGGATGGATACATAGGAAGGAAGGCAGGATGGATGGATGGATGGATAGATAGGATGGATGGATAGAAAAAAGGAAAGAAGGAAGGATAGATAGAATGGATAGATAGAAGATGGATAGATAGAAAGGCTGGCTGGCTGGATGGATAGTATTGATGGATGAATAGATAGGATGGATGGATAGAGAGAAAAATAGATAGATAGATAGATAGATAGATAGATAGATAGATAGGATAGGATAGGATAGGATGATAGGATAGGATAGGATAGGATAGAAAGGATGGATGGATGGATGGATGGATGGATGGATGGATGGTTGGGAGAAGGATAGAAAGAAATAATGGGTGGGTAGATTGGTGGGAAGGAGGAAAGGAAAAGAGAGTTGGAAGGAAGGGATGGATGGAAAGGAGAGGAAGATTAGATAGATTAGATAGAGACTCAAGGCAACTGACAACAAAGATGGTGCCAAAGAATTAAAACGAGGCAAATGGAATAAAATATGAATATCTGAAGAAAACTCTGGAGGTGCCAAGGATTGATCAATGGACTGATGGATCAGAAGCTGGGATCGAACCTAGCACCATCCACATGTCAAGCGGAGTGAGAGATTGTCCTGGGCCTCAACTGGTGCATCCCTTCTCAATGGAGCGGCTGCACTGCTCTGGTTTTTAGTCTGAAGTTCAAAAGGAATCTTCTGAGGCACAGCCTGAAATCCATCATCGTTCAAAAGAAATGGAACAAAGTTTCCCCTTGAAATGGCCACCTGAGGTGGAATCCAAGAGGTGGAAGGGACCCGCAGGGGTCATCCAGTCCAACCCAGGGAGGAAGACACCATCTGATCCCTCCCGACAGAAGGCCATGCAACCTGTTTATATCCTTCTTGAATTGAGAAATGGACTCAGGTGAGGCCTGAACAACATGCAATAGAATGGGGCTAGCACTTCCCCATTCTTCTTGATGCAGCCTAGAATTGCATTGGCCTTTTGTGCTGCTGCGTGACACTCTTGGCTCATGTCACATATATAATACTATTGCCAAGCCATGTCCTATATTACTTTTTTTCATTTAGACACGACTCCTATCGCTGCAACCTAGAATAGCATTGGCCTTTGTCATTGCTGCATCACATGCTTGGCTCATGTCCAGCTTGTGGTCATATATAGTATTATGGTCAAGTCATAACCTATCTCTCCATCCATCTCTATCTATCTATCTATCTATCTATCTATCTTGACATATTTCTAGGATCGCATTGGCCTTCTGCGCTGGAGCATAACACCCTTGGCTCATAGCCCAGCTTGTGCTCATATCTATAAAATGCTATGCTTGAGCCATAGCTTGTGTTCCTTAACTCTGTTTAGACACTAGTTCCCTATAGATGTGGCCTAAGATTGCATTGGCCTTCTGCGCTGCAGCATCACACCCTTGGCTCATAGCCAGCTTGTGCTTATATATACATATACATATACATGCGTATACATATATACATATATACGGCCTTTTGCGCTGCAGCATCACACCCTTAGCTCATAGCCCAGCTTGTGTCTATCTATCTATCTATCTATCTATCTATCTATCTATCTATCTATCTATCTATCCAAGCTCAAGCCACAGCCTGTACCCCTTAGCTCCATTTAGACACTAGATCCCTATAGATGTAGCCTAGGATCGCATTGGCCTTCTGCGCTGCAGCATCACACCCTTGGCTTATATCCCAGCTTGTGCTCATATGTATAATGCTATACTCAAGCCATAGCCTGTATTCCTTAGCTCTGTTTAGACACTAGATCCCTATAGATGTGGTCTAGGTTCGCATTGGCCTTTTCCGCCAATGCGAGTCGAAGGCCAAAACATCTGGGAGACCCACAGGTTGAGAACCACTACAAGCTTCCTCCGTTCCCTTTGTGTTTCTTGATTCTGGAGGGAACCCGTCAGTCTCTATGACCCTGAGGATTCCCTCCTCTCCTCCACCTCCTCCTCCTCTTTCCATCCCTCCTTCCTTTTTGCACATCCATCCATCCACACATCCAAGCCCCCCCTTCTTCCAGCATACTTGTCTGCATTGCAATAATAATAATAAAGGCCAAGGAAACACAGGAAGCAAAGGCAGTGCAGGAGGAGAGGCCTTCCATGCATTCATCCCCCCCTCCAATTAATTAATTAATCATTAATAATCATCCTGGAAGAGGTCTGGAAGGCAGCGCTGACCCCCAGGCCTGCTTGTGTCCATTGGCACAGGTTGAGTTCCTTTTGCAAGCGCATTGAGGCCCACCGTTCGGACCCCGGGAGCAGCGGCCAACCAAGATTTGGATGGAAGAGACCCCCATTGGGCCACCCTGCCCTTGGCGCATCCAGACCTGCCAGGTAAACATGGGCCTCAAAGGGGGATTCTTCACTGGATAGGGTGCAATCGTTGTATCCGCTTCCAAGCATCCTCTCTCCATCCATCCATCCATCCATCCATCCCTGCATCCTCTCCAACATCATCTCCGGCCTTGCCTTCGCTCCAAACAACACTCCATCCATCCTTCCATGCGTTTCCCCTTTGTATCTGTCTCCTTCTCGGGGTGCATTGGCTCCAAACATTACTCTTTTGGGGATGCTTTGGCTCTGAACGTCAGTCTTCTAGGATGCATTGGCTCCAAATATCAAACGTTCAAGGTGCATTGACCCCAAAGATCACCTTTCTGCTGTGATTTGACTTCAAACATTACTTTTTGGGGGTTCATTGCCTCCAAATATCAACCTTTTGGGGTGCATTGGCTTTTAATAGCAACCTTTTGGGGTGCATTTGGCTTCAGATATCAATATGTGGAGTATTGGCTCCACATATTGGCTTTTGGGGGTGCATTGGCTCCAAATACCAACCTTTCAGGGTATTTTTATTTATCGTGCCAGAGCAACCAGATATTTGTATTACATTTTTCACAAAACATTAGTATTGCGTTTTTAACCTTTTGGGGTGCATTGGCTACTAATATCAACCTTTTGGGGTGCATTGACCCCAAAGATCACTTTTTCTGCTGGGATTTGACTCCAAACATTTCTCTTTTGGGGTGCATTGGCTCCAAATATCGACCTTTTGAGGTGCATTGGCTCCAAATATCAACCTTTCAGGATGCATTGGCTCATATTGGCCTTTTGGGGTGCATTGGCTCCAAATATTGACCTTTCGGGGTTCAATGGCTACTAATATCAACCTTTTGGGATGCATTGACACCAAAGATCACCTTTTCCGCTGTGATTTGACCCCAAACATTACTCTTTTGGGATGCATTGGCTTCAAATATCAACCTTTTTGGGTGTATTGGCTCCAAATACCAACCTTTCAGGATGCATTGACTCATATTGGCCTTTTGGGGTGCATTGGCTCCAAATATCGACATTTCAGGGTACATTGGCTACTAATATCAACATTTTGGGATACATTGACCCCAAAGATCACCTTTTCTGCTTTGATTTGACCCTAAACATTACTCTTTTGAGGTGCATTGGCTCCAAATATCAAGCTTTTGGGGTGCCTTGGCTTATAATATCGGCCTTTTTGGGTGCATTGGCTCCAAATATCGACCTTTTGTGGTTCATTGGCTCCAAATATCAACCTTTTAGGGTGCATTGACCCCAAAGATCACTTCTTCTGCTGGGATTTGATTCCAAACATTACTCTTTTGGGGTGCATTGGCTCCAAATATCGACTTTTTTGGATGCATTGGCTAATAATATCGGCCTCTTGGGATGCATTGGTTCCAAATATTGACCTTTTGGAATGCCTAGACCCCAAAGACTGCCTTTTCTGGGTTGAATTGACTCCAAAACATTAGTCTTTTGGGGTGCATTGACTTCAAACACCACTCTTTTAGGGTGCATTAGCTCCAAATATCAACCTTCTGGAGTGCCTTGGCTCCTAATATCAAATTTGGGGTTCACTGGCTCCAGATATCAACCTTTCGAGGTGCATTGGCTCCAAATATCAACCTTCTGGGGAGCCTTGGCTCCTAATATCAAATTTGGGGTTCACTGGCTCCACATATCAATCTTTTGAGGTGCATTGGCTCCAAATATCAACCTTTCAGGGTTCATTGGCTTTTAATAGCAACCTTTTGGGGTGCATTGACTCCAAATATCACCTAATAATGGATGCAATGTATGGCTGGGGATGATGGGAAAGGGCAGAATCCTTATCTGAAAGGAGCCATGTCCAATGACAGCTGGATAATAATAATAATAATAATAATAATAATAATAATAATAATAATAATAGGGATGTATGGCTGGGGATGATGGGAAAGGTAGTCCAGGCAAAGGGCCAGAATCCTTATCTGAAAAGAGCCATGTCCAATGACAGATGGATGATGATGATGATACTATGTATAGCTGGGGATGATGGGAAAGGTTGTCCGTTCAAAGGGCCAGAATCTTTATCTGAAAGGAGCCATGTCCATTGAGAGCTGGATAATAATAACAATAATAACAACAACAATAATAAGAAGAATAATAACTGATGCTATGTATGGCTGGGGATGATGGGAAAGGTAGTCCAGGCAAAGGGCCAGAATCCTTATTGGAAAGGAGCCATGTCCAATGCTACCTGGATTCCATGGATATATTCTCCATTCCTTCGATTGGGACTCTTCTGATGGGGCTTCCTTCTTTTTTGGCTGCCTCGCAAGGAGATGGCTAAACACACATGGGATTTGTAGTACCAAACACATTGTTTGACTCAGCTTCTTAGTCTGGTGGAGTTATTCTCTGTTAAGATTGCTTCCCAATGTGACCTCCCCTCTTCTTTGCTTGAAGGGCAAATGACATTACAAGAGAATGGCTCCAGGCTTGGGTGATGATGAGATTTGTAGTGCCAAAAAAGCATTGCTTGAAGAAGCAATGGGAGACAAGTCTCCTCCACCTGATCCATTCCTCTCTCATTGAGACTTCTCTGATGGAGATTCTTGCACTGACCTTCCTTCTTGGCTTGCTCTTGCAGCAGGGGATGATGGGATTTGTAGTGCCAAAAGCACAGTGAAGCTCTGTGTGGTGTCTCCTCCATCCTGACCCATTCCTCTCATTGGGATTCCTTTGATGGAGGCCTACTTTGCAGGAAGATGTGTATTGGGGGACGATGGGATTTGTTGTGCCAAAAAGCATTGCTTTATTATGGAAAATATATTTTCCCCATCTCATCCATTCCTCTCTCGTTGGGACTCCTCTGATGGAGATCCCTGCATCTTTTCTTGGCTTACTCTTGCAGTGCGGGATGATGGGATTTGTTGTGCCAAAAAGCATTGCTTTACTATGAAAAAATGTCCTCCATCCTGACCCATTCCTCTCTCATTGGGACTCTTCTGATGGAGGCCCAACTTTGCAGGGAAATGTGTATTGGGGTGATGGGATTTGTAGTACCAAAAGCATTGCTTTACTATGGAAAAGGTATCTCCTCCATCTCATCCTTTCCGATCATTGGGACTACTCTGGTGGAGATCCCGGCATTGACCCTCATTCTTGCTCTTGCAGTGAGGGGGGATGCTGGGATTTGGAGTGAGTGCCAGAGCCTCTTCTTTGACACTGCCTTTCTTCTTTGCAGTGAGGGGCCTGCCCCGCAAGGCGATGGTTCCTGGCTCTGGCTGAGCCCACAGCTGCTGGAATATGCAGCCCGGGGGCCTCCTGGGCAGCGGAAAGGCAGCGGTCCGGGCCAAGGAAGAAGAGGAAGACGAGGAGGAAGAAGAGGAAGAGGAAGAAGGGGAGGAAGAGGAGGAGGAGGAAGGCCAGGGCGGGGCTGCCCGGCATGGTGACGACCACGACGCTGAAGGTGGCGGTGCTGGGCGCGCAAGGGGTGGGCAAGACGGCCCTGGTCCGGCAGTTCCTCTACAACGAATTCAGCGAGGCCCCCTGCGCCCCCACCAAGACCCGGCGCCTCTACCTGCCCGCCGTGGTCATCAACGGCCACGTCCACGACCTGCAGATCCTCGACTGCCCCCCCATCGCCGCCTTCCCCGTCAACACCCTCCAGGTGGGTGGCAATGGGCTCCAAAAGGGCAGGGGTGGGCACCGCTGGATCTTCACACCATAGTTTTACACATAGCTATACACACGAGATTGTCAACCTGGAGCTTCTCTTACTGAAGCTTCTCACACCAGGCCTTCTCACACTGTGAGGCCATCACTCACAGACTAAGGCCTATCTCACACTGTGAGGCCTTCTCTCACAGACTAAGCTCTACCTCACAGTGAGGACTTCTCCCACAGACTAAGGCCTCCCTCACACTATGAGGCCTTCTCTAACAGACTAAGGCCTCCCTCACACTGTGATGCCTTCTCTCACAGACTACGTCCTAACTCACACTGAGGCCTTGTGAGGACTAAACCCTACCTCACACAGACTAAGGCCTCCCTCACACTGAGGCCTTCTCCCTCAGACTAGGGCCTATCTCACACTATGAGGCCTTCTCCCACAGGCTAAGGCCTCTCTCACACTGTGAGGCCTTCTCTCACAGACTAAGGCCTCCCTCACATTGTGAGGCCTTCTCCCTCAGACTAAGCCCTACCTCACACTGAGGCCTTCTCTCACAGGCTGAAGTCTACCTTACACAGTGAGGCTTCTCTATCAGACTAAGGCTTCCCTCACACTGTGATGCCTTCTCTCACAAACTAAGGCCTCCCTCACACTGTGATGCTTTTTCTCATACACTAAGGCCTCTCTCACACTATGAGGCCTTCTCACAGACTGAGACCTTTCTCCCACTGAGGTTTACCTCAGACTGACAGCTACTAAGCTTCAGGCACACAATTGGGCTCAAAAAGATGGAAATAGATACCACTGGGCACCCCAAATGCCACTGGTGGGGCCAACAGGATGGAAATGATTACCAGAATAGCTCAAAAGGGTGGGAACGGGCATCACTGAATATCCATATGGTGCCATTGGAAACAAAAGGGTGGAAATGGGAACCTCTGGGCCCCTGAAATGTAAGCATAACACCAAAAATAGTGGAAATGAGCATCTCTGGGTATCTGCAATGGCATCAGTGGTGTCCAAAGGATGGAAATGGGTACCAGCATAGCTCAAAAGTGTGGGAATGCGCACCAAGTGGTGGAAATAGATACCACTGGGCACCTCAAATGGACCATTCAAACCAAATGGTGAGAAAGGGCAGCACTGGGCTCTCAAACTGGTAGAAATGGGAACTGATGAGTATCCAAAAGGGCACCACTGCCCAAAAGGGTGGGGATGGACATCGCTGGGTATCCACATGGCACCATTGGGCTCAAAGTGGTGGGAATGGACACCAGAATGGCTCAAGAGGGTGGGAATGGGAACCAATATGCACTCCAAATGGCACCATTGGCCCCAAATGGTGGTGATGGGGATCTCTGGGCATCCACATAGCACCATTGGGATCAAAGTGGTGGGAATAAGGTACCACTGCACATCAAAGTGGTGGGAATGGGAACCAGTGGGCACCCAAGATGGCACCAGTAGTCTCAAAATAGCAGAGATGGGCATCACTGGACATCCATATGGCACTATTAGGCGCCAAAAGATGACAAGAGATACCACTGGGTACCCAAAATGGTGGGAATGGAAACCAATTGGCACTCAAAAGGGTGGGAATGGGAACCAATGGGAATCCGAAATGGTGCCAAAGGATGGAAATGGGTACCAGAATGGGCTCTGTTGGGCTCAAAGGGATGGGAATGGGTATCATTGGGCTTCAAACTGGTGGAAATAAACACCCAGGCCCAGGAGAATGCCAAGGAGGTGGGAAGTGAATGAGATGAACTTGAGCTCTTGACCCAGGAAGGAAAAGAGGGCTATGGCATGGCTAGGGACCCCAACCCCAGCCTAAGCTTGACCCTAAGTGATCTCTCACTGTCTGTCCGTCTGTCCCTTAGGAATGGGCAGATGTCTGCTGTCGGGGCCTCCGGAGCGTCCACGCCTACATCTTGGTCTATGACATCTGCTGCTTCGACAGCTTCGAGTATGTCAAGACCATCCGGCAGCAGATCCTGGAGACCAGGTACGGGGTGCGATCCTTCGGGGCCATTCTTGTTTATTATTTTTGTTATTATGTCATTTCCTAATATCATAAAAACATGGGGAAAGCTTAGTAAACTGCACAAACTTTGTCTTTGCAGGAGGGGCGTCCTGATATAGCACATGTTGCTCTAGTTTTTCAATAAATATCTCATCATAGCATTTCAACCACTTCAACAGTTTGTGTCAACCATGAAAACAATGACATTTTTGGAGTAGGACAAATGCCAATAATGCTATTAATAATAATAATTGTTGTAGGTTATTATTGTTATTAAAGTTTATTAGTATTATTATTATAGCCTCTATCTGAGCCTGCAGTAAGCATTCACCTTGGAATCGTTCAGTAACAGCCATTCTTATTGTTGTTATATTATTATTATTATGATTGTTGTTGTTATCATCATTATCATAGCATCCCTCCAACCCTGCAGTATGCAGTCACTTGGAATCATCAGTAAAGGCCATTCTTGTTACCTTCTTCTTCTTCTTCTTCTTCTTCTTCTTCTTCTTCTTCTTATTATTATTATTATATTGTTATTGTTATCATCATCATCATAGCGTTCATCCAACCTTGAAGTAGGTATTCACTTGGAATTGTTCAGTAAAGGCCATTCTTATTGTATTATTATTATTATTATTATATTGTTATTGTTATTATCGTCATCATCATCATCATCATAGCATCCCTCCAAACCTGCAGTAGGCATTCACTTGGAATCATTCAATAAAGGTCATTCTTATCATTGTTATATCATCATCATCATCATCATCATCATCATCATCATCATCATTATCATAACCATAATTATAACATCCATCCAACTCTGCAGTAGGCATTCACTTGGAATTGTTCAGTAAAGGTCATTCTTATTATTTTTATATTATGATTATTATTGTTGTTGTTGTTATTATTATTATTAGAGTAGAAAGGCTGAGAAAGGCAGTATACAAATACACTAAATAAATATATTATTATCATTATTATTATTGTAGATGATGATAATGATTATAGTAGATTATTGCTATTGTTGTTGTTATAGTGTCCATCCGATTCTGCTTAGGCAGGGAATTGTTCAGTAAAGGTCGTTCTTATTATTGTTACAATGTTGTTATTGTTGTTATATTATTATTATTATAGTACATTATTATTACAGTACATTATTATTATTATTATTATTATTATTATTATTATTATTATTGCTTTTATTGTTGTTGTAATTATTATGATTTTGGTGTGGTTCGGTGAGGTCTCCCTCCTTGACCCTCTCCTTCTGTCTTTCCTCTATCTGCTTGGTGGCTGCAGGGTGATTGGCACCTCGGAGGCCCCGATCCTGGTGGTGGGCAACAAGCGTGACCTGCAGCGGGGGCGTGTGATCCCGCGCTGGAACGTCTCCAACCTGGTGAAGAAGACCTGGAAATGTGGCTACATCGAGTGCTCAGCCAAGTACAACTGGCATGTGCTGATGCTCTTCAGCGAGCTGCTGAAGAGCGCCGGCTGCCCCCGCTGCAAGCACCTCCACACCGCCATCCGCTTCCAGGGCGCCCTGCGCAGGAACCGCTGCGCACTCATGTGACCTATGACCAGGCCCAGGGAGGCACCAAAGGGGCCCCTTATCCAGGAGGGCGTCATGGACACCTCCATGAAGCAGCCGCTTCAACCGCCTTGGGAGAAGGATGGGATCGACCGACCCTCTTGTTTACATTGCAGTTGGGTTTGTTACCCTCTCCATGAAGCAGCCACTCCAACCGTCTTGGAAGAAGGATGGGAATCGACCCTCTTGTTTGAACCCCAGTTGGGTTTGTTACCCTCTCCACGAAGCAGCTGCTTCAACGGTCTTGGAAAGGGTCTATTATCTTGATCTGATTCCATTTGGTGTGTTACCCACTCCATGAAGCAGCTGCTTCCACCATCTTGGAAGGAATGGAGGACTTCTACCATCTTGGCTTGCTCTGACTCTCAATTTGTTTTCTTGCCATTCTCCACGAAGCAGCTGCTTTAACGGTCTTGGAAAGGGTCTGTTATCTTGATCTGATTCCATTTGGTGTGCTACCCACTCCACGAAGCAGCTGCTTCAACCATCATGGAAGGAATGAAGGAAGTCTGCCATCTTGGTTTGCTCTGACACCCGATTTGTTTTCTTCCATCCGAAGCAGACACCTCAACCATCTTGGAAAGGGTCTGTTATCTTGATATAATTCAATTTCGTTTGTTACCCAATCCACGAAGCAGCTGCTTGAACCGTCTTGGAAGAAGAATTGGCATCAACCCTCTTGTTTACATTGCAGTTGAATCTTTAACCATGAAGTAACCACTTCAAGCGACTTAGAAGAAAAGAAGTCTACCATCTTGGCTTGCTCCAACTCCCAATTTGTGTTCCATGAAGCAGCTGCTTCAACTGTCTTGGAAAGGGTCTGTTATCTTGATCTGATTCCATTTCGTTTGTTACCCAATCCATGAAGCAGCTGCTTGAACCGTCTTGGAAGAAGAATTGGCATCAACCCTCTTGTTTACATTGCAGTTGGATCTGTAACCCTCTCCATGAAGCAGTCACTTCAAGCGACTTGGAAGGAAAGAAGTCTACCATTTTGGCTTGCTCCGACTCCCAATTTTTGTTTTGTTTTTGTTTTTTTGCCGTATCCACGAAGCAGCTGCTTCAATGGTCTTGGAAAGTGTCTGATTGAGTCTCATTCCATGGGGTTTGTTACCCTCTCCACGAAGCAGCCCCTTCAACCATCTTGGAAGAAGGATGGGATCGACCTTCTTGTTTTGATTCCAGTTAGGCTTATTATTGCCTTCGTGAAGCAGCCATTTCAATGATCTTGGAAGAAAGGCAGCGACTATCTTGATTTACTCAAACTCCAATTTGGTTTATTACCGTCCCCATCAAGCAGCTGCTTCAACTGCCTTGAAAGAAGGATGGGATCGACCGACCCTTTTGTTTACATTGCAGTTGGATTTGTTATCCTCTCCACAAAGCTGCTTGGAAGGAATGAAGGAAGTCTACCATTTTGACTTGCTCTGACTCCCAATTTGTTTTCTTGCAGTCTCCATGAAGCAGCTGCTTCAACTGTCTTGGAAAGGGTCTGTTATCTTGAACTGATTCCATTTGGTTTGTTACCCTCTCCGTGAAGCAGTTGCTTCAGCCGTCTTGGAAGGAAGGAAGGAAGGAAGGAAGGAAGGAAGGAAGGAAGGAAGGAAGGAAGGAAGGAAGGAAGGAAGGAAGGAAGGAAGGAAGGAAGGAAGGGACGTGCCATCTTGGTTTGCTCTGACCTCCATTTGTTTTCTTTCCATCTCCACAAAGCAGCCGCTTCAACAGTCTTGAGCGGATTGGATCTATCACCTTGTTTTATTCCAGTTGGATGTCTTACTGCACCTGCAAAGTGTCTACTTCAGTGGTCTTGGAATGAAGGAAGTCTACGATCTTGACTTGATCTAACTCCTAATTTGTTTTCTTGCTAATGCCATGAAGAAGCTGCTGCAACAGTCTTGGGCGATGGGATCTATCATCTTGTTTTCATTCCAGTTGGGTTTCTTGTCACCTCCACGAAGCGGCCGCTTCAACAATCTTGGGTGAACAGGATCTACCATCTTGTTTTCGTTCCAGTTGGGTTTGTTGTCACCCCCATGAAGCGGCCGCTGCAATGGCCTTGGGTGGATGGGATCTACCATCTTGTTTTCATTTCAGTTGGGTTTGTTGTCACTCCCACGAAATGGCTGCTTCAACAGTCATGGGCGGATGGTATCTACCATCTTGTTTTCATTTCAGCTGGGTTCGTCATCACCCTCATGAAGCAGTCACTTCAATCGTCTTAGGAGGATGGGATCTACCATCTTGTTTTCATTCCAGTTGGGTTTGTTGTCACCCTCATGAAGCAGCTGCTTCAATAGTCTTGGGCAGATGGGATCTACCATCTTGTTTTCATTTCAGTTGAGTTTGTTGTCACTCCCATGAAGCGGCCGCTTCAACAGTCTTGGGCAGATGGGATCTACCATCTTGCTTTCATTTCAGTTGGGTTTGTTGTCACTCCCATGAAGCGGCCGCTTCAACAGTCTTGGGTGGACGGGGTCTACCACCTTGTTTTCATTCCAGTTGGGTTTGTTGTCACTCCCATGAAGCAGCTGTTTCAACGGTCTTAGGTAGATGGGATCTATCAGAACCTTGTTTTCATTCCGGTTGGGTTTGTTGCTGCTGCTTCGCCGATCTTCAATCTTCCTTGGCCTGATTCCACTCCACTTGGGTTTCTCGCCCCTTCCATGAAGCGGCCGCTTCAATGCTCTTGCACGGTTGGGATCTATTCTGTTTGGGCCTTGGGATGACCCTCTTTCTCGGTTTGGGTTCAGCTCCAGACGGGAAACTGAGGAAATGGCCCGTACTTTGTTGCACTTTGGAGCCATTTCCTCACCCACTTCCACACCTTTTTGGAGGGCCAGATCTGGACCAGAAGGTGAAGGACCTCAGATGGGACTCCACTGGGTTGCGTTGAGAGGGGAAATGAATGCCTTGGGAATGCTCCCTATAGGGGAAACCTCGGGCGGTGAAGGAAAGATATTGGGGAGAAGCCGTGCTTCCTTTCTGGGACTTTCTGAGGACCGATCCAGCTCTGCTGTTGCTTCCAGAGAAGAATTCTGAGGATCCGCTCCTGGTTTTGGCTCCAGCTCTGAAGGGACTTGCCGATGCGCCTGTAAAGAAGCACCTTGGAGAGCACCTTGAAAACCAGGAGTGGATCTTGGAATGGATTGCCTGCCTTTGCTGCCCTGGGATGGCAATAAATGCCCCTCTCTTTGGACTTTGAATCGGAGGGGCCTTCGGGGTGGAAGGTTAGGGGGAAAACGTCCAACCTTTTCTTTTTGGAAAGAGATATCAAAGCATATATATCCGAGAGATGGCCTGAGTGCAAAACAAACACATCCATGAAAATGATTGGGGGCTTTTTCTTCCTGAGACTCCATTGAAGTCTTTAGCAAATCCCTTGCAGAAGGATCAGTCATAGGAGGTGACTTTTGCCACCGCCTCCTATAATAATAATAATACGATTATTTGTTATTTATATTATTTTTGTTATTATTTATTTTCAATTATTATTAATTACATAGCTATTATTTATATTATTTTATATTATTTACATTATTATTTTGTATTATTTGTATTTTATATTATTTTATTTTGTAGTATTTTTATTTATATTTTTATATTATCTTATATCCTTATTTTTTATTTTTTTATTATTTTGTTATTAAGTGTTGATTATTATTATTTTATTTATTCTGTATTTATTTTTGTTATTATTTATTCTGAATTTATTATTATTTATTTATTAATCTTTGAAGTCTTTGGCAAATCCCTTGGAGAAGGATCAATAATAGGAAGGGGCCTTTCCCACCACCTCCATTATTATTATTATTATTATTATTATTATTATTATTATATTCTTGTATTATTATTTTTATTCTGTATATTTAATTATTACAATATTATTTATTACTTATCTATTATTTTTATTATTATTTTATTATTATTATTTATCCTGTATTTATTATTATTCATTATTGTCATCTATTTATATTATTTTATATTATTATTACTAGTCTATTATTACTATTTTAATATTATTATTTATTTGGCATTTATTATTGTTTATCATTGTTATTTATAGTATTTAATATTATTTTATTATTTACCCATTATTATTATTTTACTAATATTTATTCTGTATGTATTGTTATTTATTATTGTCATCTATTTATATTATTTTATATTATTATTACTTATCCATTATCATTATTTTGATATTATTTATTCTGTATGTATTATTTATTATTGTCATCTATTTATATTATTTTATATTATTTTATTATCAGTTAATATCCATTATCATTATTTCAATATTATTTTAATTAGTATTTTAATATTATGATTTATTCTATATTTATTATTGTTTGTGGCGCAGTGGGTTAAAGCACTGAGCTGCTGAGCTTGTTGATCGAAAGGTCGCAGGCTCGATTTCGGGGAGCGGCGTGAGCTTCCGCTGTCAGTCCTAGCTTCTGCCAACCTAGCAGTTCGAAAACATGCAAATGTGAGTAGATCAATAGGTACCACTCCGGTGGGAAGGTAACGGCGCTCCATGCAGTCATGCCGGCCACATGACCTTGGAGGTGTCTACGGACAACGCTGGCTCTTCGGCTTAGAAATGGAGATGAGCACCACACCCCAGAGTCAGACATGACTGGACTTAATGTCAGGGGACTACCTTTTTACCTTGTCATTGTTATTTATAGTATTTTATATTATTTTATTACTTATCTATTTATTATTATTATTTATTGTCATATATTTATATTATTTTATATTATTATTTCTTATCCATTATTATTTTAATATTATTATTTATTCTGTATTTGTTATTTATTATTGTCATCTAGTTATATATTTTTATTATTATTTATGAATTATTATCAATTCTTATTCTTTCGATATAATAATATTATTTATTCTGTATTATTATTATATTGATTTAATATAATCTAAGTAGGACTAAGTAGGGTTTTTTCCTTTTTTTCAGGGGGATGCACTCAGGTCCTTCCATTGGGGTGGGAGATGGGGGGGAAGCAACTCCCTGCCTCTAGAAATCTAGCTTTCTCTGTTGCGGGAAATGAGCCGTTTCAATTTATTTCCTTCCTCTTTTTTTGAAAAACGAAGGGATCCCACCCAATGATCCATCCCTCTTCCTTTGAGAAGGAAGCCTCCCGACCGGCCGGTCAAACTTGTACTTAAAACTCATAGATGAATTATTTTCTGGTGATTCAAAAAAAAACAAACGAATAAAGCGAGTGACTAGTTTTGCTCTCGGCTTCCTGTTGATGGATTGGCGGCATTTGGGGTTTCAATGTGTTGTCAAAGGCTTTCATGGCCGGAATCGCTGGGTTGCTGTGAGTGTTGCTCTTTGGACATTGCTCTCCTCAAATAAGTGTCCCAGCTTTCTAGGTAGATATCTGGTCTATTATGAAAGAGAGGTACCTACCTATTCCTTCCCCCTTTTTCTTCCCCTTTCTCTCCTTTCTTCCTTCTCTACCTCTTTCTTTCTTTCTTTCTTTCTTTCTTTCCTTCCTTTCTTCCTTTGCCTCCTTTCTTCCCTCCATGTTTCCTTCCTTCTTTCATTTTTTATTTCCCTTTCTCCTTCCTTCTTTACCTCTTTCCTGCCTTTCCTTCCTTTTATTTTTCTTTCCTTTCTACTTTCTCTTCTTGCTTCCTTCGGTACCTCTTTCTTTCCTGCCTTCCCTCCTTCCTTTCTTCCTTCCCAATGCTTACCAAACCCTTCTCATGGGAGTCCTGTGTGCCACGTTTGGTTTAATTCCGTCGTTGGTGGAGTTCAGAATGCTTTGATTATAGGTAAACTATAAATCCCAGCAGCTACAACGGAGGGGGGTGGGAGGAGGAGGAGGAGTGCATGGGGCGTCGGTGGGTGTGGGCGGGGCTTTGGCGGAGGGGGGTGGGAGGAGGAGAAGGAGTGCAGGGGCGGGGCGTTGGTGGGTGTGGGCGGGGCTTCGGCGGGGGGGGGGAGGAGGAGGAGTGCATGGGCGGGGCGTCGGTGGGTGTGGGCGGGGCTTCGGCGGAGTGGGGTGGGAGGAGGAGGAGTGCATGGGCGGGGCGTCGGTGGGTGTGGCCGGGGCTGAAGAGGGGGGGGAGGAGGAGGAGGAGGAGGAGTGCATGGGCGGGGCGTCGGTGGGTGTGGCCGGGGCTTCGGCGGAGAGGGGTGGGAGGAGGTGGAGGAGTGCATGGGCGGGGCCTCGGTGGGTGTGGGCGGGGCTTTGGCGGAGGGGGGAGGGAGGTGCAGAGGGTGCGTTGGCCGTTTGGCCATGTGCGTGCGCCGGGGACTTTGCGCCATTGCGCATGCTCAGTTGTTTTGTCCTTTTGTGAGTGTGTTGTTGTGTTGTTTTTTATTTTGATTTGATTTGTTTGTACCTTGTGGGTTGAGGTATGTGCATGGGAATTTTGGTTAATTTTCGTTGGGGGGGTGTTGAGTTTTGCTGTCCCGTTGGATGCCCCTTACAGATTTATATATATAGATACTATGTTCGTTTTGAGTGAAATCATAACTCAAAATCCGCTGGATGAATTGCTGCCAAGACCCCTACTAACCCAAGGAGTAACCATCACTCAAAAAAAATTATTTTGTCACTAGGGAGCTGTAGTTGCTGGGATTTATAGTTCACCTGCAATCAGAGCACTCTGAACTCCACCAGCAATGGAATTGAACCAAACTTGGCACACAGAACTCCCATGACCAACAGAAAATGCTAGAAGGGTTTCGTGGGCATTGACCTTGAGTTTTGGAGTTGTAGTTCAACTACATCCAGAGAGCACTGTGGACTCGAACAATTGAAAAATCTAGGCCAAACTTGGCATGACTACTTCATATGTCCAAATATGAACACAGATGGGAGAGTTTGGGGAAATAGACATTGACATTTGGAGTTGTAGTTGCTGGGATTTATAGTTCACCTACTATCAAAAAGCATTCTGAACCCCACCAACAATAGAATTGGGTCAAACTTCCCACACAGAATCCCCATGACCAGCAGAAAAAACAATGTTTTTCAGTGGTCTTTAGCGACCCTTCTGACCCCCTCGTGATTCCCTTAGGGGTCCTGACCCCCAGGTTGGGAAATGATGCCTTAAGGCCATCCAGGGCAAGAAAACATAATCAAAGCCCTCATGACAAAAAGCCATCCAGCCATAGATATAGATAGATATATATGATTCACACACACACACATATATGTATATGACAGATATAGTACTAGAGATTTGAAAGGGACCCCTAAAGAAGGACAATTATACGTTGCATGTTTCAGAATAGGTAAACCAGACAACATCTGCATCAACACAGACAAAGAAATATTGTTTACCCACAAGTATAAAGAAATTACATATATTAGAAACCAACACCTTCTCATTATTTTCAAGATCACCAGACTGGGCCACAGCAATGCATGGCAGGGGATGGCGAGTAGGTTATAAACATAATTGTATATTGCTCCCTTTCAAAAAGTATTCTCTCACACATATAGAATCATAGAATCAAAGAGTTGGAAGAGACCTCCTGGGCCATCCAGTCCAACCCCCTGCCAAGAAGCAGGAATATTGCATTCAAATCACCCCTGACAGATGGCCATCCAGCCTCTGTTTAAAAGCTTCCAAAGAAGGAGCCTCCACCACACTCCGGGGCAGAGAGTTCCACTGCTGAACGGCTCTCACAGTCAGGAAGTTCTTCCTCATGTTCAGATGGAATCTCCTCTCTTGTAGTTTGAAGCCATTGTTCCCTTGCGTCCTAGTCTCCAGGGAAGCAGAAAACAAGCTTGCTCCCTCCTCCTTCATGTGGCTTCCTCTCACATATTTATACATGGCTATCATATCCCCTCTCAGCCTTCTCTTCTTCAGGCTAAACATGCCCAGCTCCTTAAACCGCTCCTCATAGGGCTTGTTCTCCAGACCCTTGATCATTTTAGTCGCCCTCCTCTGGACACATTCCAGCTTGTCAATATCTCTCTTGAATTGTGGTGCCCAGAATTGGACACAATATTCCAGGTGTGGTCTAACCAGAGAAGAATAGAGGGGTAGCATTACTTCCTTAGATCTAGACACTATGCTCCTATTGATGCAGGCCAAAATCCCATTGGCTTTTTTTGCCGCCACATCACATTGTTGGCTCTTTTATCCCCTCGTTAAGCTAATTCTGAGGTCCATCAGTGCTCCCCCCCCCCCAAATGATGCAGTCAATAATAATTCAGATTAGAATCCAAAGACAAAGTTCAAGCGGATTTGACTCTTGACTCATGATCAAAACGTCAATCTTTCTGCATTTACTCCAATGCCACTTAAAACATAGCTAAACAGAGGACGAGGATGGGATAAGCCTAGAATAAGACTTTGCAAGAAAAGGAGAGGCTTTGTTCACTGAGGCAGGAAACGTATCGCAAAAAAACACACCCTTTTATTACCACCTACAAAACTGTAAACAACAAATTCTAGACCTTATATTTTGAAAACCAACACCAAATTCAAATCAATTTCTTCCAGCATTTGGAAGAAGCTAAAAGAAGGCGTTCAGGTTGGGAAGAAGTCTCACTGTTGTATAGAGGACTCTCTTTTAGTTCTTCAAGTGTTCTCATCACCACACTGTGCGGTTCAACAAAATGGAAAACTGCATCATATCACTCAACCCAATACGTTTCACAAAGCAGCAACAGGTTGTTTGCTCTTGATTCATTTGGAAGGAACCCTTTCAAAACCCTCTAAATGGACTCAGCACTATAGATAGCTTCGCTATAGTTAGGAGTGGATTTAGGTTGCCCCACTGACACAGATGGGCCACCCTCCATCCCATATATTCAAACACAATTTGTCAGGAAAAGATAAAGATCAACAATCAAACAGGCTAAGGAATTTGGAGAGTGGTGGATATCATCCATAGTTCTTAATTTCTGAATGGTTTCTCATTTTCATGACAGTCAGACAGAATCTCCTTCCTTCTCTGGAATTTCTTCAACAGAGGTTGGGTGGCTGTCTGTTGGGAGGGATTGGATGGTGCCTTTCTGGCAGAAGAGGGTTGGACTGAATGGGCTTTGGGAGCCCCCGTCTGACTTGACTCTAGGGTTCTATGACTGCAAGCCAAGCTTCAAAAAGCAATGTTTTGGATGGTGAGCAAGAGCAAAAGGAGGCACATTCCCCCTTTTTTAATGAATCAGCGCAGAACTCAAACACAACGCCTATTTCCTTAATCCAGGATGGTGAGGTTCCTGGTTCTAAAGTTTGTCAAAGTGTCTTGCTTTCCGTGGAAAGTCAGACCCAGGTCTCCTTGCTCTTCAGGAGCCCCATCTCCCCATCTTTCTTGATATTCCCCAAACAGTTTTTCTCCCAGCGGTCACCTTGGCTCAGGGTTTTGGGGCCGAGGGTCTTCTGCTGACCCGTCTGCTGCCTGTAGTGGTGTCCCACCGGCCGGGGGATCTTGGAGGGCCTCTTCTCTGGCCGGTGATCCTTCCGCGGTCGGATCTGGGGGCGCAGCTTGAGCTTGTATATGGATGGCACTCGCTTCGGCTTCTTGAGGGACCGTTTGGGTTTCTCTGGGGTCAAGGCAGCCTCCTTCGATGCAATTGGGTTGGTGAACATTGAGGCACTGCCATTTAACTCCGCCTCCTTGATTCCCACCTCCTTTGGTTCAGTGTCTTTGGGGGCAAGGCTCTCCTCTATATTTGGGGATTTCCTTTCCTTCAAAGGTCTCCCCGTCTTCACCTGTTCGTGATTCAGTGCCACTGAGAGTTCCCGGATCACATCCTCATAGCATCCCCCAACCAGTGGCCATTTTGCCCCTCTTTCAGGCACATAGACCCCGCTCCGAGGCACCCTTTCCCCATTGACACAGACCTGCTTATGCTCCAAACTGAAGCCATCAGGTCCCAGAGCTTTGCCAGTCTTTAACTCATTGCCTTCTAAGTTGTCCTCAAGCTCCTTGACATTGGCCATGATTTCCTCCTCCAGACTTTGATACAGTGAACATTCATCCTCCAGATTTACTGGCAAAGGGGTATTGACACATCTTTTCTCTATAATACTCCCATAACTCTTTTGCACACCTCTTTGCAGCCTTTGTGGGACTCGCTGATCACTCCTTCTATTCCTGTCAAGATCCATCACGTCCATTCCAGGCTCTGCCCTCGATCCAGATACTTCCACCAGATTGGTTTTCCCTTCTTCCTTCTTATTGTTTGGCCCTTGGGTCCCATTTCTACAACAAGGAAGACTTTTACTAGGAGTTGGAGGCCTGTAGTTAGTTCGACTAACTTTCCCTGTGGCCAAAGCTTTCATTTTGGGCACTGGGGTTTTGACCGGAGAAGTTGACCGCTGTGTTATGAAATCTTTTCTCTGGCTGTTGAGTGTAGGAACTCTTTCTTGTGTGTTGGAGGCTCGAAGAGGCTTCGTTGGGCTGGAAGGACGAGTCAAAGGACAACTATCCCTCTCTTTATGGCGACTGGTTTGAGGCGTTGCAGCCCTCATTGCTGGTTTCTTAGCCATCTCTCTCTGAGGGTCCAAGTCAGTCTGAAGGCTACCAGACCCCCATCTAGAGATGGGCAAGTCCTTCATTGGGTGTCTGTCCATCTGACTGAAGGCATGAAACGTCCCACTTTGGCCATGCTGCTCCAAACTAGGTCTTTCCTCTGCAGTTGTCCACCTTCCAGATGGAGCAGTTGATTGTTCCCTTATCCTGAAAGAGATTAAAAATGGACAGTGGACACCAAAGTTGATTAAAAACTAACAACGGACATCAACGCTAATTAAATATTGTCAACGGACACTCAAATTTGTGAAAAATAGACAATGGACATGAGTTGGTTCAAAATGGACACTGAAATTGATGAAAAATGGACAACCGACACCAAAATTGGTTAAAGATGGACAACCAAGTTGATTAAAGATGAACAATAGACACCAAATTTAGTTAAAGATATACAATGGCACCAAAGTTAAGTAAAGATGGACACTGAAGTGGATTAAAGATGGACAACGGACACCAAAGTTGGCTAAAGATAGACGCTGAAGCTGGTTAAAGATGGAGAAGAGACAACAAAGCTGAAGTTCACTATCTCAGCTTCAGTTGCAAATGGCTCACCTGTCGGATGAAGAAGCCCTCCTAGGTCCAATGTGGTCTTGGGAGATGGACCTACTTGTCACTTTCTTGCGGTCATCAAGGCCAATGTTGTCCACTGAAGGTCCAGAGGCTACCTTCCACCCAGATCCCAGACCTGGGGAAACGTAGGTCCTCCACTCCACTGGGGGCAGCGGGCTTTGTGACCGGCTGACAATGAGGGCCGTCGGCTGTGGCACATGGGGTTTGTTATCTGTCCGAGGGGTCAGTCGGGCTGTGATTTCATGCTGGACCGGCATGGCAAGCGTCCGTTGGGGGTTGGACATCCTCAAGACCTGTTTGTGGGCTGCAGAGAGGATCCAGACAACAGTATGAAATGAGACCTGCTTTACTATCCCGAGTTTTCTTGGGATGGTAACACATTTTTCTCAGCTTTCAGCACTGCTTCTCTGTGACATTTCCAGGAAAGTAGTTCACTAAAACAATTCCATCATATTTGAATATATGGATTTGTACTATGCCATGTTGGTCTAAAACTTATTTCTGTCTGGGGCAGTTTCTTCCAAAAACTATAACCTTGGTTTTGGAGTAATTTATTGACAGAGCTTCCTCTTGGCAGTAGGTCCTGAAAGCCTTCAAAAGATTTTTAAGACCCAACCAAGAGAAGGAGAAAAGCACAATATCGTTTGCATACATTGTTTGGTGAAGGAGAGTCAGTTTTAGCTAAATAAGGCACTAAATCATTCACAAAGTGTGGGAGCTAGTAAGTACCCCTGTTTTACTCCTGTGTTGTTGTAAAAGCTTCTGTCAGATAAGCATTTCTGCCAACTCTGACCATCATTTCTGAAAAATGTACCTATATATATGGTAAAATATAAGTCTACTCAAAGTTAAGAAAGATGAACACATAAAAATTTAAGTGTCATAAAGTAACAGAACGGGAGGAAGATAAATTTTGGGAACTTGTTACCAGAGGACTACAAGGAGTAAGATGTACATCGGAAGCCTCAACCACTACCTTTACTTGGAGATACTGAAGAATATCAAGGTCAATCTCATCACCAACAAAAGACAGGTATATCCAAGTCACTGGAGCACTGAATCCATGCTGGGTTTGGGCTGGTGGTAAAATATCTCCTGGAGTGGATATATAGTTCTATTGATAGTAAGTAGGAAGTTATGGAAGCCTGGGGTAGATCCACTGCCCCTTTGATAGTAACATAGGGCAGTAAGAGCTTCATGAAAGCTTGGTGTAGATCCACTGCCCCATTGGCCTGAGATTTGAGAGATCTAGGTTGCATCCCATAATAAACTATAAAACACTCAGGGAGATCTTCAGGCTTGTACTACCTTACAGGGTTGTTGTCATAAGGACTGATGGAAGAGTAGGAGTCAGGGAGTCATTGTAACCTAATGGGGCTCAATAGAGGAGAGGTAAGATAAGGATGTAACAAATCAATTAATCAGTTAGGTCAATTGGTCTGGGATTTGGAAGATCTAGGTTGCATTTCCTACTAACTACTTCCCTACTAAAGGTAAGATAGGACTGTATTCAATCAATCAATTAGGTCAATTAGTCTGGGACTTGGAAGATCTAGATTGCCTTTCCTACTAACCACTTCCCTACTAAAAGTAAGATAGGACTGTATCTAATTAATCAATTAGGTCAATTGGCCTGGGACTTGGAAGATCTAGATTGCCTTTCCTACTAACCACTTTCTTACTAAAGGTAAGATAGGACTGTATCTAATTAATCAATTAGGTCAATTGGTCTGGGACTTGGAAGATCTAGATTGCCTTTCCTACTAACCACTTTCCTACTAAAGGTAAGATAGGACTGTATCCAAACAACGAATTAGATCAATTGGTCTGGGACTTGGAAGATCTAGGTTGCCTTCCCTACTAACTACTTCCCTACTAGAGGTAAGATAGGACTTTATCCAATTAATCAGTTAGGTCAATTGGTCTGGAATTTGGAAGATCTAGGTTGCCTTCCCTACTAACTACTTCCCTACTAAAGGTAAGATAGGACTGTATCCAAACAACGAATTAGATCAATTGGTCTAGAATTTGGAAGATCTAGGTTGTCTTCCCAACTAACCACTTCCCTACTAAAGGTAAGATAGGACTGTATCCAATTGATCGATCGTAGGGATGGGAGTGTTGGTTTGGGACCTGGGAGATTTAGGTTGCCCACGATTGAAAGCAAGGTAGGTCTGCAACAAATCAACCAATCAATCAATTCTATGCATGATGGACATACAGAGGGAGGTGCAGCGGCAGGGGTCATGTTTGTCCAAATAGTGCTCCAACGTATCCCATCCTCCACCGACTCGGACCATGACGTGTTTCCGCAGGATCTAAAGGAACGAGAAGAGAAACCATCATCAAATAGGATTTAGGATTAGCTGAGGCTCGGTGCCTCCAAAGCCCCTAGTATCTATTCCAACCAGATACTAGAGGCGAGGAGATCGAAGTACAATAACTTTGTTTTGGCCAGAACTTTTTGGTCTTCACCTTCTTAATTAATGTCCACCCTTTTCAGGAGGATCGCTGACCTCCTTCCAAGCCCCAACTGCAAAGCCATGACCCTTTCCTTCTTGATGGCTAACACGCTGGGATTTGTGGTTGCAATCCAAACATTTGTATTGTTTTCCAATGGGGGAACTCACCCTGACGAAGATGAGGGTACTGGAGTCGCCCACGCGGTATTTGCCTTCAGAGACTTTGACCATGGAGAACTGGACGGGGCAAGTACAGCGGCTGATCAGATGCTGGACCTGAAGGGCAAGCAGAAAGGCCATAGGGGGATGATGGGATTTGTTGTTGTAGAGATTGGGAAGTGTTGATGAGGCTCAGCCCCCAAATATCTCTAGTCTCTAGAAATGAGGAGAGCAAAATATAATAGGCAATTAGGAGACTCAACCCTCAGATGTCAAGAAAACCATAATGGAAAATGATCCATGAAAATATACAGAAAATCTTAAAAATAAAATTTCAAATGAAACCTAAATATTATTTATTAGGGATAACAGATATGAATATGAATCAAGATAACCTATTTAATTATATGATCATTGCAGCCAGAATTGTATAGGCAAGAAACTGGAAGACTCAAGAAAACCCAACAGAAGAAGAATGGAAACTAAAAATAATGGATATAAAGAATATGGACAGACTGAATGATTTTTTGAAAGGACATCAAGGCAAACCCAAATGCCCCACAGACTGGACTTTACTAGACGCTTTAAAAAAATAACAGAAGGAAATGACGCAATAATGAGAAGACGGAGGGATTAACTATAATTTATATTTAAGAGACTCATACCCCAGACAGGGAAAGATTCAGAAGTCAACAAGATTTTATTTTTATTTTTTATTCCCTTTTTCATTTTTCATTTTTCCCCTTTTTTCAGTTTTTTTCCTATGTTTATCTTTATCCCAGTTTTTGTCTTTCCTTCCCCCGAACCCTTCGACCTCCATCCCCACGAGTAGGGAAACTTCCGTATCTTTTTTTTTAACCTTAATTAGCTTTTTTTACCCTCTCTTCTCTCCTACCCTCTTCCCTACCCTTTAACTTTCCTTTCGCCTTTTTACTGTATTTTTCATACCTAGTTTTTTCTCTTTTCTTCACCCTTTCCCCCCCTAAAAATTCAATAAAAAATATTTTTTTAAAAAGAAAACCATAATTTTTTAAAGACTTTGGATCGAACATAGGACTTTGCAAAAGGGTCGAAATGGACAAGATCTCACTTGTTGGTGAAGAATAGTTGTTACTCTACATATACTCTCTGTAACACATTTCTAACCCCATGATTAAAACCCACAATTCAGATTTTCTTGGCTCTTTTCTTGTCTTGTCTTGCTTGTAAAACTGCCCCTTAGTTCTTCTTCTACAGAATAAAACGATTGCATTTTAATCTCCTCGTTTCTAGTCCTTGAGCCTTCTTTACTTGTCTCGATTTCAAAATCACCCCTTAATTCTTCTGCAGAATCAAACTACAGTGTTCCCCTGCTAGTTCGTGGTTCACTTTTAGTGGACTTGCTATTTTGCGTTTTTTCAATAAATATTATTTCAAAATATATATCGTATTTTCGCTGTTTCGCGGGTTTGCCGCCACCGCTCTCCGAAGCACTTTCCCTCCTCACGATTGCATTTTAATCTCCTCGTTTCTAGTCCTTGAGTTTTCTTTACTTGTCTCGATTGCAAAACCACCCCTTAGTTCTTCTTCTGCAGAATCAAACTATTGCATTTTAATCTCCTCGTTTCTAGCCCTTGACCTTTATTTACTTATCTCAATTGCAAAACCACTCTTTAGTTCTTCTTCTGCAGAATCAAACTACAGTGCTCCCTCACTACTTCGTGGTTCGCTTTTAGCGGACTTGCTGTTTTGCGGTTTTTCAATAAATATTCAAACTATATATCGTGGTATTTTCGCTGTTTCGCGGATTTTGCTGCCATCGCTCTCCAAAGCACTTTCCCTCCTCACTATTGCATTTTAATCTCCTCATTTCTAGTCCTTGACCTTTATTTAACTTGTCTCAATTGAAAAACCACTCTTTAGTTCTTCTTCTACAGAATCAAACTACAGTGTTCCCTCACTACTTCATGGTTCGCTTTTAGCGGACTCGCTGTTTTGCGTTTTTTCAATAAATATTCAAAATATATATCGTATTTTCGCTGTTTCGTGGGTTTTGCCACCACCGCTCTCCAAAGCACTTTCCCTCCTCACGATTGCATTTTAATCTCCTCGTTTCTAGTCCTTGAGCTTTCTTTACTTATCTTGATTGCAAAACCACCCCTTAATTCTTCTTCTGCAGAATCAAACTATTGCATTTTAATCTCCTTGTTTCTAGTCCTTGAGCTTTCTTTACTTGTCTCGATTGCGAAACACCCTTTAGTTCTTCTTCTGCAGAATCAAACTATCATGGTCCCTTACTACTTTGCAGTTCGYTTTTAGCGGACTCGCTGTTTCGTGGTTTTTCAATAAATATTAATTCAAAATATATATCGYGGTATTTTCACTGTTTCGCGGGTTTTTGCTGCCACCGCTCTCCRAAGCRCTTTCCCTCTTCACAATTGCATTTTAATCTCCTTGTTTCTAGTCCTTGAGTTTACTTTACTTGTCTCGATTGCAAAACCACCCTTTAGTTCTTCTTCTGCAGAATGAAACTACAGTGTTCCCTCACTACTTCATAGTTCGCTTTTAGCGGACTCGCTGTTTCGCGGTTTTTCAATAAATATTCAAAATATTTATCGTGGTATTTTCGCTGTTTTGCGGGTTTTGCTGCCAGCACTCTCCAAAGCACTTTCTCTCCTCACTATTGCATTTTAATCTCCTTATTTCTAGTCCTTGAGTTTTCTTTACTTGTCTCGATTGCAAAACCACCCCTTAGTTCTTCTTCTGCAGAAACAAGCTACAGTGATCCCTCGCTAYGTTGCAGTTCGCTTTTAGCAGACTCGCTGTTTTGCGGTTTTTCARTAAATATTAAATCAAAATATATATCGTGGTATTTTCGCTGTTTTGCGGGTTTTGCCGCCACTGTTCTCCAAAGCACTTTCCCTCCTCAGTCCTCCCTCCCTCCAGCTTTGAAGGGCCTTTCCTTCCTTTCGTTTGCTCTCTCTTCACCTGGCAAAGGGAAAGGCGAGGAGGGCTTGCTTCCTTTCCTTCCTTCCTTCCTTCCTTCGCAGCCACTGCACTGACAGAGAGGCAGGTGGGGGGAGCCGCGGGCAGAGGGGAAGGAGGAGAAGGAGGAGGAGAAGTATTTGGTAAAACAGAAACAGAGTCTATTTGGGTCCTCCCTCAGGCAGGTTACAAATGCAGAAAATAAATAAATAAGTTTATAAAGGCTTTTAAAAGTGTATAACTACTAAAATAATGTATAAATATTAAAATGATGTTAAAACAAATATAGCGTCCCTACTTCACAGATTTTCACTTATCGCGGGTGGTCCTGGAAAGTAACACCCGCGATAAGTGAAGGAACACTTTATTGTATTTTTAATCTCCTTATTTCTAGTCCTTGATGGAGAAATAAAAAGAGTAGAGGTATTGGGGAACTGTGTCTCAACATTTTTGGTGCCCGAACAGGGACTCGAGAAAATTCTTGATGTTTGCCTTTAAGACCTCCAGCTTCTGGTTGGGAAATAAAGAAACGAGAGATATTGGGGCGCTGTGCCTCAACAATCTCTTTCCAAGTTTCCTCGCTTTTCACTCCTTCCCATTCTTTAATACTTCCTTCTTTTAAATTTCACTTGCAAAATCTCAGCCTCGAAACCCCATAAAGGTGAGTCCTACCATCTGGTCCAGATTCCGGAAGTGTTGAGGCTCCCTCTGGGCCTTGGGGAAGGGGTTCTCCTCCTCGGTGGGTGCCGGGCCCAAATCCTGCTGCATCTCCTCCTCAATCTCCTGCTCCATCCGCACCAAGGCTGGGGCCTTCATGCCAAAGCGGGCACCTCGACGGGCCACTTCCAGCAGGCACAACACCACCTGCCGCTCGTTCTTCCTCAGGACCAGGTCCTCTGTCTCGAACATCAGGACCTCTAGAAACATCAAAGGGGAAGGAGTGGTCAGTTAGAGGAGAGGGGACACTCTGGGATGGTCATCCCATTTTGGTCCATTGAATAAGGATGCCAGGTTTGCAAGGTAGGTGCCCAAGGAGCTCTCCAAGGGCTTAGAATTATAGAGTTGGAAGAGACCACATCAGCCATCTTGTCCAACTCCCTTCAATTCATGAAAAGCACAGTCAAAGCATCACTGACAGATGGCCATCAAACCTCTGTTTAAAAACCTCCAAGGAAGGAGCCTCCACCAGATTCTGAGGCAGAGAGTTCCACTGTCTAACCGCTCTTGTTACAGTCAGTAACAAGAGCGGTTACTGACTCATGTTCAGGTGGAAGCAACAGTGTCATCAATAGAGAGATAGATTGATTGATAGATTTGTTTATATGATAGGCAGATGAACAGATATAGACAGATATAGATAGATAGATAGATAGATAGATAGATAGATAGATAGAGTCAGATAAGGATAGAGATAGATAGATAGATAGATAGATAGATAGATAGATAGACAGAGATGGATAGATAAATAGATTGATAGAGATGGTAGCCGATAGATAGACAGATAGAGATAGATGGATGGATGGATAGATGGATGGATAGATCGATAGAGATGAATAGATAGAAAGTTAGATAGATGATAAATTGATGGATGTAGGTGGGTAGGTAGATGGATGGATACACAGGCAGAGAGAGAGAGAGATACATGGTTAGATGGATAATTGATAGAGTAGGATGGATGGATAGATCAATACAGATGGATAAATGGGTAGATAGCTAGCTAGCTAGATGATGAATGGATGGATGGATAGATGGGTAGGTAGATGGATGGACAGACAGACAGATAGGGATGCTTAGCTAGATGGATAATGGATAGATAGATAGATGATAGATAGATAGATAGATAGATAGATAGATAGATAGATAGATAGAGATGAATGGGTGAATAGATAGATAGATCAATAGAGATGGATAGATGGATGGATAGATAGATAGATAGATAGATAGATAGATAGATAGATAGATAGATATGGATGGATAGATAGAGATGGATATATGGATAAATTGATGGATGGATGGATGGACAGACAAGAGATGGAAGGATAGATAGATTGAGATGGATTGAAGGATAAATGGATAAAATTGATGGAGATAGATAGATAGATAGATAGATAGATAGACGAATGAACGGATGGATAGATGAATAGATAGAGATGGATAGATGGATAATCAGATAAAATGGATGGATAAACAGATAGAGATGTATGGATAGATAGACATACAGACAGACTCACCTGGGATGTGCATCTCCCGGCGGCACCATCCGATGAAGTTGGCCACGTTGTCCCTGGCCTGGAAGGTCCCCGGCCGGGCTTCGTGGTTGCAGCTGGTTCCTCTGGCCGGTAGCGGGGCTTTGCTGGCCACCTTGGGCTGCTCCTGGCTGAAGAGGGCAGCTTCCTTGGTGGCCTGGTTGGCATGATGGCAGAGGAGGATGCCAGTCTCCAGGGACCCCAGGAAGGCTGGGCCAGTCCCCAGGTGGGCCCCGTGGAGTTCTCCCAGCCACTCAGCCAGGTCCTCCTCCATGGCCTCCAGGTAGGCCTCGCGGGAGCCATAGCGCCGGACGCTCTTCATCCCCTCCGGTTGTGCTCAGCCCATCCCTGGCAACGGGGAAATGCCATACACCTTGGCCAAGCAGAGGGAGTGGCTTCTCTCACATACCATTGCTTCTTGTATGACACTCCATCCCTTCTCTGTGAAACTGGGAAACAATAGAGAGATAAATAAATAGATGCATAGATATAGGTAGAAAGGTCAAGAGATACTGGTAGATAGCTTGGCAGATGAATGGAGAAGATAGATAGATAGATAGATAGATAGATAGATAGATAGATAGATAGATAGATATGATTGATAGATAGCTTGGTTGGTGAATAGGTTGATATAATAGATGAATAAATAGATGTATAGATATAAGTAGAAAGCTAAAGAGATAGTGTTAGCTAGACTGGTGGATAGATGAAGAGAGAGAGAATAGAGATAGATAGATAGATAGATAGATAGATAGATAGATAGATAGATAGATAGAGAAAGGTGGGTAGATAGATACATGATAGATAGATCGTTAATAGATAAATTATAGATAATAGAGAGATAGATGGATATCTATAGAGAGGTGAGTAGATAGCTATACAAAATATAGATTGTTAATAGATAAATTATAGATAATAGAGAAACGATAGATATCTACAGGAAGGTGGGTAGATAGATATACGATAGATAGATCGTTAATAGATAAATTATAGATAATAGAGAGTTGATAGATAGCGATAGATATTTACAGAAAGGTGGGTAGATAGATATATGATAGATTGTTAATAGATAAATTATAAATAATAGATAGATATACGATAGATAGATTGTTAATAGATAAATTATAGACAATAGAGTGATGATAGATAGATAGATAGATAGATAGATAGATAGATAGATAGATAGAGAAAGGTGGGTAGATATATGATAGATAGATCGTTAATAGATAAATTATAAATAATAGATAGATATATGTTAGATAGAGATAGATAGATAGATAGATAGATAGATAGATAGATAGATAGATAGATGATAGGTAGATGAGTAGATAGGTAAGTATATAAGTAGATAGCAATCGATAGATCTACAGAAAGGTAATTAGATTCACATATGTAAGACAGAGATAATCTAAAGAAAGGTTATTAGATTCATATCTGATAGATGAAAGATAGATAGATAGATATAGATAGATAGATAGATAGATAGATAGATAGATAGATAGATAGGGGTGAGCAGATAGATAGATTGAGAATTTAGCTGGATAAATAGAATAGATGAGTAGACAGGTAAGTTGATAAGTAGATAGAGTTTGATCTACAGAAAGGTAGGTAGATAAATATATGATAGATCGATTGATGATAGTTAACTAGATATAGATTATAGTGAGATAGATAGATAGATAGATAGATAGATAGATAGATAGATAGATAGCTTGGCAGGTGGATAGGCGGAAAGATTGATAGAAAAGATTAATAAATAGATGTATCGAAATAGAGAAATAGATAGAGGTGAGCAGCTAGATGGATGGAAAGATCAGATAGATAGACATAGATGAAATCGTAGATAGATGAGTAAATAGATAGATAAGCATATCTATCTATCTATTTATCTATCTACTTATCTATCTACTTGGGGAGAGAGAGGGAGAGGTTGGTGGAAGGGTAGATTCATAGATGGATGGATAACAGAAAGACAGAAGAATGAATGTATAGATATAGTAGATGAATAGGTATAGGTATGTAGATGGGGAGCAGACAGATTGAGAGACAGAGAACTCAACCTCCGAAATGAGGTTCTTGGATGGAGGAGCAGCTCAGGTGAGAAGGGGTTACCTGAGGAATGAAAGGTTGGTGGCCAGGTCCGCCCAGGAGCTCAGAACAGCGACAAATAGGGTTTAGTTACATTAGAAATGGCCTGGCAAGGGCTGCCTAGGGTCCAGCAGGGCTCGGGTCATTATATCTGGAGGTGTGATGTGGGTAGATCTCAAGATGTTGACCTCCCTTGACCTCCATGTATCCAAAGTAGGCCTTGGGTCCAAGGGGCACGACGTCTCTCTGCAGCCTCTTCCTCCTCCTCCGGTGTGTTATGTGTGTTGTTTCCTCCTTCCAGGTCCGGCTGCTTCTCCTTGGCGACCGGCTCTTGGCTACAAAACACTCCCTCCTTCCTTCCTGAAAGGGATCGGATGTCGCTCTCCATACAACAGATGCAACCTGCTTTGACTATCTATCTATCTATCTATCTATCTATCTATCTATCTATCTATCTATCTACTTACATTTCTGTATATTAATATCTATCTATTTATCTATCTATGTATATCTATCTACTTATTTGCTTATAGAAAGATGATAAATAGAAGATAGATAGATTAGATAGATAGATAGATAGATAGATAGATAGATAGATGAATAGGTACTATCTATCTATCTATCTTCTATCTGTCATCTACCTATCTATCAATATCTATCTACTTTTCTGTAGATATCTATCTATCTATCATCTATTTATCTATATTTACCTACCTACCTATTCATCTATTCTATCGATCGACTTACCTACCTACCTACATTTCTGTAGATCAATATTATATTTACCTACCTATTCATCTATTCTATTGATCGATCTACCTACCTACTGACATTTCTGTAGATCAATATCTATCAAGTTATCTACCTACCTACCTATTCATCTATTGTATTGCTCGATCCACCTACCTACCTACCTACCTACCTTTCTGTCTGTCTATCTATCTATCTATCTATCTCTATCTACTTATCTACTTACCTACCTATTCATCTATTCTATTCTATCAATATCTATCTACTTTTCTGTAGATATCTATCTATCTATCTATCTATCTATCTATCTATCTATCTATCTATCTATATTTTCCTACGTATTCATCTATTCTATCGATCTACTTACCTACCTACATACATTTCTGTAGATCAATATCATTCTTTCAATCTATATCTATCTATCTACTTACTTACCTATTCATCTATTCTATCAATCTACCTACCTACCTACATTTCTGTAGATCAATAGCTATCAATTTATCTACCTACCTACGTATTCATCTATTCTATTCTAATCTATCTATCTATCTATCTATATCTAATATCTACTTTTCTGTGGAACTATATCTCTCTATTTATATCTACATATCTATGTACCTACCTACTAATTTATTCTATTTATCTATCTATCTATCTATCTATCTATCTATCTATCTATCTATCTATCATCTATCTATCTATCATTGATCTATCATATATTTACCTTTCTGTAGATCTATATATATCTATAGCTATCTATAGCTATCTAATTATCTAATTATTTACTTACCTATTCATCCATTCTATCTATTGATCTATCACATATCTACCTACCTTTCTGCAGATCTATATCTATCTATTCATCTATCTATTTATCTATCACTATCATCTATCAATTGACCAATCAATTGATCTATATCTATATACCTTTCTGTAGATCTATCTATCTATCTATCTATCTATCTATCTATCTATCTATCTAGTACTTATTCATCTATTCTCTGTCCATCTATCTATCTAATCTCTTCATCCAGCTATCCGTTCACCTCTACTATCTTCTCTATCTATACATCTATTTATTTGTCTATTATATTGAGCAATCTATCCACTCACCAAGCTATTTATCTATCTGTCTATCTATCTACCCTCTACATGTATCACTGATCTATCTACCATATTCCCATTCTTCTTCCCTTCCAAGACTTGGGTGCTGCCTGCACTATGGAGTTAACACAGTTCGACACTGCTTTATACTGTCTTGGCCAAGTGCTATAGGAGCTTGGGAGCTATATTCATAGGAGCCTTTGCAGAACTACGATTCCCTAAGATCTTGAGCTCCCATAATGTAGCATTGAGACATAGCCGTTCCCAGAGGGGTTGCATGGCATGCATTCAAAGGGTAGATGCACTCAGGGAAGACGGAAAGCTTTGCAGAACTGCAACTCCCAGGATTATAATTACAATATTTTATAACATTTTATGTTATCTCATATTTTACATTATTTTGTATTATTAATATATTTTATATTGTTATTATTATTATTGTTATTATTATTATTATTATTATTATTATTAGTAGTAGTAGTAGTAGTAGTAACATCATCATCATCTTCAGTGAAGAAGCACTATGAGACATGAGACTGTTTGCTAGATATGTGATAGATATATAGAGATGATATGGATAGAGATGATAGATAGATAGATAGATAGATAGATAGATAGATAGATAGATAGATAGATAGACAGATAGAGGTATCTTCTACCCAATATAAATAGATGATAGATGGATGGATGGATGGATGGATGGATGGATGGATGGATAGATGATATAGATAGATAAGACTAGATAGACATATAGATGGATGGATAGAGATAGATTAATGGAAAAATTGCTAGATAGATGCTTGACCTTTGGGGGATTGTGGGAGATGGAGTCCTGGCTAGGAAATCCATCCGACCTCACAATGGCCCCTTGACGGCGGAGTTGGTGGAACGTGGCATTGTGGGAGGGTGTCTGGTGAGTCAGTGGGGTCACCCCCCAAAAATCCCTGAAATGTGGTGTCAAAAGACCTTGGATGGATTGATGGATAGATAGATAGATAGATAGATAGATAGATAGATAGATAGATAGATAGATGGAGAGACAGATAGAGATGGATGGATATAAATATAGATGGATAGATGGATAAACAGATAAAATGGATGGACAAACAGATAGAGATGGATGGATAGATAGATAGATAGATAGATAGATAGATAGATAGATAGAAGATAGACTTATGGGTGGAAGTATAAATGGATGGATAGATAGGTTAGTAGGTGGATAGATAGATAGAGTTGGAGGATGGATGGATAGATGAATAGATGAACAGATGGGTAGATGGATGGATGAACAGAGAGACAGAAATGAATGGATAATTGGATGGATTGAAGAATAGATAGATGAATAGATGGATAGAGATGGAGGATGGATGGACAGATAGATAGAGAGACAGACAGGAAGAGATGGATGGAGATAGATAGATAGATAGATAGATAGATAGATAGATAGATAGAGGGATAGATGGAAAGATAGACAGACAGATGGACAGTAGAGAGACAAACAGAGATGGATGGACAGAAGGATGAAAGGAAAGATACATTAATAGATAGATAGATAGATAGATAGATAGATAGATAGATAGATAGATAGATAGATATGGATGGATAGATGGATGACTATATAGATAAATATTGATGATAGAGATGGATGGATGGATGGATGGATGGATAGAAATAGAGGGATAGATGGATAGATAGAGAGACGGAGGACAGACAGAGATGGATGGATAGAAGGATGAAAGGAAAAATAAATGAATAGATGGATAGATAGGGTTGGATGATAGATGGATGGATGGATGAATGGATGGATAGCTATATAGATAAATATAGATGATAGAGATAGATGGATAGATAGACAGACGGACAGAGAGACAGACAGAGATGGATAGATAGATATCAATGATAGAGATCGATGAATGGATGGATAGATAGACAGACAGACGGTCAGACAGAGATGGATACAGAGATGAACATAGATAGACAGACATAGTTAGACAGTCGTAGATAGACAGACAGACGGTCAGACAGAGATGGATACAGAGGTGAATAGATGAATAGATTTTGATGTTTTCCATCATCATCATCATCATCATCATCATCATCATCATCATCCTTCTTTTTCTTGTTCTTCTTTTAGCCCAGGTGTTCTGCAGCTCCCAATGTCCCAAAGCAGAGAAGAGGAAGAACCGACTGAATCGGAGAAATCCCTGCGAGAAACAGAAGCCGAAGAAGAGAAGGAGGAGGAGGAGAAGGAGCCAGAAGCAGATGTGGAGGAGTCTAGTCCTGGGCCGCCTCCTTCTCCTCCACAGAACTCAAACGTGGAACCGGGCCCCAAGCAAGAGAGCTGGCTCTGGAACTGGCTCCCTTTCCCGCTCCTTTCCGGATTTACTTGGTTAGGAGACAGGTACAGAGCTCAGGAAGGGGACTGCAACTCCCAACAGTCCGGTTCTGCATGATAAGGTCACTCCTTCAGCAACTATGGGGGAGGATACTGGGAGTTAGAGTCCACTTTCCTCACTCTGCTCTAATGTAGAACCTGAGTCTTCTCTGATTCGGGTGGGGGGATGATGGGAATTAGAGTCAAAATATTTGTCCAAACTAGATCTAGTTTGTCATATGGTGGATTTGAGGAGTTATAGTCTGAAGGAGATCTCTCAAACTCTGACCTAGTTCAGTACTTGATGCATGAAGGATACTGGGAGTTGTAGTCCAGAGGAGGAGACTCAATAAGGCCTAATGTATTAAATTATACAAGCATAATGACCTAATGTAGTTTCGTGTCTAGAACATGATGCATAGAGCATGTTGGGAGTTATAGTCCAAAGGAGAAAATTCAATAAGGCTTAGTTTAGTACCTAGAATACGAAGCACTGAGTTGTAGTGCCAGGAAGGAGATTCATTAAGGCCTAATGTAGCTTAGTGCCTAGAACATGGTGCATAGAGAATAATGGGAGTTGTAGTCCAAAGAGGAGATTCGTGAAGGTCTAATGTAGTTCTAGAACATGACGCATGGAGAATACTAGGATTTGTAGTCCAAAGGAGATTCCTTGAAACCTAATATAGTTCAGTATCTAGAACATGATGCAATGAGGATAATTGGAGTTGTAGTCCAAATAATATTAATTAAGGCCTAATATAGTTTGATGCCTACAACATGGCACATGGAGAATGGGACTTGCAGTCCAAAAAACAAGATTCATTAAGGCCTAATGTAGTTTAGCACTTAGAACATGACACATGGAGGATAATGGGAGTTGTAGTCCAAAGAAGGAGATTCACGAAGGCCTGATATAATTTGGTGTCTAGAATGTGATGCATGGAGGATAATAGGAGTTGTAGTCTAATGAAGGCGATTAAAGCTTAATGTAGTTCAGCACCTAGAACATGAGGCATAGAGGATAATGGGAGTTGTAGTCCAAGGTATATTAATTAAGGTGTAATCGTTTGGTGCCTAGAACATGGAACATGGAAGCTACTGGGAGTTGTAGTCCAAAGGAGGAGATTCATTAAGGTCTAATGTAGTTTAGCACCTAGAACATGACACATGGAGAATAATGGGAGTTCTAGTCCAAAGAATATTGATTAAAATCTAATGTAGTTCAGCACCCAGAATATGACACATGGAGGATACTGGGAGTTGTAGTCCAAAGAAGGAGATTAATTAAGGCCTAATGTAATTCAGCACCTAGAACATGATGCACAGAGAACACTGGGAGATTCCTTAAGGTCTAATCTAGTTCCCAACTGTCTTTGGGAACTGGGTTAGTAACTAGCATTGGTCCCTAGGCTTCCAAGGTCCAAGATCGGACTGTGTTCCGGATGCGGCCCTGCTGATGCCTGCCCCCCTTTCCTTTCTTCCCCATCTCCCCCATAACCCAGGGCCAAGGCTCCCCAGGAGCCCGTTTGCTGTCGGGCGGAGGGGAAGCGGCCTTCCTCCTCCTCCTCTTCCTCCTCGGTGGCCGGGATGTGTCCGGACTGCGAGGTGACCTTCTGCCCCAAGTGCCGGACCCTCCACTACAGCCGGGGCTTCATTGAGCACGGCCTGCTGGGACACCCACCCCTGGAGGCCCAGAGCCCCTCCACCAGTGCAGGCAAGACCTCCATGTGGGAGGGAAAGGCTTTGATGGGCATCTCTGGGTGGGAGGTTGAGGACGAGGGACCTGAGGTGGAGACTTGGGATGGGAGGTCTCTGTTGGGAGGTTCCATGGGAGGCTTGGGAGGAGAAGCTTAGGGTGGGAGGAATCAGTAGGAGGCTCGGGATGGGAGGTTTAGGAAAAGGGACTTAAGATGGAAGAACTCCATTGGGAGGGTTCAATGGAAGATTTGGGATGAGAAGCTTCAGATGGGAGACTTCAATGGGGACTACTGGATGGGAAGGCTTAAGATGGGAGACTTGAGATGGGAGGTTTGAGTTGGGATGCTCAATGAAAAACCTTTGGGAGGAGAGACTTTGGGTGGGAGGCTTTGGATGGGAAACATCAACGGTGGGGTCTAGATGGGAGGTATCCATGGGAGGTTTAGGATGGGAGACTTGAGGTGGAAGGTTTCGGTTGGGAGGCTTCAACAGGAGACTTAGGATGGGAGGCTTTGGATGGGAGACATCAACAGTGGGGTTTAGATGGGAGGTATCCATGGGAGGTTTAGGATGGGAGACTTGAGGTGGAAAGTTTCGGTTGGGAGGCTTCAACAGGAGACTTAGGATGGGAGCCTTTGGATGGGAGGCATCAATGGGAAGGTCTAGATGGGAGGTTTCCATGGGAAGCTTGGAATGGGAGACCTAAATGGGGGGCTTTGGGTGGGAAGCTTCAATGAGAGACTTGGGATGGGAAGGCTTTGGATGGAACACATCAATGGGAGCCTGTAGATGGGAGATTTCCATTGGAGATTTAGGATGGGAGACTTGAAATGGGAAGTTTCAGTTGGGAGGCTTCAATGAGAGACTTCAGTGGGAGGCTTAGGAGAAGAGGCTTTGGATGTGAGACATCAATGGGAGGATCTAGATGGGCGGCTTCTTTGGGAGGCTTAGGATGGGAAATCTCAATGGGAGACTTGGGAGGAGAAGCTTCAGATGGGAGGCTCTGAATGTGAGGCTTTGGATGGGTGGTTTAGGATGGGAGACTTGGGATGGGGACTTGAGGTAGGAGGTTTCAGTTGGGTTTATTCAATGGGAGGCTTGGGAGGAGAAGCTTTAGATGGGAAGCTTAACAGGATACACTTCAAGGGGAGGCTTGGAAGGAGAAAGAAGCTTCACGTGGGAGACTTTGGCTGGGAGGCTTCAACTGGAGATTTCAGTTGCGAGGTTTCAATGGCAGCCTTTGGATGAGAGATATCAATGGAGGGCTCTGGATGGGAGGTTTAGGATGGGAGACATCAATGGGCAACTTGGAATGGGGGTCTTAAGATGGAAGGCTTAGGAGAAGAGACTTGGGATGGGACACTTGGGATGAGAAACATATCCCAGGAGATAGCAAGGATGGGATGAGAAGCTCCAGATGGGAGACTTCAGTGGGAAACATAGAATAGGAAAATGGGGGAGACATAGCATGGGAAGATGAAGCATTTAGGTCATAAGACTTCAATGGGAGGCTTCAACAGAAGATCTTCAACAGAAGATCTGGAATGGGAGACTTCAATGAGGAAGCTTTCATGGGAGACTTAGGATGGAAGACTTCTAATTGGAGGTTTAAGATGAGGGACTTCAATTGGAGGCTTCAAGTGTCCAATGGACCAAGGAGGCAATGGTCAATTGGGTGACCCACCTATCCCTCCATGGTTTTTCCCTCAGGATCCCTGGACTTGACCACCGCAACAGAGGAAATGGAGGATGAGGAGGAAGCGAAGGGTCCATGACAGGTCATCTCCACCTTTTGATGGTGGACATCTTCCACTTTGCCACGTGTCACTCTCAATAAACTCCCATGTTTGCCGTCCCATTCTCTCAGGGCATTTTTGGTCTGTTTCGGGTGCCATCTTGGTTTACCGGAGGACCACCCCTCCCCCCCAAAAAAACACCCAGCACTCCTTCTATTTAACATTAATGGCCTTTGGCTTTTAATTTTCCTTTTTCCCTTCATGCCAGAAGGAATGGAAGAGGTCGAGAAGGCCTTCTTCTCAGAGGGTTCCATGGAGAACGGAAGTGGAGTAATTCAGTAATACATTCAGTTCTTCACAGAATATTCAGGCAATGCATACAATACAGTAGTGATACTTCATATCCCATCCACCCAAAACGTAATATTGAGGTATTTGGTAGAAGAAGAACAGTGAGGTGTTGTTGTCCTGCAAAAAAAACAAAATGGCCACCACTTTTGGACCAAGGAGACCATTTTGGGCATCCTTCTTTGCACAAGGAATGAAGGATGCCCCCATTTTCTTGCAATTTGGACCCTGAGATGGAAATCCAAGGTGGTGGGTGGTCAGTAGTAAAGGGTGGAGGAAGGTCCACCATTTTGTCAAGGCAGCCATCATTCCCTGTCAGCCTTCCCCGGAGCCATTTTGTCCTCCTGAAGGCAGCCATTTTGGAAGGGAAGAGAATTAACATTGGCGGGAGCAGACATTGCACACTATGGGTCTCCTCCTTGGCCATCAGTCTCTTCCAACCCAAAATGTTGTCCTAAATCTAAGTCTTGAGTCTTCTGGGTCCAAAGGTTGGTTCCTTCTTGAAGTTCAGGTTGGTGGTCAGTTAGTGGAGGAGGACCACCATTTTGTCCTCCCCAAGGTAGCCATTTTGAGAAGAAGCCATTGCTCCATATTGCAACCCAAATATGAGCCCAGCATAAAAGCTAGCCTTGAGTTGATCCATGTAAATGGTCAACAGGAGGAGGGTCACCATTTTGTCCTTCAGATGGCAGCCATTTTGGAAGGGAAGAGGATTAACATTGGAGAAGAAACCATTGCTCCATATGGGCCTCCTCATAAGCCAATCCAAACATTGGTCTATCATAAATTGGTCCAAATGTCTGTTCCTTATCCTTCCGCAAAACAGCCAGAATCCAAGATGGCCGTCCACGTAAAGGCATTCATTTTGGAAGGAAAGAAAATGAATGTTGTGGAAGAAACCATTCATCCCTATGAGCCTCCTCCATAGCCGATTCAAACATTGGCCTCTCATAAATGGGTCCAAATGCCAGTTCCTTCTCTCTCTGGAGAAGAACTAGAATCCAAGATGGCAGACAGTCCATAGTGAGTGGAGGTTGGCTATTTTGTCCTCCTGAAGGCAACCATCTTGGAAAGAAAGAGGGTTAACATTGGAGAGGAAACCATACATGCCAGCCTCGAGTCCTCTAGGTACAACTGCTGGCTCCTTCCTTTTCCACAAACCAACCAAGATGGTGGATGGTTCCTGGTTAGTGGATGAGTTTGGTCATTTTGTTCTTCCAAAGGCACCCATCTTGGAAGAGAAGAGGATTAATGTTGGAGTGGAAACCATACATGCCAGCGAGTCCGCTAGGCCCAAAACCTGGCTCCTTCCTCCTCCACAAACCAACCAAGATGGTGGGCAGTTCTCGATTGGTGGAGGAAGTTGGCCATTTTGTCCACCAAGCAAGCCAATGTGGGTTCTGGAAGGGGTGATCATTCCCCTGCCCGGTTGAGGGCCGCGTCCTGGCACCCGAGCCAGGCCAACTGGGCAGCCCACTTCCCACTGCCCACCACCCGTAGCTTCTCTGGGTCAAACTCCCAGAAGTCGTCATTGCGGAAGAAGTAGACAGAGCCACCCGGGCGGGTGAGGGCCCCGTTGGCCAGCGCTGGTACTCCCCCCCAGTCCCGGAGGCTCCGGGGGTAATAGGGCTCCACCTGGAGGTCCTCCCCGTCCACCACAAAGTACTTTGGGCCCTTGAAGAGGACCAGCTGGTGCAGTGGACGGAAGAAGAGGGCCGTGTCCGGATGCCGAGGGAGAGCACTGCTTCCACCACCACTGCACTTCTGAGGGAAGCCGTCGTCCAGGAAGGACCCTCGGTAGCGCCAGCACCGCCCCCCTGCAAAAGGGAAGGCCAGGTGAGATTCCCAAGCTCCTCCCCCTCTGATGACACACAGGTTATGTGAGATCCCCCATGCTCCTTCCCTTGTGATGATGTCAACAGACTGATTGCGAGTGCCCAAGCTCCACCCCTTCTGATGATGTCAACAGGTGGAGTGAGAACCCCAAGCTCCACCTCTTCTGATGATGTCAACAGTTGATTTARAGCCCTATGCTCCATCCCTCTTGGTGATGTCAACAGGTTGAGTGAGAGCCCTAAGCTCCACCTCTTCTGRTGATGTCAGCAGGTTGAGTGAGAGCCCCAAGCTCCACCCTTCTGATGATGTCAACAGGTTGAGTGAGAGCCCTAAGCCCTGCCCCTTCTRATGACACCAACAGGTTGAGTGAGARCCCCAAGCTCCACCACTGATGATGTCAACAGATTGATTGTGAGTGCCCAAGCTCCTCCCCTTCTGATGATGTCAACAGGTTGAGTGAGAGACCCAYGATCCACCCTTTCTGATGACGTCAGCAGGTTGAATGAGAGACCCAAGCTCCACCCTTCTGATGATGTCAACAGGTTGAGTGAGAGCCCCAAGCTCCACCCTTCTGATGATGTCAACAGTTTGAGTGAGAACCCCAAGCTCCACCCCTTCTGATGATGTCAGCAGGTTGAATGAGAGACCCAAGCTCCACCCTTCTGATGATGTCAACAGTTGACTTAGAGCCCTAAGCTCCATCCTTTCTGGTGATGTCAACAGGTTGAGTGAGAGCCCCAAGCTCCACCCTTCTGATGATGTCAACACATCCGTTAATATCCTAAGCTCTACCTCCTCAGATTATGTCAATAGGCCAAAGGTATCCCTGAAGCTCCAACCCTTCCAACATTAGCAGGTTAAGTGAGAGCCACAAGCTTCATCCTTTCTGATGACGCCAACAGGTTGAATGAAAGCCCCCAAGCTCTGTCCCTTCTGATGACATCAATAGGTTGAGTAAGATCCCCAAGCTCCTCCCCTCTGATGATGTCAACAGGAAAGTTACAGGAAAGACCCAGCTGTTCTCCATAGAGGTTGATGAAGGGTCAGGGGAAAGACCCAGCTGTTTCCCCAAGTGGCCATTTGGAGGGCTTCCATGGATTCCATCTAGGGGCAGTCACTCCCTGAGGGACAGAGAACATACTGCTTGGCCTTTCAGCCTGACGATAGAACCATTCCTACAATTGTAATTAACAAGTATTTTTTTACTAATGAATGCCATGACAAAAGGCAAACTCGGGTACCTAAGCTAGTTCCTCACCTTTGAAGAAATAGTATTTCCCATCCTCCTCTGAGAAGGCGGCTGCGTCAAGGCTGGACGCCATCCCTGGCCACTTGGCCTGGATCGGGTGCGGACCACTGCTCACTCCCGCTTTGGACACCGTCCAGTAATGGCCTCCCTTGAAGACCACAATGTTGTCCTCGGGATCTGCACACAATATGAACAAAAGTGTGTGAGAATTCATGGCTCTTTGCAACATATCAAAAGTAACGAGTTACTATTGGTATTTTAGTGCGGGTTCTTAAAAAGTAACTTGTTACTATTAGCCACACAACATTCATTGTGGTTTTAAAGAAAAGTAACTTGTTGGTCTCCATGTTTGGTTGTAGCACAAACAAACCTACAAACCAACATACAAATTTTCATTTTAGTAACTATATATATATATATATATATATATATATATATATATATAGTTACTATTGTGGCTTTTAGAAAGAAACTCAATAGCACCTTGTAACTATCAGCCATACATTTATTGTGATTTTTCAAAAAGTAACTTGTTAATCTCCTTGTTTGGTTGTAGCACTTCCTATTTTATATATATAGTAAACAGTTACTATTGGTTTTTCATTGTGGTCTTTTAAAAAGTAACTCGTTGCTATCGGTATTACATTGTAGCTTTTATTTATTTATTATTTATTTATTTCAAAGTTTTATATATCGACCTTCTCACCTCTTTGAGGGTGAGAAGTAACTCATAGTAATGAGTTACTTTTGAAAAGTAACTCATTACTATTGGTATTCCACTGCAGCTTTTAAAAAGTAATTTGTTACTATTGGTATTGTGGCGTTTTAAAAAGTAACTCACATTGTGGCCTTTGAAGAAGATATTCATTACTATTGGTGTTAATTGTGACCTCTTAAAGTGTAACTTGTTACTATTGGTATTTAATTGTGGTCTTTGAAAGAGTAACTTGTGGTCTTTTAAGAAGTTACTAATATGGTGACCTTTTAAAAAGATACTTGCTACTATTGGTATTTCTGTAGGTTTTTAAACAGAGTCTGGATGGCCATCTGTTGGGAGGGCTTTGACTATGCCTTCCTGTCTGACTGAAGGGGGATGCACTAGATGCCCTTGGGGGGGGGGGTCTTAAGACTCAGAATCTTCCTTACCTGTAGTGATGGCATCAAAAAAGGACCAGCAGTAATGGGCACTAAGGTTGTCTTCCTCCTGATGTCCTTCTTCAATTTCTGGGAAGCGGGCAAAGAGTTTTCCTGGAAGCTGGACCACTGGTCCCCGAGACGGTTTCCCTACCGAAAAAGAAGAGAGAGGATAAATATCCAAAATGGTGAGCATTAGATTTGAGTAAACAGTGTATTTCCAAATGTGATAAAGTCCTAAAAGTATCTCACTAGGGCAACATATCTCTAATCTGGGTAGACCTCAGAGCTCCCATTCAAGGTTGTCAAATGCGTTTTCTACCTCCAAAGACTGGGATGAAACCTAGATTTGGCCAGTTCTTCAGTGGACAGCCATAGGTTCATGCCATTGGGGTGGTGGGTCTGCTTCAGTTTCATTATAGGGTCTCAATGAACTTTCCAAGCTTCCAAAATCCCATTGCTAAAGAGCATCAAGACCTCAGAGATCCCTTCAACATTGTCAAATGCCTTTTCTACCAACTCCAAGGGTTTCTACATCCCATTGCTAAAAGTGTAGGTGCTTACCATATAAGTTCTGGATGGCCAGGATGTCGTCCCAGTTAAGAAGGAAGCCCTTGCCTAGCTTCTTGTAGTAGGGGGACATCAGAGCCCCCCGGACGGGGGAGTGCGCCAGGCCCAGCGTGTGGCCGATCTCGTGTGCCACCACCAGGAAGAGGTTGCGTCCTTTCCCACCACCCAGCACCCAGCGCTCCTCGCTGTCGAAGTGCGCCTCCCCTCGGAGCGGGAAGAAGGCATGCGCCAGGGCGCCCCCTGCAGAAATGGAGAAGGATGTCAGGTAGAAAATGCTGTCTGAGGTAGGAATTAATTGCATGTACCTCCAGTGTGTGGAAGAAATACAATTCTAATGCACATGTGTTTACAGCACAGTCCACTGGAGGGTTAATTAAGTGGAGATGTGATCCTAGAGCAGGCATGGGCAAAGTTCGGTCCTTCACATGTTTTGGACTTCAACTCCCACAATTCCTAACAACCGGTATAATAATAATAATAATAATAATAATAATAATAATAATAATAATTCTATCTTCCTTTATGAAAGAAGAGTGTTGGACTGGATGGCCTTTAGAGATCCCAATAGTATAGTAGTAGTAGTAGTAGTAGTAGTAGTAGTAGTAGTAGTAATAATAATCCTTTATGGAGAAGGGGACTGGATTGGATGGCCTTTAGAGGCCTTAACAACAACAACAACAATGACAACAACAGAATAATAATAATAATAATAATAATAATAATAATAATAATAATATAATATAATAGTAATTCTATCTTCCTTCATAGCAGAAGGGGGATGGACTGGATGGCCTTTAGGGATCCCTCCCAATTCAATGAGTCTAATAATAATAATAATAATAATATAGTAATCCTATCTTCCTTTGTGGCAGAAGACGGGGGAGGGCTGGACTGGATGTCCTTCAGGGGGCCCTCTATTCTTACCAGGCCCGTCAAAGGCATTGTCGGCCCCGTCGTTGTGGTCTCCCTGGAAGAAGGTCAGGCGGATGTCAGCAGGCTCCCCCTCGGCCTCCCAGAAGAGCAGGCTGGAGACGTTGCTCCAGAGCCGGAAGGCTGCCTGGACGGCCGAGTGGACCTGATTCGGGGGCAAGTACCGTGGCCAGTTGACCAGACGGAAGGTCAGCTGCCGCTTGTGCCATTTGCCACCTGAAAGAGACAGAGAAAGACATCAAGACAGAGAAAGAGAGACGGAAGCTTCCAAGTTCCCAAGAGTGCAGACCAGGTGTGGGCCAACTTCAACCCTCCCTCCAGGTGTTTTGGACTCCACCATTCCTACCAGCCTCCAAGCCAACCCATCATCCACAGTTGAGTTGGGTTCATGGCAACCCTAGGAAGGGCTAACCCTACAACTGGGAATCTAAGTCAACCCTATGAACAAGTTCATGGCGACCCTATGGACCTCCAAGCCAACCCATAGTCCACAGCCCTGCTTAGGTCTTGTAAGCATGACTTCATGGAGACCCAATGAATGAGAGACCTTCATGGTGACCCTATGGGTGGGAATCCAAGTCAACCCATCATACACAACTGAGTTCCTATGAAGGAGAGACCTCCAAGCCAACTCAAAGTCCATGTCTGAATTAGGTTCATGGGGATACTGTGAAATTGTTCATGATTCCCCTATGAACCTCCAAGCCAACCCATTGTCCACAGCTGAGTTGGGTTCATGGTAACTCTATGGACAAGTTCATGGGGACCCTACAAAGAAGAGACTCTATGAATGGGAATCTAAGTCAATCCATTGTTCACAGTTGAGCTGAGATCATGGTGACCTTATAAAGGGGAGACCTTTAAGCCAACCCATCGTCTACAGTTGGGTTGGGATCATGGGGACCCTATGAACAAGTTCATGGTAACTTTAGGATCCTTCAAGTCAACCTATTGACCACAGTTGGGTTAAGATCATGGAAACCCTACGAAGGGGAGTCAACTCATTGTCCACAGTCGAGTTGGGATCATGGGGACCCTATGGATGGGAATCAAAGTCAACCCATTATCCACACCTTAGTTCTCATGGTGACTCTACAGAGGAGAAACCTTCAAGCCAACCCATCGTCCACAGTTGGGTTGGGATCATGGGAACCCTATGAACGAGTTCATGGTGACTTTAGGAACCTTCAAGTCAACCCATTGTTCACAGCTGGGTTGAGATTATGGAGACCCTATGAAGGGGGGGTCAACCCATCGTCCACGGCTGAGTTGGGATCATGGGGACCCTATGGATGGGAATCCTTGGAGGTGTGGATGATGGGTTGACTTGGATTCCCATCCATAGGTCCCCATGATCCTAACTCAGCTGTGGACAATGAGTTGACTCCCCTTCATAGGTTCTCCATGATCTCAACCCAACTGTGGTCAATCGGTTGACTTGAAGGATCCTAAAGTTACCATGAACTTGTTCATAGGTATCCATCATCCACACCTTAATTCTCATGGTGACTCTACAGAGGAGGAACCTCCAAGCCAACTTGTCATCCACAGCCCTGCTTAGATAGGTCATTCAGAGGGTCACTGCATGCTGATCCCATGGAGGGGAGGCTGCCCACCCCAGGGGATTCTGGGAGTGGCAGCCCAAGGCAGAGGGGTCTTTGCTGAGCATTGAAGGGCTGCCTTACTTGGCAGGAGGTCCCGTCCCCTGCGGCTCCTCCTCTTTGGTCCAGGCTTCATCCAAGGGGTCACTCTGTGCTGTTGGCTGCCTTTGTTGCCGCATCGGGGAAGGGTCATCTGGTGGAGAGTAGGGGGGTCCAGTGCTCCGCTGGGATCCAAGTGGGATTCCCGTTGGAAGGCCCTAAAACAAGGAAGAAAAGAGAGGAAGTCCCAAGTTGGCACTAAAACCCGGAGCGGACGTCAAAGGGAAAGGCGTGTTGCTTCACCAGGCAGCATCCCCATTGTGTTGGCCTTATAGGGTATTATTATATAATATATATATAATACTAATATTGTGCTGTGCTAATAATATAATAGATTGTATATACAAATAATATTGATACTTACATTCTAATGTAATACAATATAATATATATTGATATTGTAATATAGTAATACTAATGTATTACATATAATAACTCCTGATAATATACAATACTGTTTTATTACTCTATATTTGTACATTTGAAGTTGTAATGTACTTAAAGTTTGTGATTCAAGTAGAGACTCAAACTGGCTACCTATGGCAATCATTTTGGAAGAGAAGGCTACATTAAATAACTACAATAATAATAATAATAATAATACATAAAATTATTATGATAGATAATAATAATAGATGATAATGATAATAATAATAATAGATGATAATAGTAATAATAATAGATGGTGATGATAATAATTATAATGATAATAATTACCGGACGGCTTCTGCAAACGCTTGGGACCCATCAGCTGAAGGCTCAAAATAGCCGTATTTCTCCAGGAACCTCTGGAATAATAATGATAATAATAATAATTTGGTATAATAATAATAATAATATCATTTGGAATAATAATAATATAATGATGATGATGTTGATGATAATCCTTTGGAATAATAATAATAATAATAATATTATAATAATGTTGTCTGGTTGCTCCTGACACTATAAATAAATAAATAATATAATATAATAAATATAATAATAATAATGATAAAATAATAATAATAATCCTTTGGAATAATAATAATAGGTATATTATTATTAATAAAAAGGTATATTATTATTATTATTATTATTATTATTATTATTATTATTATTGATAATAATAATGATAACAATAATATAGTTCTCCCAATGGAGAGAAAAAAGGGGCAGTATGATCAATAATAATAATAATAATAATAATATAAATGTAATAATAATAATTGCAGTAAGTGGTTTTGTGTATCCTTCAAGAAAGTATCCTTTAAAATATACAGGGAGTGAATCCAGGAATGAATCTGCTTTGGAATAATAATAATAATAATAATAATAATAATAATAATAATAATGGCCTAGGCAGAAGGGGAGAATACTTCTACTACTAATAATAAATAATTATTATATTAATTATTATATTATATTAATTATATTATATTATTATAATATTATTATAATATTATTATATTATATTAATTATATTTATTGTATTCTTGTATTATTATATTATCTTGTCATATTATAGTATAATATTTATTATGTTATATTATTATTATATTATCTTGTCCTATTACATTTATGATTTTTATTATATATCATTATATTGTTTTGTTATTATATTATATTTATTATATTATTATATTGTTATAGTATTATTATTATTATTTTGACTGTGAAAGCTGCAGCGTCTTTTTTCCAGACAGCGTCAAGGGCCTCTTTCCTTTTCCCGAAGGATTTTGCAAAGGAGGAAATGCCATTCTCTGTACAGAATGTCATTGCAAAACAAGAGGAAATGGGCTGCACTGAAGCCTGGGAAAAACCACGTTCCCTTTTTTGTGCAAAAAAGGAAAGAGCAGAGACATATTGCAATGCTATAAATATAGATCATGCCAGAAACAAAGGATCTTTTCCAATGAATTAAATTGGCAAAGCCTGCAAATCTATGCTTTGAATAGTGTTTAACTTATGTGTTCTATAGATGGTGAGCTGGTTGCATTTTAGATTCTCCCAATGGAGAGAAAAAAGGTATATTATTATTATTATTATTATTATTATTATTATTATTATTATTATTATTAATGATAATAATAATAATAACAATAATAATATAGTTCTCCCAATGGAGAGAAAAAAGGGGCAGTATGATTAATAATAATAATAATRWTGTTGTTGTTTATTATTACTACTATTGTTGTTGTTGTTGTAATAGCTTTGAATAAAACTCCTATTATTATTATTATTTCCAATGAAAAGGRYATATTATTATTATTATTATTAWTRATRATAATAATAATGATAACAATAATATAGTTCWCCCAATGGAGAGAAAAAAGGGGCAGTATGAWYAATARTAATAATAATAATGTTGTAATAGCTTTGAATAAAATTATTATTATTATTATTATTATTATTATTATTATTATTATTATTATTATTATTTCCCATCAAGAGAAAAGGGCATGGGATTATAATAATAATGTTGTTGCAATAGCTTTGATGTTGTTGTAATAGCTTTTAAAATTCCTATTATTATTATTATTATTATTATTATTTCCAATGAAAAGGGCATATTATTATTATTATTATTATTAATGATAATGATAACAATAATATAGTTCTCCCAATGGAGACAAAAAAGGGGCAGTATGATTAATAATAATAATAATGTTGTTGTWKTAATAGCTTTGAATAAAATTATTATTATTATTATTATTATTATTATTATTATTATTATTATTATTTCCCATCAAGAGAAAAGGGCATGGGATTATAATAATAATTGTTGTGGTTGTAATAGCTTTGAATAAAAATCCTATTATTATTATTATTATTATTATTATTATTATTTCCAATTAAAAGGGCTTATTTTTATTATTAATGATAATAATAATAGTGATAACAATATATAGTTCTCCCAATGGAGAGAAAAAAAGGGGCAGTATGATTAATAATAATAATATGCCCTTTTCATTGGAAATAATAATAATAATAGGAATTTTATTCAAAGCTGTTAGAACAACAATAATTATTATAAGCCCATGCCCTTTCCTCTTGATGGGAAATAATAATAATAATAATAATAATAATAATAATAATAATAATAATAATTTTATTCAAAATTATTACAACTTCAACAAAATAATAATAATTTTATTCAAAGCTATTACAACAATAATAATTTTATTCAAAGGTATTATAATAATAATACTGATAATTATTATTATATTCAAAGCTATTACAATAATAATAATAATTTTATTCAAAACTATTACAGTTATAAATAATAGTTTTATTCAAAGCTATTACAATTATTATTATTTATTATTATATTCAAAGCTATTACAATAATAATAATTTTATTCAAAGCTATTACAATAATATTAATATTTAAAGCTATTACAATAATAATAATAATAATAATAATAATAATAATAATAATTTTATTCAAAACTATTACAAAAATAATAATAATATGCCCTTTTCTCTTGATTGGAAAATAATAATAATAATAATAATAATAATAATAATAATAATAATAATAATTTTAACCAAAACCCAGTCATTTCCCAGCTTAATTTCCCCGAAGCAAAGGGCATGGTCCAACTTTTGTTTGGCAAAGAGTGCCTCTGAGCATGCACAGAGTTCCATCCAAGTGACCCGGCCTCACCTTTGCCCCCGAAACCGAACTTGACCTGCTTTGTCCCAAGAAGGATCCAGAAGAAAGAGAGAGGAAGAAAAGGAGGAGGAAGAAGGGAAGGGGGGAGCGTGCCATGAAGCCTCTTCCTTCCTTTCCTTCTTTCTGTCTTTCTGTCTTTCTTTCTTTCTCTCTATCTATCTATCTATCTATCTATCTATCTATCTATCTATCTATCTATCTGTCCTTTTTTCCTTCCTTGTCTCCTTCACTTTAGGCTCGTTCCTCTTTTCTTTTCTTTCTTTCTTTGCTTTCTTTCTTTCTTTCTTTCTTTCTTTCCTTTCTTTCTTTCTTTCTTTCTTTCTGTCTCTTCTTCCCTCTTCCTCTCTTCCTCTCCTTCTTGCCTCCTTCTCTCTCAGCCCCTTTCTCCGCCTTCTACCCCCTCTTCTTCCTTCTTTTTCTTTCTCTCCTCCTCCTCTTCCTTCCCTTTCTCCTCCTCTTTCCTACCTCACTTTCTCTCCTCCTTCTCTCTTGTGATACACACCCTTTTTCTTTCTCTCTCTTCTCTCTTTGGTTTCTGTCCTTCTCGTCTCCTCTTACTCCCTTTCTTTCTTCCTCTCCGCCTTGTCTCCTTTACTTTCAGCCCTTTCTTTTCTTTCTTTCTGTCCTTACTTCCTTCCTTTCTCCTCTCTCTTTCTTCCTCTCCTCCTTGTCTCCTCCACTTCCTTCTTCCTTCCTTTCTTCTGCCTGCCCTCCCACCCTTCCTATCTCTCTGTTTCTTTTCTCTTTCTTTCCTCCTCGTCTCCTTCTCCCTTTCTTTGTTTCTTTCTTTCCTCTCCCTCTCCTTCTCTCCTTCTTTCTGCCTTTCCTTCCTTCCTTTCTCCTCCTTCTTTCTTTTCTTCCTCTCCTTCTTGTCTCCTGTCTCTCTCTTTTTCCTTCTCTTCTTTCTTCCTTCTTCCTCCTCCTTCCCTCTCTCCTTTTCTCTTTCTCCCCTCCTTGTCTCCTTCTCTCTCTTTCTTTCTTTCTGCCTTTTCTTCCTTCCTTCCTTTCTCCTCCCTCTCTTTTCTTCCTCTCCTTGTCACCTGTCTCACTCTCCTTCCTTCCTTCCTTCCTTCCTTCCTTCCTTCCTTCCTTCCTTCCTTCCTTCCTTCCTTCCTTCCTTCCTTCCCTTTCTCTCCCTCTCCTCCTTGTCACCTTCTCTCTTTTTCTATCTTTCCTTCTTTCTTTCTCTTTCTTTCTGCCTTTCCTTCCTTCCTTCTCCCTCTCTCTTTATTTTCTTCCTCTCCTTGTTTCCTGTCTCTCTCCTTCCTTCCTTCTTCTCCCTCTCTCCTTTTTCTTTCTCTCTCCTCTCCTTCTTCCTTCTTCTTTCTCTTTCTTTCCTTTTCTTTTTCTTTCTTTCTTTCTTTCTTTCTTTCTTTCTTTTCTCCTTTCTTTCTCCTTTTCTTCCTTCCCTTTTTTCTCTCTCTTTTCTTTTCTTCCTCTCCTCCTTGTCCTTTCTCTTTCTTCTCTCTCTCTCTCTCTTCCTTCCTTTCTGCCTTTCCCTCCTATCTTTCTCCCCCCTCTCTCTTTCTTTTCTTCCTCTTCTTGTCCCCGGTCCCTCTTCTTTGTTCCTTCCTTCCTTTCTCCTTCCTCTCTCTTTTCTTCCTCTCCTCCTCTTCCTTCTTTCCTATCTTTCTCCTCCCTCTCGCTTTCTTTTCTTCCTCTTCTTGTCCCCTGTCTCTCTTCTTTGTTCCTTCCTTCTTTATCTCCCCCTTCACTTTTGGCCCTCCCTCCCTCCTTCCTTCCTTTCTTTCTCCCCCCTCTCTCTTTTCTTCCTCTCCTCCTCTCTCTTTTCCTGGTCTCTTTTCACCTACCCTCCCTCTCCTTCTAGTCTCCTACTTTTCTTTCTTTCTTTCTTTCTTTCTTTCTTCCTCCTTTTTTCCCTTTCCTTTTGCTCTGAGAAGGAGCCCTGCCCAGTGCTAATTAAGGGGTTAGTTAGCCCATCCTTGATGTCATTGGACAGAGAGAGAGAAAGGAAGAAAGAAAGGAAGGAGGGAGGGAGAGGAAAAGGGAGGGGAAGAAAGAAAGAAAACAGAGCAAAACAGGAGGGAGGAGGGAGGAATAAAACAGGAGGAAAGAGTCCCAATTGGGCGGGACTTTTATTTCTTGTATGTAGAGAAAAACTTCAGATAATAATAGTAATAATAGTAATAATAATAATAATAATAATAATAATAATAATAATAGATTTAATTTGGGTGGGACTTTTAGTTCTGTACTCCCTTCTTCATCACTTTCTGCTGAAACTTTGAAGTCTTAGCAAAACTGAAGTCACAGAATATCCTTCCGAATTGAAATAGTGAGATCCAGATCACGGATAGTGAGATCCAGACCGTGGATAGTGAGTTCCAGTCGCGGATAGCGAGTTCCAGTCGTGGATAGCGAGATCCAGACCGCGGATAGCGAGATCCAGACCGCGGATAGTGAGATCCAGACCACGGATAGTGAGATCCAGACCGCGGATAGTGAGATCCAGAGATCCAGATAACGAAACCCGAAGTGCAAATACAGCTTCCCGATAAGTGGTTATCGGCACCAGCCGTGGGCCGTCCATGGATCCGTGTGCCTGGCGAGACGAAGAAGCTACAACCCAATAATTTCCAATCAATAATGTCACCAAGTTGGAGAAGAAGCCACCGAGGTATTTATTCAAGTCAGCTCATGGAAATCCACCAAAGAAAGCTGAGATACCATTACAGTGGAAAACAGTACAGTATACAGTACAGTACAGTTTTATACAGTACAGTTCTTTGGGGCCCCCTAGTGGCGCAGTGGGTTAAAGCGCTGAGTTGCTGAACTTGCTGATCGAAAGGTTGGCGGTTCGAATCCCAGGAAACCAGTGTGCTCCCGCTGTTAGCCCCAGCTTCTGCCAACCTAGCATTGTGGGAAGCAGGGCGAGTCATCCCAACATCAGGAAAGGAAATGCCAAGTGATAAATGTCTTTTCATATGTCCATGTGGCTGCACAAAGAACAGGCGGTCCAACTCCGAGGCCTGTTGTCTCCTGCACGGCCAGTGAGATGGTTCACAAATGATGGGCAATTGAGTCCTTTGTAAGCAGATGATGACCAGAAAAAACACTGGAAGGCATTCCCAGGTCAAGGGGGGCAGATGCATGGTCACCAAGGTCATGCTGAGTGGCTTCATTCGCCAAAGTTTTATATCAAGACATAAAATATGAAATATTATACAAAACAACACATATGAGGGGTCTGTGCATACCGAGAGGGACCCAACGATTCCAGAGGCTTAGTACCCACGGGGTGAGGGCACACATACCCAGGGGATCCGTGGATACCAAAGGGGGACCCAATGATTCCAAATTTCTGGTATCTGTGGGGTTAAGGGGGCATGTACACAGGGGATCTGTGGATACCCAGGGGGATTGGACAACTTTGGAGGCCTAATGTCCATGGGGTAAGGAGGCACATACACAGGGGATCCATGGATACTGAGGGGGAGTTGACGACTCCAGTCCTGGTATCTGCATGGTAAAGGGACACCTAAACAGGGGACCCATGCATATCAAGGGGACCCGACAGCTCGGGAAGCCTGGTATCCATGGGGTAAGGGGGCACGTACACAGGAGATCAGTGAATACCAATGGGGACCTGACAATTCCGGAGGCCTGGCATCTGCTGTGTAAGGGGGCACATACACAGGAGATCTGTGGATACTGAGGGGAACCCGACAGTTTTGGAGACCTGATATCCGCAGGGTAAGGGGGCACACACACAAGGGAATCGGTGGATACCGAGGGGGACCTGACAACTCTGGAGGCCTGATATTTGTGGGGAAGGGGGCACATACACGGAATCCATGGATACTGAGGGGGACCCGATGACTCTGGAGGCCTGATATCCGTGGGATAAGGGGGCACATACATAGGGGATCTGTGTATACCGAAGGGGACTGAATGATTCTGGAGGCCTAGTATCAGCAGGGTAAGGGGGCACTGAGGGGATCCATGGATACTGAGGGGAACCCAACAATTCTGGAGGCCTGGTATCCACAGGGATAGGAGAACATGTACGCAGGGGCTCTGTGGATACTGAGGGGGAYCAGACAACTCCAGAGGCCTGACATCCATGGGTTAAGGGGGGCACATACACAGAGGATCCGTGGATACCTAGGGGGACCCAACAACTTTGGAGGACTGGTATCCATGGGGTAAGGCGGAATGTACACAGGGATCTGTGGATACCAAGGGGGACCCAATGACTCTCGAGGCCTGGTATCCATGGGGTAAGGGGGGCACATACACAGGGGATCCGTGGATACCTAGGGGGACCCAACAACTTTGGAGGTCTGGTATCCTTGGGGTAAGGGGGCACATACACAGGGCAGCTGGGGATACCTAGGGGGACCCAACAACTCTGGAGGTCTGGTATCCTTGGGGTAAGGGGGTACATACACAGGGCAGCTGGGGATACCTAGGGGGACCCAACGACTGGAGACCTGGTATCCATGGGGTAAGGCGGAATGTACACAGGGATCTGTGGATACCGAGGGGGACCCAACGACTCTGGAGGCCTGGTATCCATGGGTTAAGGTGGGCACATACACAGGGGATCCGTGGATACCTAGGGGGGACCCAACAACCCTGGAGGCCTGGTATCCATGGGGTAAGAGTGGCACATTCACAGAGGATCTGTGGATACCTAGGGGGACCCAACAACTCTGGAGGCCTGGTATCCATGGAGTAAGGCGGCATGCACACAGGGGATCTGTGGATACCAAGGAGGACCCAATGACTCTAGAGGCCTGGGATCCATGGGATAAGGGGGGCATATACACAGAGGATTCATTGATACCTAGGGGGGCCCAATTACTCTGGAGGACTGGTATCCATGGGGTAAGGCAGAATGTACACAGGGATCTGTGGATACCTAGGGGGACCCAACGACACTGGAGGACTGGTATCCTTGGGGTAAGGTGGCACATACACAGGGGAGCTGGGGATACCAAGGGGGGGCCCGACAACCCTGGAGGCCTGGTATGCCTGGGGTAAGGGGACACATACACAAGGGAGCTGTGGATACCGAGGGCAACCCAATGATTCCGGAGGCCTGGTATCCATGGGGATAGGAGAACATGTACGCAGTTGCTCTACTCCGAACTCAAGAATGGACTTGGCAACTCCGGAGGCCTGGTTCTTCATCCTATGAATCAAAGGTGAGCTGGGGTCAGCCCTCCCATTGTGCTTTGATTGGAAGGCTTTTCTATCTGTCGGGGAGAAGTCACTATAATGACGCTGGCCTTCTTCATTAGTGTGAGATGGTTTGAGAATGAACGCTCTAGGCTTTCCCTCTTTTGGGGAAATCGTGGGAGATAAATACATTTCAAGACCAAGCCGGGCTACTCCAAACAAGGTAAGCGGCCAGCTTTAATGAATGCTGACTACTACTATTATGACTCTTATTATGATTTGCTTTACTAGCCAATGTAGAGCACCAATGGGAAACTTGCATTGGCAGGCTCACAGTGTCTATTTTCCCGAAAGCATGGAGCTATTTCGGTCCTTTACAAGCCGCTCGATCCGCTCTTGTTAATGAATAGCCTCGCGAGATGAGGGCAAAGGACGGTACAGCGAGTCCCTTGGCATCGAATCCTATTTCTCTGCCTTGGCATCGTCTCCCACTTTGAACTTTCCCATCAGCTTTGGAAGAGGAGGAGGAGGAGGAAATATACACACCGTTGTGTAGGTAAAATGAATTGTTGTTTGTTTGTTTCAAGACACTGACCGGTCCAGCAAAAGCTGACCCTGTTTATTGGGCTAATAAGTAGCTGGGGTTGGTAAAAATCTCTTGTTTTGTATGTGATCTCTTGCTAAACAATTCGCGTGAATTTGGGCTCTGCTCCTGGCTGTGTCTGTCCCAAATGGGAGGGAAGGAAGTTTTTGTATGCAATGGGAAGTTGTGCGTAAAATATAAAATTAGTGGGTTGTTTTGAGTTTCAACTTTTGGGAGAGATATCAGACCTCTTGGTTAGTTCAACAGACAAAACATATTAAGAGTTGTGCACCTCCGATTCTACATCCAAATCTCCTATTACAGTGTTTCTCAACCTTCCTAATGCCACGAACCCTGAATACAGTTCCTCATGTTGTGGTGACCCCCAACCATAACGGACTGAAAGCCAAAACCAAGGTTACAACAACTTCTGTTATAGAACTCCAGTATGCTGATGACAACGTTGTCTGTGCGCATTCAGAAGAAGACCTACCAGCCACTCTAAACACCTTCGCAGATGCATACGAGAAGCTCAGCCTGTCATTGAACATTGAGAAAACCAAAGTGCTCTTCCAGCAGTCACCAGCCAACCCCTCTCCAATGCCAGTGATACAGCTTAATGGTGTAACATTAGAAAATTTTGACCATTTCCTCTACCTTGGCAGCCACCTCTCCACAAAAGTCAACATTGACATCGAAATGCAACACTGCCTGAGCTCTGTGAGTGCAGCATTTTTCCGAAAGAAGCAGAGAGTGTTTGAGGACTGGGACATTCGTAGGGATACCAAGGTGCTTGTTTATAAAGCTATTGCCCTCCCAACCCTGCTATATGGCTGCGAGACATCGACTGTCTATAGACGTCACATGCAACTCCTGGAACGATTCCATCAGCGCCACTTCCGGAAAATCCTGCAAATCTCTTGGAAAGACAAGCAGACAAATGTCAGCGTGCTGGAAGAAGCAAAGACCACCAGCATTGAAGCGATGGTCCTCTGCCATCAACTCTGCTGGACCGGTCACGTTGTCCGAATGCCTGACCACCATCTCCCGAAGCAGTTGCTCTATTCCAAAATCAAGAACGGAAAACGGAATTTTGGAGGACAGGAAAAGAGATTAAAAGATGGACTCAAAGCCAACCTTACAAACTCTGACATAGACACTGAGAAGTGGGAAGCCCGGGCCCTTGAGTGCTCTAGCATGTTCTTCGATTTCCGCCATCTGCTTCTCTGGCCCTGGAACTCAACAAAAAAGCTCCTGTTTTGTAACAGATTCCCTATGAAGCGGGTGAGGTGGTTGTCCTTTGTGATATTATACATTTTTCTCAGGAGGAGGCAATAATTTAGAGTATCATAAGCTGCTGACAGGTCTATGAAGACGGCACCTGTAATCTGCTGTCTTTCAAAGCCATCTTTGTCAGGTTTAGCACTTGTGATGTGCAGCTTTCCCCTTTCCTGTGGGATCATAAATGGGTCTATTTTCCCTATAATTCTGTGCAGGGTAAATCTTATCACCCTGATTGTCAAAGAAGATAATTCACATTGTCTGCTTTGAACTGGATTAAATGAGTCTACACTGTCATATAATTTGGTTCAAAGGAATTATATGGCACAGAAGGGCCGGAGAGGAATATGCAAGGACTTTATTGCATTGGGATGTAATTCGTTTCGGAGACTCTCTGAATGCGATTCCAAAACAGGTCTGATCACATGATGTGATGTTTCCCATTCTTTTGCTATTTATAGTGTCTTGGGTGAAATATTTGCACACACATTCCTTCCTTCCTTCCTTCCCACAATCCCCACTCCCATTTGAAGGAGGGTTAACCTCTCTCGCCTGTCAACATATTTCTCTTGGAATAGAGTTGTGTTTGAGCAGAGTTTCTTCTTGCAGAGAAGCCTTGCAAGAACTTGCTAGGCTAGGAATGTTTGTCCTCCTTGCTCTCCTCCAATCGGAAAAGAGCTTCCCGGGGCTCGAAAGCAGGCACTTGAAAGTTTTGTTTGGATCTGTTCCTCGTCCAGATCGCCTTCCGTGCTTGTTGTGCAGCGGCTTCACAGAATGACTTCTGATGCAATTTTCGAAGAAGCTCCCATTCGGCGAGTGGCAATCTTTGGAGGGACTCACGGCAATGAATTGTCCGGCGTTTTTCTGGTCCACTATTGGCAGCAAGAGGACCACACTGAGATCCAAAGGCCTGGCTTGGAGGTCAGGCCATTTCTGGCCAACCCAAGAGCGATTGAGAAATGCTGCCGATAYGTCGACTGYGACCTGAACCGAACGTTCAAGGATGACAATCTGGGGTGAGCCAACCAAGCATCCATGTTGAGAATAGGTGAAGGTAAAGAGTCTAGTTGTGTCTGATTCTGGAGGGCGGGGGTGGGGGGTGGGGTGGGGGTGGTCATCTCAATTTCTAAGCTGAAGAGCCAGCATTGTCCATAGACACTGTTCTTTATACTTCCTTCTTTGCTTCCACGCTGGGCTTCTTCCTTATGCAGATAAACAATTTTGCTTTCACAGAGCTTCCTCTCACACCAAGTTACACAGAAGATTCACACAGTAGCTTTTTACACATAGCAGCCTGTACACATGAAGCTTTGCACACGAGGCCTTCAACCTGGAGCGTCTCTCACCAAAGCTTCTCACACCAGGCCTTCTCACACTCAGCCTTCTCATAGACTAAGGCCTACCTCACATTGTGAGGCCTTCTCTCACAGAATAAGGCCTACCTCACACTGTGAGGCCTTCTCTCACAAAGACCTATCTCACACTGTGAAGCTTTCTCTCACAAAGACCTACCTCACACTGTGAAGCCTTCTCTCACAAAGGCCTACCTCACACTGTGAGGCCTTCTCTCACAAAGACCTACCTCACACTGTGAGGCCTTCTCTCACAAAGACCTATCTCACACTGTGAGGCCTTCTCCCACAAAGACCTACCTCACACTGTGAGGCCTTCTCTCACAAACTAAGGCCTATGTCACACGGTGAGGCGTTCTCTCACAGAATAACGCCTACCTCATACTGTGAGTTCTTCTCTCACAGAATAAGGTCTACCTCACACTGTGAGGCCTTCTCTCATAAAGACCTACCTCACACTGTGAAGCCTTCTCTCACAAAGACCTATCCTCACACTGTGAGGCCTTCTTTCACAATGACCTACCTCATGCTGTGAGGCCTTCTCTCACAAACTAAGGCCTATGTCACACTGTGAGGCCTTTTCTCACAGACTAAAGCCTACCTCACACTGTGAGGCCTTTTCACAGACCGAGACCTTTCTCCCACTGAGGTTTACCTCAGACTGATGGCTACTAAGCAACTTTCACACTTGCTTCAAACATATAAGAGTTCCTTCTCTCACCCTGGACATTATTCCACAGGGATAAATACACTCCATTTGCTTCACTACCTCTATGCAGATACCCTCACTGATTGACTTTGCACCTGCAAGGCTATTCAATGCTAATCAAGACATCCCAGAAAACTCACAGCAACTCAGTGATAAATGCGTTGAAAAGGTCAGCTGGATGCAGCTGTATTTGTGTAGGAACCCTGAAACAATTATTATTATTATTATTATTATGTTGTTGTTGTTGTTGTTGTTGTTGTTGCTGTTGCTGTTATGTCTTACCTGCCTCTCCTTGTCGCTCGAGGTGTGTTATGTACAACATAGCTAAAAACACATAATCATCATCATCATCATTCCATAAAATATAGAATACACATATTAAAATATATTTCTACAAATCCCAAAGAGTTGTGAGGCTTAGATAATTTCATTTACCCAAATGTGAGAATTCCAGAGGGAAGTGGAGAGACCGCGTCAAAGTGCACTGTTTTGTACCAAGTCTGTTGAATTGGTGTGTCAAATCGGAAGTGTCACTTTTAATCCGAGCGCTTTGTGTCCCTCTCCTCCCTTGTGTCCCTAGATGAACTTTCCAAGCGATTTGCGCTTCCTAGGGACAGCTCTTGTTGCAGCGGCCGCAATGCAAACACATCCCCAAAAAGTTAAAGCAGAAACATGATGAGTGGCTTCAAGAGCTGGGTCTGTTTATCCTGTCAAAGAGAAGGTTGAGAGGAGACATGAGAGCCATGGATAAATATGTGAAAGGGTGTCCTAAGGAAGAGGGAACAGGCTGCCCTGGAAACAAGGACTTGGAGTAATACCTTCAAATTACAGGAAAGGGTCAAAACAGTGGACCAAGATGGGACTAAGGGCCAATAGAGGAGACCAAGGGTCGATAGAAAGGGTCAATGATCAATAGAGGAAACCAAGGGTCAAAACAGTGAACCAAGGGACAATAGAAGGGGCCAACGGCTAATAGAGGGGACCAATAGTCAGTACAATGGGCTAAGGGGCAATAGATTGGACCAAGGGTCAATAGAGGAAAAAAAGGGTCAATACAGCAGACCAAGGGCCAATAGAGGAGACAAAGGATCAATAGAAGGGGCCAAGGGCTAATAGAGGAAACCAAGGGTCAATACAGCAGACCAAGCACCAATAGAGGGGACGAAGTGTCAATAGAGTGGACCACTGGTCAATAGATGGGACTAAGGGTCAAAACAGTGGACCAAGGGCCAATAGATGGGACCAAGGGCAATAGAGGAAATCAATGGTCAATACAGCAGACCAAGAGCCAATAGAAGGGATGAAGTATCAATAGAGTAGGCCAAGGGTCAACAGATGGGACTAAGGGTCAAAACAGTGGACCTAGGGCCAATAGATGGGACCAAGGGTCAATAGAGGAAACCAAGGATCAATACAGCAGACCAAGGGCCAATAGAGGGGATGAAGTATCAATAGAGTAGACCAAGGGTCAACAGATGGGACTAAGGGTCAAAACAATGGACCAAGGGGCAATAGATGGGACCAAGGGCAATAGAGGAAACCAAGGGTCAGTACAGCAGACCAAGGGCCAATAGAAGGGACAAAGTATCAATAGAGTAGACCAAGGGTCAATAGATGGGACTAAGGGTCAAAACAGTGGACCAAGGGCCAATAGATGGGACCAAAGGTCAATAGAGGAGACCAGGGGTTGGTAGAGAGGACCAGTGATCAATAGAGGAAACTAAGGGTCAAAACAGTGAACCAATAGTCAATACAATGGACCAAGGATCAATAGAAGAGACAAAGGGTCAGTAGATGGGACCAAAGGTCAATACAATGGACCAAGTGTCAACAGAGTAGACGAATAGAATCATAGAATCATAGAGGTGGAAAAGACCCCATGGAGCCACCTAGTCCAACCCCATTTGCCATGTAGGAAAAGCACAATCAAAAAAAAAAAAAAAAAAAAAAAAAAAAAAAAAAAAAAAACAAAAAAAAAAAAAAAAAAAAAAAAAAAAAAAAAAAAAAAAAAAAAAAAAAAAAAAAAAGCATCAAAGCATCCCTAACAGATGACCATCCAGCCTCTGTTTGAAAGTTTCCAAGAAAGGAGCTTCCACCAGACCCCGAGGCAGAGAGTTCCACTGCTGAACAGCTCATATGGTCAGGAAGTTCTTCCTAATGTTCAGGTGGAATCCTTGGTGGTGGTGGTGGTGAGATTCCCAACCCTTTCAAAAATACACATCAAACATCAAACATTAAGTGGTGGGTGCCAAAGAATTCATGCTTGACGCGCTCCAACCAATATAGATTCATGGACCTGTGGGTGCCTTTTACCCACAGAAAGCCACTGGAGGACAACGCTCCCTACGAGGTCAAAAGAGCTCAGGAAATCAATCAAATCTTTGGCCCCAAAGGCAGCCTGGATGCCTATGACCTCATCTTCGACCTGCACAATACGACCTCCAATATGGGAGGCACCCTCATCCTGGAGAGCTCTGAAGACGCTTTTGCCATCCAGATGTGCCGCTACATCAAGGTAAATGGTGAGAGTCACAGAGACGTCTCCGCTCTGCTCGAGAGTCAATGGTGAATTCTCATGTAGGGTTGGAGAGACTCAGATCCTCCCTAAAACTCGATCATGTAGCTTGAGTTCCATCAACGAATGCCCCTTCCCATCCACACAACTGGATTTTAGATGGTCATTCCATTTGTGGTTAGGAATTGGTGAAGCTTTGGTATAGGATAGGAAAAAACCGTAAAGTCAGCGTGATCTGGAAGTCTGCTTTCTTAATTCCACTTCCTTGATAAATTAACACTGGGATTCGCTTACGTTGTCGAAGGGCACCAAGAAATGCTATCTTGTCTGTTTTCAAAGGATGTCCTATTTCTCTCTCTCTCTCTCTCTCTCTCTTTATTGACCAGGGACCACTTGACCAAGGACCACTTTGAAGAGTGACCACTCTTCAACATTAGGGTTATTAATATGTTCTTGGTCAACTTTAGATTCAGTTTGGTTATTTGGGGTGCTGATTCAAAAAATTGCATTGGATAGACCACATCAGCTCTGGTTTCTGATATAGATCCTATGCCATCCAGTAGTCGCCATCTACTCACCCTGTCTGGATCTGTAGCTTTCCAGTGAAGAAATTACCTCACAAACAAAGTTGGAAGGCTTTAATTCAAAGCATGCATTAAGGAACACAACAAAGTTCCAACTGACAGTTTATTTCCCCCATGCCTCACCCTGGTCCCTCTCCTGCATTGTTTACATTTTCATGGCAACCCTCTCCCAGATTTCAAATATACACAGGACAGGTTTAAGCCATGGTCTAATTTCCTGGCTTCACGCAAAACCAGGAAATAAGGTCATGACGTGCCACAGAAAACTATATTTAATAAGACTCGGAACTATAAGAGGGTTTTGCAAGACCAGTTGCTCTCGTTGCAATGGTGTAGTAATGGTGAGGCCACAGACCATGTTCCGTCTTCCAGGAGCATAGTTTGCAATACCTTTTAGTTGCATGGGATAGCATTCTTTTGCATTTCCCGAGTGTTGCTACAATCTCAGCTGCACTCTGAAAGTTAACAGCATTAGAGGCTGGAAAGCCAGCCTGCAGGCCCCTTTTTGCAGCTATTGGTTCAGAAAGTATCTCTTTGGGTTTAGAGACCGCCCTTTTTCCTGGGTTGAGATCTCTATTTTGGAATTTCCCCTGCCTCCTTCAGTAGAGAAAGAAAGCTTCAGATGTGCTGTTGGTCAGGCAGGTAACTCTGAAAAAAACCATTTTAGGAACGATTGAGAACTAGGTAGGAAGGTTGAGATGCTATAGATTGAGTTATTTAGATAGCGAAGCTATTGAGTACTATAGAGATAGATAGATAGATAGATAGATAGATAGAATAGGTATTGCGTTATATATTGAGCATTATTTCATCTCCAAAGCTAACCTTGAGCTATAGATAGGGAAAAAACTGCTTTTTTTCTAAACCATAGCAGCTCAGGGTTAGGGTGAAAAGATCCCAGGATTTTCTTCTGCCATTTTGGGGAAAAGTTGCCTCCGTAACTGAAGGAAAGGAAAGAAAGCTCATCTCTATTGTTTCACCAACTGGCTGTTTTGTTGGTAACTCTAACAAGCAGTGCCAAGTCTACAAGGACTTTGAGAAATAAATATTCTGTTTTGGTGTTCAAAGCCTGTAGTAGCCTCAGTTGCTGGGAATATCAAGCTTCTAAAGAAAGACCCCCGTGGTCCACCCAGACAAAGAGAGAAGCACATCTTAGTTTGTTTTTATAGGGCCTGGGTGTGACGGCACAGATCATATTTTAATTCTTGCGGACCATGGTCCATGGAACACAGGTTGGGAACAACTGATGTATACCCTATGAAAGACAATGTATAAATCGCGCCCGCGTCAGCAGAACTTTTGTGAGTCCAGCTTTTAATAATTGCATAGGAAGAACATTAAACAACTATATTTTCCACAGAATGCTTTGGCACCGGACGGCTGTTCCGTGTTCCTTATTGAGCATCCCAGCCTGAAATATGCAACGACTCGGTCTATAGCCAAACATCCTGTGGGTAAATATAAATGTTTACAAACGTCGTCCATGTCTAGTATATCAATCTAGAGTGTTATTCAGATGGTCTCGCAAAAAATGGGTGGGCGGGCGAGTGGGAAGGAAACCCAAACGTTGCTAATTTGCTACACAGGTGTCGAAGTTGGCCCTCAACCCCAAGGAGTCCTCCGAGCTGACATTCTGGAGAAGATGAGGAAAATCATCAAACACGGCCTTGATTTTGTTCAACTGTTCAATTCAGGTAGGACACCCGTGACGATTAGAGCAAGCAGGAAGTACCTGATGGATTTGGTGATGGAGGGTGGTTGTAAAGCTTGAGTACGGACCCGTTTTTAGCTGTTGCCTTTGGCTTCTTCGGAAGGCTGTAACGGCAAGGGTCCAGCCATCACGGTTTCCCGTCCATAACGGGACCACTTGGCTGTCATTAAAAGATACTTATCGCGGGGTACCGTTCCAGGACCACCCGCTATAAGTGAAAATCCGCAAAGTAGGGTTGCTATATTAATTTTAATATTCATACATTATTTTATATTTTTTATATTATTTTCTTACCCACGCTTCCTTGCCCACCTCCCGGACCATCTCGAGGGTGCCTGCCTTCCCCGCCGTGCCTCAGACCACCGTACTTCCGGGGTCCGTGGAGGCCAGGGAGGCAGGCCTTCCTCTCCGTGCCTCAGGATGCTGCACTTCTGGGGTCTCCGGCCTCCACTGGACGTAAATATTTTATATTTTATATTAATATTTTCAAAAACCCGTGAAGCAACGAGTCCGCGTGAAGCAAACTGCAAAACAGCGAGGGAGCACACTGAACCCCACCGATGATGCATCGAGAGCAAACTTGACCAATATAACAAACTTAAAGTATTGATGGAGTTTCTCAAGGTTGGTGCACAGAACCCCCATGACCAACTGAATGTACTGGAGAGATTTGACGGGACTGATCCACCATAGTGGGAGTTGTAGTTGACCCTATAGCCAGAGAGCACACTGAACCCCACCAATGATGCATCAAGAGCAAACTTGACCAACATAACAAACTTAAAGTATTGATGGAGTTTCTCAAGGTTGGTGCACAGAACCCCCATGACCAACTGAACGTAATGGAGGAATTTGATGGGACTGACCTACCATAGTGGGAGTTGTAGTCTACCCTACAGCCAGAGAGCACACTGAACCCACCGATGATGCGTCAAGAGCAAACTTGACCAACACAACAGACTTAAAGTACTGATTGAGTTTCTCAAGGTTGGTGCACAGAACCCCCATGACCAACTGAACGTACTGGAGGGATATGACGGGACTGATCCACCATAGTGGGAGTTGTAGTTGACCCTATAGCCAGAGAGCACACTGAACCCCACCGATGATGCGTCAAGAGCAAACTTGACCAACATAACAAACTTAAAGTACTGATTGAGTTTCTCAAGGTTGGTGCACAGAACCCCCATGACCAACTGAATGTACTGGAGGGATTTGACAGGACTGATCCACCATAGTGGGAGTTATAGTTGACCCTATAGCCAGAGAGCACATTGAATCCAGACCTGTTTTCTGTTTTGGCTCCTCAGGGAAAGAGTTCCCACCTTGTACGATCGAGATTTACAAAATTACGGAGAAGGTCGACTATCCGAGAAACAAAAATGGCGAGATCACCGCAATTGTCCACCCGAAACTACAGGTAAACATGTGCCATTGGTTCTTAAGTGGGAGTCTAAGAAGGATGAGAATCAGGAAGCATTGAACCTGGAGACTAAATCGTATTGTTTTGGTTTAACTGCAAGACGCTATGAGTTTCTTTTTAGAGAGAAAAAGCAGTGGAACCTCGACTTAACTCAAAACACCCTTAAGTCAGGATGCTTGACTTAAGAGTTCCCCAACTTGAGGATGTTTTGAGTTAAGAGTTGTCATGCTGCCCAGGTTTCACTTTGACATACAATCAGCATTTTGAATTAAGAGCCAGGGTGTTTGACTTAAGAGCTGTCATGCTGTCCAGGTTTCACTTTGACATACAAGCAGCATTTTGAATTAAGAGCCATTGCTTGTTCTGGATTTGACTTTGACATATGAGCAGTTTTGTGTTAAGAGCAGGCGTCAGAGAGAGCACTGGTACAAGAATACAGGCCTTCATGGGACCAGCCTCCTGGCCTCGTGCCCTTGCCTGCTTTGGGAGATTGCTGTCCTCATTCCCGCCTCCGTCCCTGTCTTGCTCTCTCTCACTCTCACTCCCTTCAAAAAGCTAAACATACCGGGAATAAAAAATCACATAAAATCAACTAATCCTCAAAGCAGACAAGACCAAAGCGGACAGCAATCTCCCAAAGCCGACAAGAGCATGAGGCCCGGAGGCTGCTCCCTTGAAACCTTAGAGCCCTGGACTCTCACGCTAGAGCTCCCTCTGATGCTTACTCTTAACTCAAAATGTCACTCTTATGTCAAAGCAAAACCAGACAAAGCAACAGCTCTTAACTCAAAACACTCAAGTAGGGATGCTCTTAAGTAGAGATTCCACTATATATTGTATATATTTTATGTTCATATGTGTTTGACTTTGTTTTACCCTCCCTTGAGCTGTCTTGTTGTTGTTGTTGTTGTTGTTGTTGTTATAAAAGACAGTTTTTCTTCTCTCCCAAGGATCAAGACTGGCAGCCTCTCAACCCGGGGGACCCCATGTTTGTAACTCTCGGAGGAAAGACAATCCCGTACGACGGAGAGGGCACTGTCTACCCGGCCTTTGTGAACGAGGCTGCCTACTACGAAAAGCAGCAAGCTTTTGTGAAAACGGTCAAAGTAAAACTAAGTGCCCATGGGCTCAGAGTCTGTTAGAACGGGAATTACTTGGAAATTAATTCTTTTTCAATCCAAGTGCCAAATCTAGTAGAAGTGTGCTGGGCTGAACCCAAGATGGCCCAGAATATCAAAGTTTTGAAATCAGACTTTAATATGAAATATTAAAGAGTATTCTGGGCACCGTAGAGCAAATATTCACCATCGTCAAAGCTTTACTACGATGAATGCCATTTAGGGCTGTTGTTTATAAAATAAGCTTGATATTCATACTATTTTAATACGATTCTATTTTGAATAATGGTAATATATATTTTGTATCTGATGTATTGAAGAATGCATGTTTTCGAACCACTAGGTTGGCAGAAGCTGGGGCTAACAATGGGAGCTCACCCTGCTCCACAGATTCAAACCACCAACCTTGCAGCCAGCAAGTTCTGCAGCTCAGGGGTTTAACCCACTGCACCACCGATCTTAACATGAAAGTAGAGTCTCACTTATCCGACCTTCGCTCATCCGACATTCCGTCTTATCCGACGCTCTTATCCAATGCCTCCCTTTTCCTCCAGCATTTCCCCTTCAATTCAAGGAGTGCTCCCCAACTCTCTCTCCATTCCCAATACAGTAGAGTCTTGCTTATCTGACCTTCGCTCGTCCGACATTCTGTCATATCTGACAATCTTATCCTATGCCTCCCTTTTCTTCCAGCATTTCCCCTTCAATTCAAGGAGCACTCTCCAACTCTTTCTCCATTCCTAATACAGTAGAGTCTTGCTTATCAGACCTTCACTCATCCCATATCCATCATATCTGACACTATTATCCAACGCCTCCCTTTTCCTCCAGCATTTCCCCTTCAATTCAAAGAGCGCTCCCCAACTTTCTCTCCATTTCTAATACAGTAGAGTCTCACTTATCCAACCTTCGCGCATCCGACATTCCATCTTATCTGACGCTCTAATCGAACACCTTCCTCTTCCTCCAGCATTTCCCCTTCAATCAAAGGAGCGCTCCCCAACTCTCTCTCCATTCCTAATACAGTATAGTCTCGCTTATCCGACCTTCGCTCATCCGATATTCTGACCTTTGCTCATCTGACATTTCGTCTTATCCGATGCTCTGATCCGATGCCTCCCTTTTCCTCCAGCATTTCCCCTTCAATCAAAGGACCGCTCCCCAACTCTCTCTCCATTCCTAATACAGTATAGTCTCACTTATACGACCTTAACGCATCCGACATTCCATCATATCCGACACTCTTATCCGACACCTTCCTCTTCCTCCAGCATTTCCCCTTCAATCAAAGGAGCGCTCCCCAACTCTCTCTCCATTCCTAATACAGTATAGTCTCGCTTATCCAACCTTCACTCATCCAATATTACAACTTTCGCTCATCCGACATTCCATCTTATCCGACACTCTGATCTGACGCCTCCCTTTTCCTCCAGGATTTCCCCTTCAATTAAAGGAGCACTCTCCAACTCTTTCTCCATTCCTAATACAGTAGAGTCTGGCTTATCCGACCTTCACTCATCCGACGTTCCGTCTTATCAGACGCTCTGATCCGACGCCTCCCTTTTCCTCCAGCATTTCCCCTTCAATTCAAGGAGCGTTCCCCAACTCTCTCTCCATTCCCAAAAAGTGAAAAAAGCAAGATGAGTAGGAGGAGGGAGGAAAGGGGGAAAAGAGGTAGGATCGGAAGCGGAAGCATCCTCCCTCCTTCCCTCTGTGATTTCCATGCTCCTCTTCCACATCTGGGCACTTCCTGCTGGGACTCTCTAGCCCTGAGGCATTACCTTGCCTTAACTCCTTGAGTCCCTGTTGTTAGTATTCTAGGTGTCTAGCGCCGCGTCAGACAGATAACAGTCGGAGATTCCGTATTATCTGACATTCTCGTTTTTCCGACGCCCTGCTGGCCCGTTTATGTCGGATAAGCGAGACTCTACTGTAGTTTATACCAGGAAAAGTGGAATTCATTCACTCCAGAAAATGTTAAACCGTATCCATCCGTCCCAACTATACGGACGATGGGAAGTTGAGTGGAAACATTAGGAAGGTTCCTAAGTACTGTCCCCCTTTCCTAAATCTCTAATCCCAGATTCCATGCTGTCACAGTGGTTAAAGTGGAATAATAGCGCTTGAACTGTAGTCTGAAAGGGTGTTGTTAGAAAAGAAGAGATGACCGGTGCTACGTTTTTGTACTTCTATTGAACCCCTGCGGACAGAGTTTGCGAGATGTCTATGTTCGTAGAAAAGTTTTGATTTTATTTACCTTTGCAATAAATAATTCTTTAACATTCTGGGGGAAAAGAAGCATTTGTTGCGACATTGAAAATAGCCACAGCATCACGCCATTCCCGTCGCGATATAATAACCTCGTCTCTATATACTGTAAGCAGACACAGGCAAACATTCAGTGGTATACAATGACCGTGAACACACAGACAAAGGCAAAGGCTTCTCCTTATGTTTCCGGCTCTGGTGGTGCTGCTCCTGCTAGGTTGGCAGGAGCTAGAGCTAACAGCGGGAGCTCACCTTGTCTCGTGGATTCGAACTGCCAACCTTCAGATCAGCAGTTCAGCAGCACAAGGGTTTAACCCAGTGGTTCTCAACCTTCCGAATGCTACGACCCCATCCACACAACTGTTGTGTTGACCCCCAACCATAACATTGTTTTCGTTGTCATTTTGCTACTGTTAGGAATCATAATTTAAATATCTGATATGCAGGGTGTGTTTTCATTCACTGGGCCAAATTTGGCACAAATACCCGATATGCCCAAAATTGAATACTGATGGGGGTGAACAACAATAATAATAATAATAATACTGGAGGTCTTTGGAGGGATTTATAGGATTTGTAGTTCACCTACACCCAGAGCACACTATGAACTCAAACAATGAAGGATCTTGGCATACACACCCGATATGCTCTAATTTGAATACTAGTATGTTTTGAGTGGAACTGGCCTGGACATTTTGAAGTTGTAGGTACTGGGTTTGGTGGGCCTTGACCTTGAGTTTGGGAGTTGTAGTTCACCTACATCCAGAGAACACTGTGGACTCAAACAAAGATGGATCTGGACCAAACTTGGCACAAATGCTCAACATGCCCAAATGTGAATACTGGTGGGGTTTGGGGGAAAATAGACCGTGGCATTTGGGAGTTGTAGTTGTTGGGATTTATAGTTCACCTACAATCAAAAGCATTTTGAACTCCACCAATGATGGAATTGAACCAAACTTGGCACACAGAACTCCCATGACCAACAGAAAATACTGGAAGGGTTTGGTGGGCATTGACCTTGAGTTTGGGAGTTGTAGTTCACCTGCATCCAGAGAGCACTGTGGACTCAAACAATGATGGATCTGGACCAAACTCGGAACGGATACTCAATATGGCCAAATATGAACACTGATGGAGTTTGGGGGGAAATAGACCTTGACATTTGAGAGTTGTAGTTTCTGGGATTTATAGTTCACCTACAATCAAAGAGCATTTTGAACTCCACCAATGATGGAAATAAGCCAGACTTGGCACACACAACTCCCATGACCAAGAAAAAATACTGGAAGGGTTTGGTGGGCCTTGACCTTGAGTTTGGGAGTTGTAGTTCACCTGCATCCAGAGAGCACTGTGGACTCAAACAATGATGGATCTGAACCAAACTTGGCATGAATACTCAATATGCCCAAATGTGAACACTGGTGGAGTTTGGGGGGAAATAGACCTTGACATTTGGGAGTTGTAGTTGCTGGGATTTATAGTTCACTATAATCAAAGAGTATTTTGAACTCCACCAACGATAGAATTGGGCCAAACTTCCCAGGACCAACAAAAAATACTGTGTATTCTGATGGTCTTTGGCGACCCCTCTGATACCTATTGGCGACCCCTCTTGAGGTCCCGACCCCCAGGTTGAGAAACACTGGTTTAACCCATTGTGACCCATTGTGCCATTGTGGTCTCTTGCTTTGAAATGGCTCTAAAGTGTAAATGAGAAAGTAGGAGAGACAGTGATTGCCGTCTCCTGAAATCGACAGATCATAGTAATGTCCAGATTGACTGACAGCAAAACAAAAACAAAACATAAACAAATTGCCAAAGCCATTCGAACCACATCAAAATATTAAAATATTGCTTGAGTATTCCAGGAATATTTTTGGCACAGACTGCAGGAGACGTGGTGGAGATATTGAACGTAGACTAGTTCCGTTGGATGGTTACAAGTTCAAGCAGAGGTTGAGGTAGTCGTGTTTTCTGTGTCCCGTTTCCTCCGCAGGCGTAGAGGTAAATAAGGTCATTGTGAGGCTTGGAAATCCGGGTTCTAGTCCTCTTGGAGGTAGGACGCTCCGTTTCAGAGTCAAGCTGTCCTACGTCTCAGAAAACAACATTGAGACGCTTGGATCCATCCTGAAGTCTAGGGAATTGATCGCCGACTGGCTTCCAGAGACCCAACGCAGCCTTAATTCGTGGGCCATCAACCAGGTTGGCCTTCCTCTTGACTTAAACTTGGCTTGGATTAGGATGGCAAGAGACTGGCTTCCGCTCTGTCACACTTTTAGGACCGCTATACGGACGTTTCCGGCAAATCGTAGACCTCTTCGTATGCGTTCAAGGTGGTCTTGCTGTTACTCCGCGATCCTTCTTGCACTCTGTTGTAATCTGAAAGGAAATGAATGAAGGCATGAACGAGACTTTGTTTATATTCGAATACTGGTGGGGTTGGAGGGGGGTTGATTTGGGAGTTGTAGTTGCTGGGATTTATAGTTCACCTACAATCAGAGTATTCTGAACTCCACTAGTGATAGAACTGAACCAAACTTGGCACACAGAACTCCCATGACCAACAGAAAATACCAGAAGGGGTTGGTGGGCATTGACCTTGAGTTTTGGAATTGTAGTTCACCTACAGTCAGAGAGAACTGTGGACCCAAACAATGATGGGCATTAACCTTGTGTTTTGGAGTTGTAGTTCACCTACAACAGAGAGCACTGTGGACCCAAACAATGATGGATCTGGACCAAACTTGGCATGAATACCAATATGTCCAAATGTGGACACTGGCATTGAGCTTGAGTTTGGGAGCTGTCGTTCACCTACGCCCAGAGAGCACTGTGGACCCAAACAATGATGGGCATTGATCTTGAGTTTAGGAGTTGTAGTTCACCTACATGCAGGGAGCACTGTGGACCCAAACAATGATGGGCATTGACCTTGAGTCTGGAAGTTGTAGTTCACGTACACCCAGAGAGAGCTGTAGACCCAAACAATGACGGGCATTGACCTTGAGTTTGGGAGTTGTCGTTCACCTACATCCAGAGAGCACCGTGGACCCAAACAATGATAGATCAAACTTGGCACAAATACTCAATATGAACACTAGTGGAATTTGGGGAAAATAGACCTTGGTATTTAGGAGTTGTAGTTGCTGGGATTTATAGTGCACCTACCACCCAAGAGCCAACAATGTAATTTAACCAAACTTGGCACACAGGACTCCCATGACCAACAGAAAATACTGGAAGGGTTTGGCTGGGAATTGACCTTGAGTTTGGGAGTTGTAGTTCACCTACATCCAGAGAGCACTGTGGACCCAAACACTGATGGATCTGGACCAAACTTGGCATGACTACTCAATGTGAACACTGGTAGAGTTTGGGGCAAAATAGACCTTGACATTTGGGAGTTGTAGTTGCTGGGATTTATAGGTCACCTATAAATCTAAAATGTCTAAAATCAAAACAGTATTAAATAAAAAGAAACACTCAAAACACAGGGAAATGCCAAATAAGAATGAATCAGAGCCAGCTAACACCTCCCAACAAATGATTCCCCAGGCAGGAAGCAGCCAGGCTTTGAAGCTGCAAGGCCATTCAATGCTAATCAAGGCGATTAATTGCAACGTTCACATTTCCACCTGGACATTCCACAGAAATATAAACCCCATTTTATTAGTTTTTAATATACCTCCCAACCTCTGAGGATGCCTGCCATAGATGTGAGTGTAACATCAGGAGAGAACAAGGGTACACAGTCCGGAAAACTCACAGCAACCCAGTGATTCCAGCCATGAAAGCCTTCAACGACACATGTTCTAAATATGTCCATTACCTGTTGGCCCTGGGTCTTCATTGATAAACGACACATGCGTTTTCCATTCTGTCCACTTGACTTCATTGATCCTAATGTGCAAGTAGACAAAAATAATATAATATAATAAATAATAAATAAATAAAATATAATAAATAAGTCTGTAAACAAGACTCAATCCCAAATGTTAACTCTTTACCGTAAACATAGCCGTGTGTCGTTGTCTGCCACTTTGCACCACTCTCCAAGTTGGAATCTCTTCCTCAAGAACTTGGGCAAAAGCTTCTCCGTTTCCACAATCGTCCTTGCTCTCTAGGGGGCGACACAGACGGAAAGATCTGATCATGTGGTCTGCAGCTCCTCCCATAATATCAAGAAACATAGAGTAAAAGGAAAGCTGCATACCAAAACATACATCTATACACATAATACAAGTGAAAGTATGTATGTGTGTGTGAGGCTGGGGTGTCGACTTACACAAAGACGCTCCTGCCTCCACAAACAGCTCTAGCTCCCACCACTCAGGAGACACCAATGGCCCTCCCTCCAATGACATTGCAGGTTATAGTGAGCGACGTAAACATGCCCAAGTCCCTGCCAATGTCCTCCACCTACACCACACTGCCCACCACCCAAGTCAAGGCTTTCATATGGGAACCATTTCACCCTAAATTTGATGTCTTTCCTTTACTACAGACATCCCAGTGTTTCTGACTCTCTCCATCGGTGTGGAATTTGCATGACCCCGCCCACTGCCTCTTCCTTAACCCTTTCCCATTCTTTTCTATGGCACACAGCAAAAAGAGGAATTGGTCAGCAAGTGAACATACAAGAGAGATTTGAGGAGAATTCACCATTATGTATAGGAATTGTAGGTCCTGGGATGTATAGTTCACCTGCAATCAATCTGAACTTCACCAAAGATGGAATTGGACCAAACTTGGCACACAGAACCCCCATGACCAACAAAACATACTAGAGGTCTTTGGAGGGATTTAGAGGAGTTGTAGTTCACCTACATCCAGAGAGCACTATGACCCCAAACAAGGATGGATCTGGACCCAACTTGGAATATGCCCAAATTTATATACTGGTGAGTTCTGAGGGTAATTGGCCTGCACATGTTGGAGTTGAAAGCACTGGGATGTATAGTTCACTCTATACACGAGCACACTGACCTCAACCAAAGATGGAATTGGGCCAAACTTGGCACACAGAGCCCCCATGACCAGCACAAAATACTGGAGGCCTTTGGGGAAATTCACCTTGATTTGGGGGAGTTGTAGTTCAACTTCATCCAGAGAACACTGTGAACCCATACACCGATGGATCTGGACCAAACTTGGCACACAGACCTGATATACCGAAATTTGATTACTGGAGGGGTTTGGAGGGAATTGACCTTCCTTCTGGGAGTTGTAGTTCACCCACAACCAGAGAAATTGATCTCCAGCAATGATGGACCTGGACCAAACTAGGCACACAGAACCCCCATAACTCACTCAACCTACTGGAGGGATTTGAGCGGACTGGAGGGGTTTGGGGGAAACTGATCTTCCTTTCTGGGAGTTGTAGTTCACCCACAACCAGAGAGACTGACCTCCACCAATGATGTACCTGGACCAAACCTGGCACACAGAACCCCCATAACTCACTCAACCTACTGGAGGGATTTGAGGGGACTGACTCACTGTAGTGAGAGTTGTAGTTCACCCTTCTGCCAGAGAGCACACTGAACCCCACCCATGATGCATCTAGAGAAAACTTGACCAACATAACAAACTAAGTATTGATGGAGCTTTTTGGGGTTAACCTGGCATGATGGGAGTTGTGGTTCACCCACAACTTTAAATATTTTGGATATTTAAAAAAGTGACTCTTTCAAAATAACCGGGGCAATGCTGGGTACCCGAGCTAGTCAAAATATTAGTTAAATATTGAGTGTTGTGAATCTCTCTGTTATGATGTCTGCCATTTTAAAAAATAATGTCATGTTCTTTTCATCCCATATATCAAGAAATCAATCAGCAAGAATATTATTAGTAGTAGTATCAACATCATCATCATCATCATCATCATCATCATCAAGTCTGACCAAAAAGGTCTCGAATTAACGTGACTAATTAGAAAGCAAAGTGAGAAGATTGGCTAAAATGGAAGGCTGTTGGAAAAGAGGACATTATACCTGTAACCTCCAGATGTGTTCACTCTCCTTGGAGATGTCCTCCACCGTCTCCCCCATCAAGGCGATCAGCATGTTCAGGAGCAGCACAAAGGTTAAGACGACGTACGAGATGAGCAGCAGCAGGAAGAGGATGGGATACTTGGCGTTTTCGTTGATGTCCAGGTCACCCAGGCCAAGGGTCAGCCGGAAGAGCTCCACCTCCACGCTGCCCAGGGTGCTGTAGTTGCTGCACTTGCTGTCTTCCGGACACGTCTCGATCAGCGCGGCCAGGGCTGAGGGTTCAAAGCCAGGCAAAGCCAAAAGTCAGAAGGGTCAATGGTAACTTTCAAGATGTTGCACTCTACCACTGAAGCACTTTTCACCCAGCACTACACGAGAGTCTAGTAATACTATACAGAACTGTTTGATAAGGGAAGCAGATACAAAGGGGAAAATGGGGCATTTCCAAAAGAGCCAGTAGAATAGAAAACACAAAAATAGGAAATACAAAATAGTACTAATCCAAAAATGGCAAAGTACATAAAGTCAAGAGAACCAGAATCCACAGCAGTTGTTCAAACCAGAAATCAGGAGCTTCTTCCAAAGCAAACCCTTACAGGACCAAAGACATGAACCACAGCATGAAACTTGAATCATGAACTTGAGACAGACAGGAAAATCTTCCTTTTGCAACGTTGTCTCCTCTGAGATGTTTGAAGCCAAAATACTTAATTTCAACCCGTCTAGGCACCCATGACATCATGCCGAAAACACCTGGACTTCAAGGTCTTCTCACAGATTCTGTGAGAATATCTAGTTTGTTTGTTGTTTACTCCCTCCATTCTCAGGCTTAATCTAGTTTCCCGGGAAAACTCCCCAACAGGTCAAGGACTTTCACTTTCCCCTATTGCATGGAAACTAGCACCAGGATCCAAAACATCGGCCTCCTCTGCCTAAGTCTCATCTGCTTGCAATTCCCTTTGATCTGAGGTTGCCATTCTCTCTGTTCACACAAAGACTCTTCATTTTGAAACCCATCATCCCCCTAATCCTCTGACAAATCCTCAGGCGCTTGTTGTGCTACCACACAAGAAAATGCTTCACTCCCCACATTGCACGCTTCACCAGCAAACATCAGAAACTGCCAAAGTGTGTTTACCTACGCCGAATCCAAGCAGAAAGACGATATACACTGCCATGAACTTGATTACGTCATTCAAAATAACCTTTAGAAAAGGAGGGGAACATGAGTAAGCGGTTATTGGTAGATAGAAATGGCGTAGTATTTCTAATAACAGATAATACTATTTGATGAACATGTGGCTGTCCTGAGTCCCTGTGGGGAGATAGGGTGGTATACAAATAATAATAATAATAATAATAATAATAATAATAATAATAATAATGTGGTAATGGCTTAGCCATAACTATGTGAGGGTTATTGCAGAGGGGTTGCATCAGACAGTGTCCCTTACCTATCAGCAGGTGGCTATATAAGAAGGATGAAAGAATCCATCTTTCTCTCTCCTGTGTGACTCAGTCTGAGTATCTGCCTATGTTTTGTATGGAACTAGGATCTGCATATCCACATGGTATATTTGTATATACTTTAGCGTCATACAGGGAGCATACTACCCCCCTGCTATGTCAGCTCCACTGGCTGCCAATCCAATTCCGAGCACAATTCAAAGTTCTGGTCCTGACCCATAAAACCCTATACGGTTCTGAACATATCTCCCTCTACGTTCCACTTGAAATTTAAGATCTTCTGAAGAGGCCCTGCTCTTGGCCCCGCCTCTGTCGCAAACACGCCTGGCCGGGACGAGGGACAGGGCCTTCTCAGTGGTGGCCCCCTGCCTGTGGAATTTGCTCCTCGAGGAAATTAGGTCATCTTCATCCCTCCTCTCCTTCAGAAAAAAAGTTGAAAACTTGGATATGGGACCAGGCCTTCGGGTGACTATGCTGACAAGGATAATTACAATGAGGACAAATTACTATGGCAATGGACTACGGAGAAGCTTGACGAAGTCTCCAATCTCAGAATCTAGGCTAGATAAGGCCATATGGCTGTTATATTTAAGCATATTTTAATTGAATTGATTTAATGTTTTTAATTGGATGCAATTATTGGTTTTATTATGTAATAGCTGTACCTGCCACGCACTGCTGTGGCCAACCTTCCCTCCCTCTTTCTCTCCTTTCCTTCCTTCTTTCCTTCCTTCCTTCCTTCCTTCCTTCCTTTTCTTCTTTCCTTCGCTTTTTCCTTCCTTCCTTCTCTACCTCTTTTATTCCTTCCCCTCCTTTTTTCTTTCTCTCCTTCCTTCCTTCGCTACTTATTCTTGGACGGTAACTCCCAGCAGTCCTCCTGATTGATCTATCTACCTACTATCTATCTCTATCTAATCAATCTATCTTATCTGTCTGAAGGTCTGCTGGGAGTTGCAGTCCAGAAATAGGAAATAGGAAATATGCAGGGATTGGGATGCTCTCAAAGAAATCCAAGGAGAAGCAAGCTTGCAGCTTGGAAGCAGTGCATTTGGAGCATCCTCCTCCCCTAAAGGGCCTGGTCTAGGGGATGCTAGGAGATGTCATCATTTAGCTTTTTTTGGGTTGTTAAGTCCTTTCCACTGTTTTTTGAGAGGGGTTTATGAGTGATGGTCCCACGTTGGTCTGTTAGGGGTGTAGTGTCCAAATTTCGTGCCAATTTGTCCAGTGGTTTTTGAGTTCTGTAAATCCCACAAACTAATATTACATTTTTATTTATATAGATTGTTATGTACTCACGTAGGCATCGAATCATGCCGGCTAGAAGCCGCCCAGAGTCGTCCGTCCCATCCCGTCCCCCCCCCCCGGGGGTTTGAGAAGGGCGGGGTACAAATGTTTGATGTTGTTTTTGCTGTGAAAGGACTCTGCTGTATTTTTGCTTGCTTCTGGGACACTTGCTATCCAGCTTGCAGTGTTCAGGGAAGTCGTGATTTGGAAACTATAAATCACTTCACAACCGACCGGCACCTCACGACAGTTAAGACATGAGTGAGCATAAACTGCAGATGGCCCACTGGGAACAATTCTCTTTTTTCCTTCTCCCCAGATGGGCATTTTCACCACATTTTTTGCCCCCAACTTAGCTCCAGGATAGGTTTTTTTTTGGTTTCTGCTTACTAATGGTGGCATCTAATCTTTGGGATATTAAGAAACTAAATCTAGTCAATCGATCTCTTAATCTTGTACGTAGTCCTCAATAGGTCACCCTGAAAGGGTCTTTGAGTGAAATTTGCAAATGCTAAGCTTTAAATGAAATTAGCAGCACGGAAGAAAATGTTTTTAAGAAACAAGATGTGACATGTAGAGGTCATACAAAGTTTGAACTTACATAGGAAGTTGTGTTGTGGTTAAGCCAAAGGTTGTGGTTAAGTGCAAAGTCTGTAGGTACGAGAAGGTACTTTCCATCAAAAGGTCAAGGGAGGGGGGCTGGAAAGAGAGTACTTTCCATGACCTATTACTTGAGTATAAAGGTGAGCAGAAACAGAGGAGGGGGCGGCAGTCTTTGAAAGCACAAACAGAAGTGCTTCTGTCTGTCTCATGTTGATCAGCTTGATTAAATGGTGTCTTACAATAACCAATTGGACTCTGTGGATTTCTTCGAAAAGGGACCCCGCACCATAAACCCGTGATCCCTTACAACCCGACTAAGATTTTGATGTCACCAAAAACACCACTCTCCTTGTCCACTTAAGGAAAAGTGCTGCTACAAAAGCAAACAGAAAATGACCAACACACTCTGCAATACCAGTACAAAATATCCCTACCTAAACTCCAGTTCATGAAAAAGGGAATACGGGGAAGGAGGACTTGCCTGCTGGATCATGACGCTGTAGATTCCCATGGACTGCAAACCCCGGGTGAAATAGAGCATGTTGGCCCATCCCGAAGACATGGCCAGGACCAGGCACACCAGGTGCTCCTTGTAGGACAGCAGGTACAAGCAGACGGAGAAGATCACCAGCACCGCCTGGATGAAGCTGGCAAAGGCAACGGAACAGGGAAGTCCCCATGAATGAACATCTTGGTTCAATGTTATGGAGTCTTGGGAGCTGTAGATTTATAAGGTCTTGAGCTTTCCTCACCAAACTACAAATCCCAGGATTGCTTCGTATCCTGGACCATCCTCCAAAAAAATTGAATGCCCTGACAAATTTGTAAACATCCTTCACGATGACATGATTGCAACAGTCTTGGATAGCAATAGTTCCCAAAGTGACCCATTTAAGGTGGGGTCAGGTGTCTTATCGCCCCAACCTCATTTTAATAATAATAATAATAATAATAATGCTTTATTTTTACCCCGCCACCATCTTCCCAAGGGACTCGGAGCGGCTTACATGAGACTAAGCCCAAAAGTACATCAATAAATAAAAGCAACAAAAACAATAAATACAATACAATTAATATAAATCACATATAAACAATAACCAATAACCAATAACACTCAAGGATTTAAAAACCTATGGCCGGGCCAAATGTAATAGTTTAAAAATTAAAAAATAAACGCTGGACATGAACAAGGTAGGATATAACTGGTATAGGGTTTTCAAAGAGAGATGAGGAAACGCAGTCAATCCCAAACCAGTAGTAAAGTGCATTCTGGGGGCATAATGCTGAGAATTTTCCTTATTCTGGGAAGGTACACTGGAACAGCCATGTTTTCAGGCTCCTCCTAAAGACTGCCAGTATTAGTGCATGCTTGATGTCCTTGGGAAGTGAGTTCCAGAGTTGGGGGGGTCACCACTGAGAAGGCCCTCTCCCTTGTCTCCACCAATTGCGCCTGCGAAGGAGGCAGGAGCATGAGCAGGACCTCTCCAGAAGATCGAAGAGATCGTAAGGGTTCGTACACGGAAATGCGGTAATGCAGGTAGGCGGGTCCCAAATCATTCAGGGCTTTGTAGGTAAGAACCTGGACCTTGAATTGGGACCGGAAAATGAACGGCAGCCAATGGAGCTCCTTAAACAAGAGGGTTGACCACGCTCTGTATTTTCCATCTTCATCGCTATGATACTTCATCTTGTTGATGAGAAGCTTCCCACCAGAGTGGAAATCATCTATTGGACAGATGGCAAGCTTGTATTTAACCTCAGCAGACTGAATGCCAAAACCAAGGTCACAACAACATCTGCTATAGAACTCCAGTATGCCGATGATAACGTAGCCTGTGCCCCCTAGGGTATCTACCACTGGAAGAAAAGACTGTGCCAAGAGGCTAGATATCTCAAAACTGGGCAAGCCCAACTTACAATGCGAAATGGAACCAGGCATCCGAGAGAATTGACTGAAGGTCCGAAGGCCTGAGCAAGAAGATGGCGACGCTCTGCAGGAACAAATAAATGGGAACGATATGAATGTTTTTAATTCTGAAATCAAAATTAAAGTGACCCATAATCATGAGATCCCCCTCGTAATAATTATCAATTTTCTTAAAAAGTTTTCGTATACATTTTTCTTGACATGTATTAGGAGCATATACATTAACTAATGTCATTATTTTACCATCTAGTTTTATTTTTACAAATAATTTTTTTCCTTGTACATCCGCTATTTGATGGATTATTTCCACATTAAGGCTATCATGAAACATTATCCCAACTCCTCTGTACTTTTTAAATCTGGCCTCCACCACGTACTCCACCCCTTATAGTTAAACAATGGTGTCGTATCAAATATCTTTTTGTGCGTCTCTTGTATTGATATTATTGTTATCTTATACTTTTCCATGGTTTTGTATAGTCACCTTTTAACATCTGAAGCTAATGAATTTATATTCAACGAAGCCAATCTTACTTGAACCATTTAACCATCCACCTATAACCTACTATGGGAACTACATGAAGACACACATCACAAGTTGCCACAAAGACATCATCATCATAATGGCAGCCAGTATATCACCTCTTTAATTGCGATGAATATGGCCCCCAGCATCACAATCATTTGGCCTGTCAACTGCAACCATCCCAGGTTGTCAGTCATGGCAAGAGGGTAAGGCGGAGGCTGTGGAAGCGAGAAGAAAGTTGGAAAAGTTATGCATGAAATTATCTGAAATTAATCTCTCTGCTACCTACACTTGCCAATAGGCCCTGCTAACCATGATATCCGCCTTTCATTTGTTGGAATTCAACCCCACACTGGCCAAGTCTCAAATCCTCAATGAGGAGAAGTTAGTTAGCATTAAAATAATCTAAGGGTTTCCCTTCCCCCATGTTTGTTGAACATGGAATATATCTTTTTCTCCTCTCTTCTCTCCGTTTCTGCTCTGATTGGTTGTTCTACTGCAAGCTTTTCGAATCTGACTTCTGCCTTTTTACACCTGACTATGGAGAGTATTTGCTGTGTGCTTTGAGATCTCTCTCTGCTTGTGTGTCAGGAGAGATGTCGTGATGGAGTTTTCCCTCTCTTGTTTGACTCCTAAGCCACATCACGCGGCACTTCACGTTCTGATCACTAAGGTGCTTGTTTATAAAACTATTGTCCTCCCAACCCTGCTATACGCCTGTGAGACGTAGACAGTCTACAGACGTCACATGTAACTCCTGGAACGATTCCATCGGCATTGCCTCCAAAAAATCCTGCAAATCTCTTGGGAAGACAAGAGAAATGTCAACATGCTGGAAGAAGCAAAGACCACCAGCATTGAAGCGATGGTCCTCCGCCATCAGCTCCACTGGACCAGCCACGTTGTCCGGATGGCCGACCACCATCTCCCAAAGCAGTTGCTCTACTCCGAACTCAAGAACAGACAAAGGAATCTTGGTGGGCAGGAAAAGAGATTGAAAGATGGGCTCAAAGCCAACCTTAAAAACTCTGGCATAGACACTGAGAACTGGGAAGCCCTGGCCCTTGAGCGCTCCAGCTGGAGGTCAGCTGTGACCAGCAGTGCTGTAGAATTTGAAGAGGCACGAATGGAGGGCAAAAGAGAGAAATGTGCCAAGAGGAAGGCGCGTCAAGGGACCGCCTTCCACCTGGAAACCGATGCCCATGCAGATCAAGAATAGGGCTCCACAGACACCTACGGACCCACCACCAGCACACCGATCTTGGAAGACAATCCTACTCAGTAAGTAATTACATGTAATATTACTAATAATATTACAGTATATGGGTGTAGTACAATATAGGAATGTATGTTACTAATATGTTGTATGTAACTAATATGTATAATGTTACTAATAATATAATATGTATGTTTTATTTACATATAAGTTGTAAGCCGCTCTGAGTCCCCTTCGGGGTGAGAAGGGCGGCATATAAATGTAAATAAATAAATAGTTTTCCCTAACATAATTTTGGTGTTGGAGATGAGGAGCCTCCTAAGGAAAGCAAATGCCCATTTCCATAAGTAAATAAAAATACCCCTTCTGGGGTTGCACTTCTCATTCAAAATTTTCTACTCTGATGTAATGCTACAAAAACCATCAGGGTTTCCAAAGGACACACCGTACCATATCTGCGTGAGGCCGGTAGTAGGAGATCATCGTCAACAGGACATTGTAGACAAAGTAGAAGCAGCACGACATGAAGAACATGTGCCTGGCGAACCTTTTCCACTTCATCCGCAGCAAAGACTGCAGAGGCTCCAAAGCTAACATTTCGTGGCGATTCTGCAAGGATGAGAAGGCGGGTTAAAGGTTGGGATAAACCACCACGTAGAAACAAACACATTCAGAATACTTAGAAATGGAGAATTCAAGCTCTGAGCATTGTTAACTGAGCATGAGATCGAGCATAAATTTTCCCTTTATTATTATTGATAGTTATATCGTTTCTAACCCCTCAATAAACATTGTTACCCTTGACTTTTGCTTCCATGACTCTCCTTTTGCTTTTTTGAGTCTTTGTCTTCCTACTTCCACATTCTAACAGCCGGCCCGGTGGCCGCTTGGGCCACATGGCCCATATGGCTCCCATGGCCTCCCCAGCCCTGAAAACAGAGCTCGCCTTCTTGTTTCCCCCTGCATGCACCTGACCTTTGCCCCAATAACCTTGGGTATGCTTTCCCCTACCGCGGATATGGAAATCGACCCTTCCCCCCGTATCCGCGGATCTATAGTTTATGTTTCCTTTTCATCCCCCTGAACTCCCTCTCCAATCTTCCACCCCAGGGTCTCCAGAGTCGTCAGGTTCCCCTGGGTAGTCATGAATCTCCTGCATACGTGTCCTCTTATCCCTGTGGATACCAAGCCTCCCAAGGCTACCGCCTTCCTTTTGATCACTGGCATTTTTGGTCTTATTCTTTTATGATGTTGTAAAATACCACCCCCACTTTTTAGCAGTACCTAATTTCTCTACTTACAGCTCTAAGTTGTTTTCAACCTGCTTGGGGTAAACAGTGAGCTGGGCTGACAGTCGGATGCTCACCCCGACCCAGAGCTTTGAGCTGGCAACCTTTTGGTTGGTAGATCTTATTGCTGCTGCTGCTGGTGATTTACCAGCTGTGCTCTAGCCTGGTCCTGTTGATCTTCTGCACCTTTTAACTGATGCAGCTACACTTACCCCAATATTTGTATTGTAGACAATGATATCCAGCACTGAATTTTCTGAGGTAGTGTCCAGTTCGGTTAAGTCATAGAGGTTTGACTGCACAGGGCCGTATGCCCAGTCGGTGAACTTCCGAGAAAGACTCCGGATGGGCTTTTCTTTGATTTCTCTGCTGAGAATGTACTTCAGAATCTAAAGAAAGCAGGAAGTTGATTCAAAATCCTAAACTGCCAGAATCCCAGAGTCATGCATGAAAAGAGGAGCATCGACATCTCCTGGCTGAAATGAGGCTGAGCGGAGAGAAAACCGGGACATCAATGTGAAGTCGGACATTCCCCCCCCCCCCCATAAAAGATAGTAACTTATAGTTTTGCTAAGGACAAGGACACCAGACTGGATAATAAGGGTTAAGCCTCTGGTCAGTTTGCCAAGACACTAACAACACACAGGACCCTTCCCATGGATAGTGTGTACACTGTAAGTGTTTACATTTTTACTCTATTCTTATTCTTGTTTTTTATGCCCTAGGTTTGCATATATAGCCAATAGGTAGCTACATGTATACTCGATGACATCTCACATCTCTTTTCCTCTTGATACCCTTATTGTCCCTCTTGCAACCCTCTATAGGACTCTATCCTCCTCTTTTTTCGGACAGTGGCCTATGAGTGGCTCCGGATCCTCAGTCCACAAGCTTCTGCGATTGAACTCCTTTCTCATCTGCAATGCTCAGATTTCATTATTATTACACAGATTTCATTATTGTTTGGGAGAAAAAAATCAATTTTAAAATTGTACAAAATGCATAAGGTTGTGGGTGAACTACAACTCCCTGGAAAGGAGGAAATCTCCAGTTGAAAAGACCCGTATCAAAAGACACTATTTGCATGGACAATAACAAAGGACCGTGACCTCTGGGCTCGGAGTTGGTCCCCCAGAGGAAGTGGTCATTTGGCAATTATGATCATACCTCAATAGGATGGAGGGGGCCTTCGGAAAGCCGCACCTCATCCTAATCTGTCACCCATTCAACTTTTCTTTCACTAAAGACTTCAGCCAAAGTTCCCCATTGTTCCCATATCTCCGCACTGGAAAAATCCGGATCTTGGCAGGATCGCCAAACATCAATGTTTATTGCAGCCACTCAATGACAATAGGAATGGCTGGCTCACAGGCCCCAGGACTTGCTGGCCGCATGGACATTTCCTACCTCCATAATCCTCTCAAGAATCCATTGTTTCCCTCTCGTCCCTCCTCCCTCTCTCCTGATTTATCAGGACGCTGAGGCGGCAGAAGCCCAGCGATTGGCCCAGGCGCTCAGGAGGTGGCCAAGCCTCCTCCCAGCTGTAACTAAAACATCTCTATATTCCAAGAATCTAATGGAGTCTGAGCTCTGAATAGTCCCAAATCTGATCACATGGTCTGTAGTCCCCCTCACAACATAAAGGGAAACTGCATACCAATGCACACAAATACAATACTAAGCACTGGTCTAAAGCATCTCTCTATTCCGAGAATCTAATGGAGTCTGAGCTCAGTCCTAGATCTGATCACATGGTCTGTAGTCCCTCTCACAACATAAAGGAAAACTGCATACCAATGCACACAAATACAATACTAAGATATCTGAATTATATACATAACAAATTACTAGTGGAGGCTTCAAGAAGGTTGCAATTTCCGACAAATAGGAGCCCCAGTTGCTCCTGGAGCAGCTTCCCCTACCACTAAGATTATGATATGACCCGAATCTAATGCACATCCTAATTTTGGTGAGGTCATTTCGACAAAACAGGTGAGCATTAGATTTGTGCTACTGATCAGAGAACCTTTGAAGACATACCTCGAGCTTCCCGGTTTTGGCGGCCAACTGTAGTGGCGTCAACCCATCCTTGTTCTTCATGATCTCCAAATCCCGATTTCTGCTTTTCAAGAGGATGTCGTCGTACATCCGCCGTACAAAATCGTTCTGTGTTTTGAAGTCTTCCGCCACGGTCACCAAAGCATGCAGGATGTTATTTCCTCTGGAATCCTGGCACATGAGGTCCGTCTTGCCGTTCTCCATCAGCAGCTGGACTATGTCGGGCTGGTTGGTGCAAGCGGCTAAGGCCAAGGGCGTCTCCCCTGCGGAAGGCGGCAAAAGGGTCTGTTGCACTCTAGCACTGAAACGCCTTTTCACCCAGCACCACACCAGAGTCCAGTAATATTATTAAGGAAAGCAGGTACAANGGATGGCCATCTGTCAGGGGTGATTTGAATGCAATATTCCTGCTTCTTGGGAGGGGGTTGGACTGGATGGCCTATGAGGTCTCTTCCAACTCTTTGATTCTATGATTCTATGATTCTATGGACATTTCCTACCTCCATAATCCTCTCAAGAAACCATTGTTTCCCTCTTGTCCCGCCTCCCTCTCTCCTGATTCGTCAGGACGCCGAGGCGGCAGGAGCCCAGCGATTGGCCCAGGCGCTCAGAAGGTGGACAAGCCTCCTCCCTGCTGTAGAGCGCCAGCCAATCATCGTCGAGCCGGCAGAGGGGCGGGGAATGGGAGATTCAAACCTGGCAAATCTGTTTCTGTATTAAAAAGGCTTTTATTTGTACACATGTTATGCTTAGCTTGGCGAAATATTGCTGCTCTGCATCCTTTTCAGCTGAATCGCTAATAAATCATCTCGGTGGCGCTTCCTTCAACCTTGGTGAGATTCTTTTTGGGAGCCTAGGAAAAAACAATTATTTTAAAATTGGGCTTCTCTTTGCTCACCGTTGTAGCGATCCCTCTTTGGTGGGGCCGCAGGGTCTCTCCTTCAGGGCCACACCCTTTTAAATTCCTCCATGATTTCAATGGGAGATATCCACGTCTCCAGAACAAAGCTTCCGTCTCGAAATATGGAGTTTATTTATTTATTTACTACATTTATATACTGCCCTTCTCAGCTCACAGGCGACTCTGAGTGGTTTACAGTCAATATCAAAGACACAAAATACAATTTAAAAACAACCAATTTAAATATAAAACCAAGTAAAACAATCAATATCAATAAAAACAATGATGGATCTGGACCAAAACTCAATATGCCCAAATGTGAACACTGGTGGAGTTTGGGGAAAATAGACCTTGACATTTGGGAGTTGTGGTTGCTGGGATTTGTAGTTCACCTGCAATCAAAGAGCATTCTGAACTCCACCAACGATAGAATTGGGCAAACATCCCACACAGACCCCAATGACCAACAGAAAATACTGTGTTTTCTGTTGGTCTTTGGCAATGATGGATCTGGACTAAACTTGGTATGAATATTTGATATGGCCAAATGTGAACAATAGTGCAGTTTGGGGAAAATAGACCTTGACATTGATTGGCAATGTATGGCCTTGCAGCTTCAAAGCCTGGCTGGTTGCTGCCTGGGGGGTTCCTGTTATATACCTGTGAAACGTGGACTCTCTACAGACATCACACTCAACTCCTGGAATGATTCCATCAGTGTTGCCTCCGAAAAATCCTACAAATCTCTTGGGAAGACAGGCGGACACATTTCAGTGTGCTGGAAGAAGCAAAGGCCACCAGCATTGAAGCGATGCTCCTGAGCCACCAACTCTGCTCGACTGGCCACGTTTTTTGAATGCCCCAAGATCACTGTCTCCCAAAACAGTTACTATACTCTAAACTCAAGAATGGGAAACATAATGTTGGTGGACAGGAAAAAGAGATTTAAAGATGGGCTTAAAGCTTAAAAACTTTGGCATAGACACCAAAAACTGGGAAGCCCTGACTCTTGAGTGCTTGAACTGGAGATCAGCTGTGACCAGCAGTGCTGTGGAATTAGAAGAAGCACGAATGGAGGGTGAAAGGGAGAAACGTGCCAAGAGAAAGCCAACCCTGACCAGGACTGCCTTCATGGTGGAAAAACATGCAGATCAAGAATGGGTTTCCACAGCCACCTACAAACCCACTGCCAAGACACTACACTTGGAAGACCATCATCCTCGAGCTACGAGGGCTCGCCTAAGTAAACAAGGTTGCCGTCCAAGGGGATTCTTTGTTGGGAGGTGTTAGCTGACCCTGATTGATACTTGTCTGGAATTCCCCTGGTTTTTTTTAGTGTTGCTCTTTATTTACAGACCTCACAATCTCTGAGGGTGCCTGCCATAGATGTGGGTGAAACGTCAGGAGAGAATGCTGCTGGAAAATGGCCAGACAGCTCTGAAAACTCACAGCAACCCAGTGATCCCAGCCATGAAAAACCTTCAAAAACATAAAACTTTGAATGTTTGGAAAGCCTTGCAGTGACCTCTTGTGGGGAATCTCCGCACAGTTGGCCATGTCGACACCAGTTTAGAAAATTAGTGAGAGGCAAGGGGAGAGTGATAATGATTTATTACTACACTTTCCTACCTCACAAAAGCAGATTTGGTCCAAACAATGTCAGATTGTCATTGGAGATCGGGGTGGGATCATTTCATAAAAACATGCCTGCACATATTCAAAATGAGTAATGGACACCCTGCTATTTATTTATCATGTCAGGGGCAACCAGACAATTGTATTACATTTCTAACAGAACAAAACAAACAAACAGATAAAAAAACACAAAGTTTGCCAACTTGGTAGTTGATTAAATGTCCTCTGACCAGTATCTGGCCACTTGGAGTGCCTCTGGTGTTGCCGCAAGGAGGTCCTCCATTGTGCATGTGGCAGGGCTCAGGTTGCATTGCAGCAGGTGGTCAGTGGTTTGCTCATCTCCTCACTTGCATGTCGTGGATTCCACTTTGTGGCCCCATTTCTTGAGTTTGGCTCTGCATCTCGTGGTGCCAGAGCGCAGTCTGTTCAGTACCTTCCAAGTCGCCCAGTTTTCTGTGTGCCCAGGGGGGAGTCTCTCATTTGGTATCAGCCATTGCTTGAGGTTCTGGGTTTGAGCCTGCCACTTTTGGACTCTCACTTGCTGAGGTGTTCCAGTGAGCGTCTCTGTAGATCTTAGAAAACTATTTCTTGATTTAAGTCGTTGACGTGCTGGCTGATACCCAAACAAGGGATGGGCTGGAGATGTCTCTGCCTTGGTCCTTTCACTATCAGCTGCTACTTCCCGGCGGATGTCAGGTGGTGCAATACTGGCTAAACAGTGTAATTTCTCCAGTGGTGTAGGGCGCAGACACCCTGTGATAATGCGGCATGTCTCATTAAGAGCCACATCCACTGTTTTAGCGTGGTGAGATGTGTTCCACACTGGGCATGCTTACTCAGCAGCAGAGTAGCATAGCACAAGGCCAGATGTCTTCACTGTGTCTGGTTGTGATCCCCAGGTTGTGCCAGTCAGCTTTCGTATGATATTGTTTCTAGCACCCACCTTTTGCTTGATATTCAGGCAGTGCTTCTTCTAGGTGTATTGGATGTATTGGATTGTGATCTACATGCCGATATTGTGTATTATGTTTTTTATGGTTTTAAATTGTATACTGTGGATTGTATATTTTGTTGTTGTAAACCGCGTTGAGTCGCCAGTTAGGCTGAGAAATTGCGGTATACAAGTATAGTAAATAAATAATAAATAAATAAATAGATCAGAGCACGGTCCAGAGTGACTCCCAGGTATTTGGGTGCGCTGCAATGCTCCAGTGGGATTCCTTCCCAGGTTGTCCTCAGAGCTTGGGATGCTTGTCTGTTCTTAAGGTGAAAGGCACATTTCTGTGTTTTAGATGGGTTTGGAATCAGTTGGTTTTCCCTGTAATAGGCAGTAAGGGCACCTAGAGCTTCGGAGAGCTTCTGTCCAACCATCTCAAAGCTCCCTGCTTGAGTGATAATGGACACCCTGCTGATATTGAACCTCTTCTCCAACTTAAACAAATCCCATATTGAAGATGAAACAGAAGGATTTTCCCCAGAACCTGATCCTGCAGCCAATTCATAAGTAAACAGTTTATAATCAGTAGTAAAGGACAGCTGAATTTCACAATATGCACGCTTGACAATCAGGAAATATCTATTAAGTCTGTAATCTACCTAAATAGCACATGGAAGTACATAATTAACATACTGGGCACATTTATAAATGACATGATGCACACACGATAACAAAGGGACTTTTCAAAGTAGTGGTTTCCAACCTGTAGTCCGTGGACCGTCAGTGGTCCGCAATAACTAAAATATGGCCTCACCTGCGGCCTCACCTGTTGCACCTCAGCAGGAGTTCACCTTGCACAAGCACTCACCAGGAAGCCAAAAGTGGTAATAAACAATTTATTGATAGAACACACAGTAAAAGAGTAAAAATACAAATATGTGAAGAAAGAAGAAGTAAAAAAAAAAAAACAGAGATAAATCTCCAGTGCAACGGTTAAAGCATGAACATGAATCCAAGATAGATGGAACAAAACATGAGCTTGATTAATTTAAGAAACAAGGAACAAAACGTGAGCGTGAATCCATGGGTAAAATCCCCAAGACTGGTAGCAAAACTTGACTAAGAAACTTGGCTTGAATCCATAACAGGACCAGGAACAAGGCAGGAGCTTTTCACTCTATTTGTGACGTTGCTTGATCTGAAACCTATGAGCTTCCTTTCCCTAATTAAGGATGCAATGCATGAAGGCATCCCGTTGGCCTTGAGAAGCCTGTCTGTGCCTCTCTTTCCCAGGCCTCTGCCTCCCTTTTCCATGACTCAGTTTGCACCTGGAATTCTTCCCCAACAGGAATAAGCTTGGATTCTCTGTCTAACCCCCACCCCCTTATGTTAGGAGTCAATTTCTGACGGCATGAAGACGTCACAAATTCCCTCTGTGACATCCTGACTGAATCATCCTGGCTGACTCAATTCTCTCTCTGTGACATTTTGGAAGCCAGCAGAGGGCACTGGAAACCTTGTATTGGAACTTGTGAAGCAACAAGCTCTAATAAGGAAACTGAGAAGAGGGGGGAGATGAGCAGGAAAGGTGTATAAAAGGAAGTGGTGGTGGGGAAAAGTCAGTAGTGTCTTTCTTTGCTGCAGAGATATAAGCAATATATCCATTTCAAAGCAAAACCGGCTTGTGAGTGGTTATTTAATATTGCTGTATAGATCCTATAGTCTTACACCTTCATCGGGTGAACTCATGTCCTCCTCCCTTCTCTGCCTGTCAGCTTCTAAAAAAGTTT